ATACGGTTCACGAGGGTCCGGTCGAGTAACCGCCGCGCATAGTCGAAGTCGTTAATTTCCACACGTCGAATGGGGCTGAAACAAACGTGTCTGAGTACTCCTTGCATGCGATCGCGCGTCTAGACCTATCGCATGGAGATTGGTGTCCGACGTCGTCTGCCTCGTAATCCAGATTAAAGTGATTAAGATCCACTGAGGCCGGAGTAAACGTGTCATGAGCAGCACACGTGGGTTGCTTGCCGTGGTCTGCTTACGTGGATCCTTTTCCGTTGGACAAAAAGCCGCAGACCGTCTCGGCGGAATTCAGAAGGGAATATTATGGCGCGGGGAACTTGGGGGAAAACCCGGGCTGTAGCATTTTAAGGAAACTTTTAAGTGAGAAAAAGCAACTGGCTTTCTTTTTGAAGTTCAAAACTTGATACATTGCTAGAAGGGGGCAAGTTGGGACACACATGGAGACACGACTGGCGGGCATTACATTCTAACAGTAAATCTGACAGCAAGCAAATATTCAGTCAGACACTGGCCTATACGGGGGATGAGTATATACTTTTTCGAAGGACTTATGTGTACACGAACTACATTGATATCCCGCGAGTTGGCAAAACTGTTTCAAACTTTCATTATGAATACATGCACCTGTTTCAGGATAATAAATGTTTTTGTGTGTTTCAGGTAGGAACATTCTTTGAAAGAATACTCAAGGCGAATGTTGAGTTTAATGCCCTAATCTCGGCAGTCCTCCGGCAAAAATATTTCATGTAAAAGTGAACTTAATCGTCTTAGTGATTCAGGGACAAGGTATTCTTTGCCTTTGACCTTCTTCTTTTTCCAGATGTCAAACTTAGCTAAGCGTTCAGTGAAAGTGATCTGAACTGGAACCTGCTTCCAGGCTCCAACTGATTGTCAGCGTACGTGCACTTAAAGACCCTGGGCTGGGCGGACGCACGTGCGTCTAAGTTCCGGGTTTGTAGGTTATGTAATTGGTTCGTCTGTGTTGTAGGGTGACTGCCTCAGGCGCATGGGAGTCTTATAGATACGGCACATCTGCCCTTGAATCGGCAAGACTTGAACCACCAGCAAACGACACAGCAGAGGTGGCGATTGAGAAGGAAGACGATGAAACTTCGCAAGATGAACATCCATCGTGTCATCGTTGCTGCCATAGCACTAGCGGCTGTCATGATCATCGGTGCTGACGCTGACAGAAAGCAGTAAGCTTAATCCCCATTTCTTTTAACTCTTAGCAAGATCTGCAGTTGGTTACTATGAGATCAAAGATGTTTTGTGATTCTGGCAGTTTATATTATCAAAGTGAGATTCGAACCTCCAAAATGATCAACATTGTGATTATCAGTAGACTGCATGTTAATGAAATTCACAGAACTAGAGCCATTCTCAAATCTTAGTTCCTACATAAATTGCTTTTAAACATTTAGTTTCCGTTTAGCTTTTATATACATTCACCTATACCTTTCAGAAAAAAAAATCTCGTAGTAAAGTCAGAGATTTGCGATTTCGGTTTCAAACCAGAAGTCAGAACGTTTACAAAAAGGAATAGAATATTTAAATTTCAAACGATTAACAATGAAATCCCAAACCTGATCCTTCTAAGTAAAAGGTTGACTCATCGGAGGAAAGCATTCTCATAGAAGAGATATATGGAGAGTCATGATCGAAAAAGTGAGGCAAAAGGTCTTGTTTGAAATGATAAATAATATTTTGCATACTTAGAAATAACAAAAAAAGGCTGACTTAAAGACAAAAGGTAGGACCCATATAATAAAATATATGGAAAAGTGTTCCCGTAGTGTGGTGTCTGCACCGCTTCATTTAATCAATAACACCACACTGGAATACTGGAAAGATAAATCATCTCCTGCACATCCCACATTCCTTTGCGGTAGTTTATTACTGTCAAGTGGTACAACATCTTCTTTCGTATGTTGCCAGCGTCTCATCCTCACTGTATTCAGCTCAGTGGTGTAGAGCCATGCCCGTCGTCTAGGGTACTAATGCCATGTTCGCCGTTGGGTGGCCGGTATTGTTGGCAGGACTCGATGATGTGATCGACTGTCTGTTCGGGGTGTCCACAGTCGCATGCAGCGGAGTCCCTTAGCCCCATCCTTTCATGCAGCGGAGTCCCTCAGCCCCCATCCTTTCATGGAGGCGGCGAAGCGGCCGATGCCAGTTCTGAGACGGTTGAGTATTGTCCATTGCCCACGCGGCAAGTCCTCGCCTAGTAGTTCGTCTGGCGCCCCCACGAACCTGTGCATTCTGGAGCAGTCTGCCTACCACTCTTCCGACCAACGGTGTTTAAGCTATAGTCTTTTCGAGACATCCACCGATGAAGAGCGCAAGAGCTCCGCGAAGGGACGTCGAGACTTCAGGCGTGTGCGTTGCGGGTAGTCTGTAGCAATCTTGTGGAGAAGGTGCTCCTTGTTGTTGATGGCCTCGCGAGACAGAGTCAGGACGGCTACTTCGCGTCTCATGGTTGGTGGAGCGATGCTGGCAAGATGATGGTAGATAGTTGACCAGCGTTGTGCGCAGGCAGCCAGAGACTTTGCGTAGGGCGTTATCCACCCCGAGCTGAAGTGCATGCTCCCCCCTCCCCCCATCGGCGAAAGAAAGACAGGTGGTTATAAGCGGGTTCTTGCACTCGTTCTGCGTGTATGCAAAGGCCATATCCATGCCGGAATCCGGTTCGTAATTGACTTCGTCACAAAGGCGGACGCGCCACGATTTCTCGGCGCCCATTGGACGATCGCTGAAGTTGCGCGTTAACTTCCGGTTCCATGTAAACGGCGATCGATGCATGTAACCCTATGTGTAGTACACGTGTGCAGTGGGCGTGGTTTAAACTGAAGTGACGTCACACTTACGAGCCCGTAAATTAGTGAAATATGGAAGGGCTGCGTAGCACCGTGATCAGAATAACGACAAGAATATACTTGCGCGCCGCTTGGCGCGTCTATGCGGTGAGTACGAGAGAGCAATACTGCTCAGCGGGGGAGAAGACCAATGCCTGGATGGAGATGCGTAACTTCTTGGTTAAGGCACCCCAGGTGGTACCGGCCAAGTGACGTATCAGGGCGACTCGGGCCGATATCTTGGCCGACACGTTTTCCAGGTATTGGCGGAATGTCAGGGTGCTGTCGAGCTTAACCCCAAGGTATGTCGGAGCTGCCTGAAGCAGGAGACTGTTGTTATCGACCATGATATTGAGCTCGTGGTTGGCTTCTCTATTGTTGAGGTGGAATACAGAGGACAGGGTCTTTTAGCCACGGAGAGCTTCAGGTGCCAGTTCTTTACGTAGATTGGTAGAGGTACAGCATTAAACTTTAGATCTCACTTTTAATTCTTAGGCAATGCAGCGCCAACATTTTGTAGGCCTAGTAATTATGAAATGTTCTTCTTCGTTCTCCTTTCAGCTGCTTTTGTGATCTTCGATGGAGCACGACCCGGTTGGAAGCAGGAGACAGCGCTAATGGTCTACCGATAGTTACCAATCTCGGAGACCCGAGCTACCATCACTGGCTGAGCGTCGGATGCCGGAGGGTCCTGCGTGAATGTCCCGGTGATTGCAGGGCGGTTGTGCACCAGTACATGGGAGGCTCGGCGTTCACTGTTGCATCCGGCCAGGCTGCCTGCGAGAGCGTCCGTCGTAACGCCCCACCGGGCCGTCCCGTCTACGTGTACGCCACGTACGACCCCAGCGTGTGTGCCAATCGCAGATGGCAGTACGTCGACCGGCTCTGTTGTTGGGAGATCAGTTTCACTGGTTACAACAGCATCTTTCTGCACAACCACCAGTGCGCAGACGAATGTCCACCGACTGGTTGCTGAGACCTTGAGTAAACTGTAATCAACCACGCGTTTCTTTATGTGAACACCATGACGGATGGCGAACTGGCGAAGTTCCGTTTCCATTCGAAGAATTCAGTATAACTGCATGTTTCGTTAAAATCAGAAAATGTAATGTTGACAACTTTGTTTTGGATTAAATTAAAATGCCTGCATATACGATAAAAAGGAAATTGTTGTGGGGTTAAACTGATAAAGCTTCGATTAGAGTGAAATGTTATCTTTCTTCTGCCTAGCTGGATGTATACATAAATGGCACAATACGGCCATGAAAATATAAAGGAAGTTTTGTAGCTGTCCTCAAGGCTAGTTGAGTAAAAACGCCAAAAGATTTTATTGATAGGTTTTTTATGGCGTAGCCCAATCTCATAAGGTGGTATTGTAGAATCTTTACATTGGTAATATTTTTGATCCCTGTATATAAAAATGGCAACATGTCCTCAAGGGATGATCCCATGCTAGCTATGCAATTGGATACGGCCCACATCCATCTGCGTACACGAGCATTAGGTTATGTCTAAATTACTTGGCTGTGGCTTAAAATTACGCGTCACTTTATGATAATGGCTACAGCCACAGCCCTTAATGAGTCGTGGGCAACTTCAAGCCACAACCAAGTCCTGCAGCACGGCCTGACTCGCTCTCATCGACGTGCGTTTTAAAGGGAGCCCGCTTTAGCGCCTCCGGTCCAATGATTTGGGCGAAGAAAAAGGGTCCACTGCCTGTTGCTTATTGGCAATGTTTTGCCAACCGTTTCTGGATGGGAAATCATGGACAATGAGCAGCAGATAACTGGCGAAATAAAACCTTTCGTTGAGGGAATTAATTCATAATAAGTGAACAAGATGAATTTCAACGCGGCACACTTTATTACGGCCTTCCACAGTTGATTGGAGCTGTGATTTTAATATGGGCTATTCACAATGGTGCGCCTCCAAGAGTTTGCATTGCGTTGACCGATCACAGTGCGTAAAATCTATCGACCCTTTCGAAACAGGCATCCGGTGGACAGATTTCGTGCACCGTAATTGGTCAACGCGTTACAGACTCTTGGAGGCGCACTTTTCTGAAACTCCCGCATTGGGTTGTCTTATTCAAAATTCTTCCACGATGAAAATACCCGTTTTCTTTGCCCTTCACTAGAACCCCCCCCCATTGTAGAATTTGCTGATGATTCTGTTCAGGTGACAGGGAAACTGCACTTAAATTTCACTCATAGAATTGATTACGAGTATAACCCGCATATTTTCGTTTTATTATTAATTAAACCTAAAAGTTACAATTTATCTGAAACACATCCTCGCGACATACATAATAAAATATCGAGTAAAGCTGGATGCTGAGTCTCATCTCGTAATTCCATGTCTTTCAGGAAAAATGTAAAGAAGTAAAATTTACGCTGCTTCTCAGTCCGCAAGGATCTGATATTCCGTGTTGATACAGTGTAATATCTAAATATGATATTCCGTGTTGATACAGTGTAATATCTAAATATGAGATACGAAGCATCCCAAAGTGTCTCATCCGCACTCATCTCATGCATCCTTTGAAATCTTCCCGGTTAATAATACCTGAAACTGTTGTTAATACTCGTGAAGGTTTTCGCACATACCATGCAGGCGCGGACCGGGGGGTAGGGAGTCAACCCCCCCTCTGAAAAAAAGGGTTAGAAGTGGGGAAAGAATAAATAAAAAAGAACTAAACTAAGTGCATCACCATTGTGACGTCACGCAATATTTCATCATCGTTCCACTTTTCTGCAAAGAATGAAGAGATGAGAAAAAAAATCGCCGGCCTGTCCCCTGGTAAAAATTCCTGGATCCGCCCCTGCATAGAAGAGAAAAAAGTATCTTGGCTTTTCTGTTTGTGCGAAGTTGTACAGACAAAAGGCCAGTTCGTACTTAGTGCGAAAGCGAATACCAACGCAAATTTGTAAGATCAGATCGAATATTCGTACTGATGCGAATTCACAGAAATCGAACACGTTTCAGTTCAAGCGAAATTTTGCTGCAAATTTTCGTGACGTCAAATTCGCTTCGGTTTCACGTTCCCCTTTAGTATGCACCGGCTTTTACGGTTGGTTGAGCGAAATGGCTAAAAAGGAGTGTTCCTGTGTTTGGGAAAATGGCATCAGTAGATGTTCTTAAGTTTCATTGATGTTAGTCGTTTGGAAAATGTTACAATCAGACCAGACATTCGCCGTCATGTTTCCAATATAAATTCATAACTGAAAAATACTAACTATGAGCAACAAAATTGTCTATCGAGAAGAAACATGAATAAAATAAAGCTGGCCTTATGCGATTCCCCCCCAAAAATTAAGCCGAATAAATAAGCATGCACACTTTGCTATGGGAGGACGTTATGTTTGCTGAAAATTTATACCCACTGTAGGTCACGTGACTTAGCAAGCGCAATCGGTCTATTAACCCCAATTCTACAAACCCCTACTCCCATCCGAAGCCTCTTCATTCATCACTTTATAGCCCAATCTCCACCCCCTCTCCACCAACTTCAACCCAAGTCTGTTCGACCCAGGAATCAAACGACACTTGTACTCATCCATACTGATGCAGATCAGCTAGTAGAGTTACATCACCCACATGGAAGCCAAAAGTTGAAGGCCGGGGGTATTTCCCGAAGACGTGTGTGTTGTAAGCGTTGGGCGGACTCAGTTCACCCCTGCCTGTCAGCAGAGTTATTCTATCGGGGGAGGGGGTGTTGGTGGAGAAGAGAAGATGACAGGGGAGCATCAGGTTAAATCCGTCCCCTCTTCACTCTCATTTTTGTCCTCGAGTGTCACGGAGAAGTAGTCTTATGGGGGCTTCAGCATTGATTCGCGCCGCCGACGGAATGTTTCCACCAAGTATTAAAAAACCCTCAAAATGCTACTTGAGTTTCGGACCGATGTCCAGTGTTTACAGAGGGATTGCGCTTCACATTTTTTCAGTGGTTTCCTGTCTTGTCAAAGGAACTGGGGTCGAGTATTAGTTGCAAGGAGTCTTTTATCTCATCTTTGCATACAAAGCTAAGATGAAATGAGAATAATTATAATATGCGCGCGATGGCGCGTACTTTCTGTTAACCATGCGCGGTTCGTCTGAACGCTCCGGCGCACAAAAGAACACCACAGATGCAAAATGCCCATGTGTGCGGAAATATACCCGATTTTAGCATGCACTGCATAATAGTGAAGTGAAGAAACTTGAGACATCTTGATCCTGGAAACTTTAGTCCAACGATGAGCAACTGTTACAAGTTTGGTCAATGCTCAAGGTAAATGGTAACAATGTAAACTGAGAACATTACATAGCCTTTAGTGCATATTAAGATTCAAAAGGCCTTCTCACGCTATCCAGAGTAGATCAAGCCCAGCTGCTACAACTTATACTTACCAAAAGCTGAATTTATTCGCTCAACATTGATTTATGTGTAGGTGGTGCCTCGGCTTCGGAAGCCCAGTTCTTGCCATTGTGCTGTTGGTTCTGGCTTCCCGGGCCTGCAAGGTACATGGACTTACGTCACCGGTACCCGAACCGACTGGGGAACCAGAGCCCAGCGGCGAACCAGAGGGGGAACCGACTGGAGAACCAGAACCTAGCGGCGAACCGGAGGGGGGACCGACTGGAGAACCGGAACCCAGCGGCGAACCGGAGGGGGAACCGACTGGAGAACCGGAACCCAGCGGTGAACCAGAGGGGGAACCGACTGGAGAAGCGGAACCTAGCGGCGAACCAGAGGGGGAACCGACTGGAGAACCCGAACCAGAGGAGGAACCAGAACCATCAGATGAACCTATCTCTGTATCGGAAGCAGATGGTTTCAGACCATCGGCCATGGAAGTCATTCTTCCACCTTTTGGACTCATCTGTGTTATTGTGTTTGGTATGAACTGACTCATAATAATCATTAACACATCCCAAAGTAAAGGCTTGCCACTACAAAACAGCAACTCAGTTTGTATCAATTGATGGATTCTATATAATAATATCAACAGAGGTAACGTCCATGTACCATTACACACGATCATGTAAAATAAAAGGAAACATTCTACCACCGAATTTTAAGACGACTTATCACTGAAAAACATTGTTGGGAACGCTTTTGAGAAATCAGATCAAATAGGATTGCATTACACATAAATACATAGATACCTGCAAATTCGTATGAAATTTTACTTCAACTTTTTACCCCCTTTCTGATGTACCGCCAACAGGTCTGTCCTACCTGGCACTAAGGACTGAACTTAGACGGCGCGCAAACCACGATCGACGGGTCCGAGACTTGTACTTGTCGCAGTCAAGCATGAAGATTCTGAAGTCATTCCCAAAAGAAAGTCGAGCATGTAAGTCTTCACAAGCCAGGGGTGTAGAATTTCGAGTGATTGGGAAAACATGTATCATTCGCTTTTTGACTGGAAAATTGATCATTCAATAATCTGCGCCTTGATTTTTGAACTGGAGAGGCACGACACTACAAGAAACGTTGGAGAGATGCGACATCATGGCTATGGGATACACACAAAATGAAGAGGTTAACTTCTAGTTGGGAAAGAGGGGCTGAACAACCGAGTGAAGCTTTTCCTAAAATTTACTCCAAGCAACTTTAAAAATCACATCAAAACCTGGCTAATTTTTTTTTTATAAATTCCTACTTCCATGCTGAACTCTTGTAAATATGATTAAATGACGATTCAGAACGATCCTCCGTCCCTTTTGTTTTATCTCGTCCCAGTTCTTGAAAAGGAAGATATCGACATTCTGGACAGCATGCAGACTTTTTTCAACCGTCCCCTCGGTCTCTGCCGTATCGCTATGCCGGGCCTGTTGTCGCTAGCTTTCTGCCCCTTGGTGCTCTTTATCTACACGCCGGTGACACAGTTCTTCTGGCCAGCCGATCGTTTCCCGCGTGGTCAGCCGAATATAAACGAAGTCATCGGTAAGGTATCTCAGCCAAAAATTATCCAGGTTTTTGAACGGGCCTGGACGGACATCAACATCTTTTTTTCAATAAATGTAATACTGGATTTTACATGTTTACATTTCTCTGATGCGTGAAGTAGAATTTGTTAGGTTTCAAAAATTAATTAATGATCTTCAATGGAGACATGCTTTTTCAACTTCCAAGTTTTCAAACATTTCAATTTCGCAGCGTGTTTCCTGGCACCGGCAGGACTTGTTTACGCGTAAGTTTATGTTTCCATGATGGTATTTCCTCAAAATTATATCAAGGTTTTCCAAAGTTATTTAAACTCCCTATCCTGGTGCGATTATAGCAGACTATGTATTCCGTATAAATCCACTAAGGACACGAAATTCGGAGACAATCCAGCACGATAACACGCCCATTCTGCGACAGTTTATGGTTGATCTTTTTTCGTTTACTGCTCGGCAGAACATCGTTCGGTTTCTCCTACCAGTCTGCAATGAGCAAGCAGAGGTCGCTGATCAGTATTATCTCACACGAGATTGGTCTACTAGATCAGATCATCATTCTGACGTCACACATGGTTACAACTACCTACCGGCAAAAGGCAGCGGTACGATTACATTCCAGTCTTTAGGCTGCGTCACTAATGCTTGATTGGCTACGACGGCATATCACCCAGACGCGAATTGCACGCTATAAACCGTCCTGTCAATCATTTTGGATGCAGCCACTAGACCTTAATGATGGAAACAGTCAGAAAGATAAACGCTTAAAGCTAAGGGCTAGGCAAAATTATTAAACAGTTATCAATTTTCAGGAGGGAAGAAATTAACAGCAGGTTAAAACCTGCATGCATGAGTAGCTTTTTGCAAACCTTTTTTTGCTGCGAACAAATCGTAGTTACGTTGAAGCTTTTCCCCTGCAGTATTGTTTCTCAGCAATACAGGCGTTTCACAGTAGTGCGCCTCCAAGAGTTTGCAACGCGTTGACCAATCACAGTGCCCGAAATCTGTCGAGCCCAATGTGCGTTTGGAAAGAGTCGACAGATTTCGTGCTCTATAATTGCCCGTATTATCCTGTCACAAAGTTTGAACTCTCGTAATCAGACTTCAACACATCTAAATCACCTTCTCAAGTTTCAAAGGAACGAGGATTTTCTCGACAGGAATGCTGTTCCTTGACTATTTTAATTCACGATCTGTTGATGTAAGTAAATGTAATAAAATCTGTAAATGAAGTAAATGTCATACAATGCACTATCACAAAATATACTCGGAGTGTAACACAATTTGTACAAATAAGATTCTGGTTACAGAAAGATTTTTAATGCCCAGATGTATCGTTGCGTCAAGGAGGAAGTGATGTCCATCATATTGCAGATACAGGGACAGCGAGGCGAGAGCACGGCAGACTACCAAACAGAATCTATCAAGCGGACAGCTATGGAAGGTCCGTTGAAACATCGTCAGCAAGGAACTAATCCAATCTGCGATTAATTGGGCTTGAATACCCTTGACATGGCACAGCGCACAAATCGTAGAATGAGCTATTTAAAGGTTGGACGTGGGTTTGTTTTGGAGCACAACGGCACAATTTTCGGACTTTGCGACGGAAAAATGATTTCTTACATTTCATACGGAGCAGCTGGAGTGAGATGTGGTCGGGTGGGGTTGAAGCACAAACTTTTCCATCCCTTTCGCGGCGATCAAATGCTTTGTAAGTGTTGAGCGAGACACATTTTGTTTTCATCGAATGAGTTACGTGAGAAAACAGAGAGTTTTTGATGTCGACCATGTAAATTGGTTTATTTTTGGTAGATAATCGGCACACTACGATCAGCCACTCAAGAGCAGGAGAGATGGCACTTGGATAAAGAGATGGTGGTATGGTATTACTCGTGCCATATGGCGGCACATTAGTCTCTTCCTATTCTTGAGCATGAAACTGCCGTCACGAAGCACATAAACCTTGAATCGAGACCATACATAAACCCTGTTTTAACTTTCAAAAATTTTGCTCAAAAAACAGGCGTTTATATTGTCGCTCTTTTCCTTTGGTTGCAAACCTGAAGTAACATTAATACCATACCAGGGAAACTCTATTAACGGGAAACAACCCATCAAGGTTCGTTGTCAATGCAGGCCGAGTCCGGAAGACAGAGAATTCTCAAGTCAACGTCTCGGTTCTTCACTCTTTTCAGACGAAGATCATAGACCGTATCCTGATGGTCAACTCGGCCTCTTCGGAGCGATACGAAATCATGACAGCCACTATCCACCCTCTCAAGTGGATGTTCCTGGAGACGCTAGGTTTCTTCGCATTCTTCGGTGTTCTGTTACTCAAGGTAAATACGCTTACACGTTGCGGCTTGGTCTGTTTGTCCGTTATCTACCCTGCTGTTTCCTTGGAAATCTCCCGACATCAACTCGGTCACTAACAACTTGGTTGTCCATATTTCGTACTGAAAACGAGGAGGAATGCATCATTTTACCGACAGATATCTGACATGTCATCCTTTTCTCCAAAAACTCACTACCTGACGAACCTCCAGTCTCACACTGACCATAAAAGAAACGGGCAAGTTCCTCCTCATCACTGCGATTGAGAACTTGGAATATTCGTTTGTTAGACTCTTGTCCAACTCAGATCTACATAATGAACATCTTCACTTCGATGACACCCAGACATTTTTACTGTTCGTTTTCAGGCGGAATCTTACAGAATGGAACTGTGTATGTGTATCATGACCGTCTTCTCTATCAGCATTCTTTGTTACGTGGTAGCCGACCTCGACTCGCCATTTAATGGTTTCTTCCGGGTATGGGATGAACGACAATTCTTCAATCAGCTGGCCTTGTTCACTTTTTTTTTTTTTGGCATCTTGAAATGATTACTGCCGTACATAAATTCTCGAGTTCAGACATCCGGGAACTTCTGTACATTACTGAATAGCACAAAGGGTAAATTTTCCCCTTTGCCGTGTGTCAAAAATCCATATAGGCGTCACGCCGACCGCGAGAATTTCAGACGCTTGGCCCGATGGAGTCCCATACCTCCACTAACTCAAAAAATGACAATCTTTCAAACCCTTGCTTTCAACACTCCCACTGTAAAGATTTGAAGTTGGCTTTCGGAAGAAAAAAAGAACATCTGGGGAGAGACACAAATCATCAGAATTAGAGGTTCCCAGAGACGATTCCAAAATCAGTGTAACAGAAAAAGAGAGATTTGTTGGGAAATGTGAACGGCAAGACGATCTGTTGCTGGCGCCTTTTCAAAAAGTTTACAAGATCCCAGCTGATAAACTAAACAACTTTCCCTTGTTCTTCAGGTGAGCACCACTGGGCTGACTGATCTGACAAAAAAGACAGAAGAGATGTACGTGCTAGCCATGCAGGGTAAAGATCTGTACAACTGTCCAGATGAGGGCGAAGATGTGGGCGGGGAAGATGAACAGAGTAGGCGGAGCAGTGAGGCAGAGATAGAGATTGAAAACGTTCACGTGGAGTCCAAGTTTGACATGAAAGTATAGAGCATGGAATGGGGGTACCTCTGTGAAATGATAACGGATCATAATTAGCTTTGATAGCAATAGGTGTGGTCCTCCAGCAGGCAGGAACACAACTCCTGATCAATCAATATGGGCGTTTCACAATAGTGCGCCTCCAAGAGTTTGCAACACATTGGCCAATCACAATGCCCAAAATCTGTCGACCCAATGCACGAAATTTGTCGACCCAATGCGCATTTGGAAAGGGTCAACATATTTCGCGCATTCCGATTGGCCAACGCGTTGCAAACTCTTGGAGGCGCACTATTGTGAATCGCCCGTATTGTCATGAAGACGGTAGGAAGAGAAAACAGGCAAGGATGGATGGTAACAGGAGAAGAGGATGAGGCGGCCATGAAAATGTCATTAGGGAAAAAAAGACAGGAAAGAATAACAGTAATGACAGTTGGACAATGGCAGTGGAGGGCAGTATCAGTGGCAGAGGACAGTGACAGACATTACATAGTATCAAATATAAACATTTCACTGCAAAGCGTCCGGGGTATTAATGACACTGAACTTACGTGCAGCTTGGGGTAAGTTTTCTTTGTTCAAATATCTTGGAAACATTTTAAGTTGTCATTAAGGAAGAAAGATGTAGCAGTGCTTAAGGCCAACAAATAAACGACTTTCTGTCCATCAGCCACATTTTCTCTCTGTATAAGGATTACATGCCCATATATTAGTGAAACAAAGTCAGGAATTTAACAAGTAGGATTGTTTATTAACGATCTAGATTTCATCATCTTCAAGTCTTTTCCAGAGATTCTTTAGAAAAACTACTGCCGTTTATTCCCAATTATCAATAATTTCTGTTCACAAAGGTATCTTGAATGAACTCTGCTCAGAGAATAGGTTTATAACGAGATTAATAGTCCAAATTAAGTATGATGCAGACGTGTTTACGTAGACTAGTTTAGTGAATTTTGACTAGTACGGCAAAACAATTTATTAAATGGAGTATGTATGATTATGTAGATACAGACTTGATTAAAAAAAAAAGTCGATTAAAACCTTTGCCTGTGAAAGACTTTTCAAAAGCTTGACCATCGTGCATCTTGCTTAAGTGCCAAAAAATACTTTCCATCCGAGTTCCAAACAAACGAGTACCCACAAAAATCCAATGTTATAGCAATTCTCCATGCACTGAAGAAATTCACTCGCAGTACAACAGCAGCTTTTCCCCCCAAACTGCATAAACTTTTGAAATTACAAAATGAAGAACAGAGGCAAACTAAGGCGAAGCCAAACAAACCGTCTTAGTCCTGTTGCCTGAAACGTGAAAAACGACTTGCTTGTTTTGATACAGATGACTTGCACTGATTAAGCAATATTTCAATATCAAAAAATAAGCTACGACATTTCATGTGGGAAATCGTTTTATCTTTTCACTTTGAACTTTCTACTTTTCAACTGTATCAAAACATCTCCAAGGGAGAACAACGTGGCAAAATTCAACAAAACTTTAGGGCATTGACACCTTCATACAAATCTATCCACAGAGAAATGTCCTACTGGATACTGCTCGAGTTGCTTGTTCAAGAATTGCTCAAGCTTTAAATCAGAGATTTCAGTTCGCATTCCCCTTGTCAGCTTCATCTCATATTTCCTGCGGCGTCCCTCTTGTTAATAGCTTCGGACTGAGCGTGGACAGTGTCTATGAACGTCCTGACGTGCTCGGGATCAAAATCGGGGTACACACCATGGCCCAGGTTGGCAATGTACCGCTGCGTGCCAAAGCGATTTAACATCTTACCCACAAGTCCTTCAATGTCATCCTTACTGCCATACATAGCGCAGGGATCTAGATTTCCTTGCAGAGACACAGCGGAGGCGGCCTGGGACCTGCAACAAGAATAGAATAACGATGATTTATGTCAACACTGGGTCTTGTTACTTAATATTTGCGGCTTACGTAGTTTCCTTACTAACCTAAAAGGCTGAATTGCGAAAGGTAAAGCTACAACGTGGTCAAACTAAAGATATGTAACGGTGCATTTCAACACGCGATTGCCAGGCGACTTGTGTCTGACCATGGCGTACGGCAAGACATCAATAATGTTGATTTGTTTTGCAGAGAGAGAAACCGCCCCCCAAAAAACCAGTAAACCTGCTGAGGTCAGCTGGTAGGTTCCACAACCATGATTATTTGATGAGGTCACAGTCAGAAATGATGCACTCCTATTTGTTCACATTCCAAGAGGACACAAACTTGTTTTCATGAGTAATGGACTTCCATTCACAAATAATGAAATAAATGTCAGACTTTACCTTGCTACTTCTGGGTGAATGGTCCAGTCCAAACTGACGACATCATATCCCGTTTTGGAAAGCTCTTCTATGGCATAGTGGCAACCTTTGGCAAACACAATCTGTGAAGTGGGGGTGAATTAAACAAATATCTGTGAGGAGGGAGAAATCTCAAATATCTCAAAGCAGTTATGCCCCATCAGTCTTCATCCAAAATCAGGGACCCTAATAATAAATGTTGGCGTTTCCTTGGGAGAAATACAAAATTGCTAGTCCCTTGGCCAGGAAACATGTTGTCAACCAATATCTCAGGATGAGTATTTGGAATAATAGTGTTCAATACCCGGCCTGGTACACATATGGATTGGGATTTCAGTCCCTGCCTGATTCCATGGGTTTTAGCCAGAATATTCCTCTGGGGTTTCCCTCCCACCTCTAAAACTGTAACTGCCTCTCATTGTCTCATCTCTACAGGTTTCTTAAAGCTTGAGAGCTTAGAGTGCCTAGAGCACTCAGCTGAGGAATCCTTGGTGTCACCTGTCATTGCAAGAAATTAAATAATAATAGTAAATCATCATCATCATATTTCCCATCTCCTGGAGAACCTGAAAGGCTTGGGATTTAACGAAACCAAGTCTGCACTGCCGCAGCCACCTTCTGACCTTCAGGTTTTATACCTTTGATGCCAGCATTTCACAATCTTCACTCACCATGGGGACTGGTTCAGTGTTTGTCTCTCGAAGAGTGCTCTTTACTCTGGTCACAATCTCTTTCAGGTAGGGCAAGGCAAAGGTCATGAAGAGGTCATAGCCTAACACCCCAACATTGGAGTCAAAAACCTGTAAGAGCTGAGACAATCATTTCAAGGAGGAACCCGTTAAATCTGGAAATTTGGCTTTGCTATTATGGGATGTGACGGAAGTCCTTCCAGAATCAATGAAGAATTTCTGACCAATTGAAACTAAAAAATTGACTTTTTTCCTAGGGCAAATTCTTGGAGCCTTGCAGGATTGTTTTGTACATCAAAACAAAACCTTTTGTGTGAAGAATGAAATCACTGATGTTGACCGTATCGTACTTGATTGATTAGTTGATTTTATTCTCACTAATATTGATTTGTCAATGATCACTAACTCCTTGCTGAGGATCTATCAATCAGCAAGTCAACTGACTTGTCAGTCAAGAACAGCCAACAACCAGCTAGTCACCAATCTGGTGTAAGCATCTACCCAACTATCCATTAACTCACCTGGGCACCTGCTAACACCTGTCCCACTAGATAGTCTACGATCTTGTCAGTCAGCAGCCGAAGGAACTTGTGGCTCTGCTCTGGGTAAACGTACAGCCACTTCTTGGCTTTGCTGAGAGTGGTCGAGTTCCCTGTACCCTCGATGCAATATCCCATCAGAGTCCACTGCATAAACATAGAAGGTACCTGTTCAAGTTTTCTGCAAGGGAGTATGGTCCAGTGGTTAGGGTGTGTGACTCATAATCAGAGGGTCGGGGGTTCGAGTCCAGCTGCTGGCTGTATGTTGTGTCCATGGGCAAGCCACCTGACCTCTATTCACTGTTCTCCACATAGGCTTTTGAATAGGTATTAGCAAAACTGAGGGGTAAATAGTGATGGGATAACAGCCCATGCTGGGATATATTCTCAGTGTTTCATACCAAGGAAATCTAGATAAATATGGCATTTCACTTGAAAGTTTCAGCACTGTACACTACTCCACATTAATCTTTGTCTACCTGATAGTACTTGAGTGAACAAAATATGACGCAATTAACTACTCTTTAATCCAACAAGAAAAATATGTTTTTATACGGTCATTTTTTGCTGGAGCCACACACAACATCTCATCTATTTCAGGAAGAGCCAAGACCCATTCAGGACAAGATAAAGTCTTTGCATATAGTCAGGAAAACCCACCGGTGCTCCAGAGAAGCCAATAAGTGGAACCTTTCCTTCAAGTCGTCTCCTGGTCAAGGTGATGGCATCAAAGACATAACTCAAGGCTTCGGTGACATCCACATCACTTTTCAGCCTGGCGAGGTCTTCAGGGCAGTTCAGTGTGTTGTCAAATACCAACCCCTAGAAGACCAGAAAGCAAGCTACATGTATAAAGATCTCACAAATATCAGGGTACCGAGAAATTCCAGGAGATAACATTATTTATGTTCACTTATTTAACCCTGAAAGTCCAAAATCCTCAGTTTTTGTAACTCCTACGCAGAGATGCATCCTTGATAAAGCCAGTCCAACTGACCCTTGTACTGTGGCAAATCAAGTGGAAAAAATTTCTGACTGTCCGTGGAGGATGAAGTGATTTTTTTTTACAAATCATGGTGTGCGGGATAATCTTAGGCATTCTAGAAAATCCATCAGTAGGTTTGAAGGATCTTGAAGGACTCTGGCTGAGGGAAAGTGGAGTGTAGCCACTATTATTTGTCCTAGAGCTTGATGCAACTTGGACATGAGTCAGTTTGTTATTCCAACAGGTCACATGGGCATTGCAAGGCGGCCAAGGGGCAATCTTTCCCAAAAGAGTATTGACAAACAGGAGTGAAAAAAATGAAAAAATGAAAAAAAGAAATAAAACATGATGAAAATCACCTGCCTTCTTGTCAGCAAAAATTAACATTGCCCCCTTTCCATTGTTAATGATTTATTTGTTCATTAATGACGAGTCCTTTGCCCCTTAGAAAAAATCCTGACAAAATGTGAATGCACAAATGACACCCATGGTAGGTCATTAAAGAACAATATGCACAATGTAAGCCCTATCAGCGCAGCTTTAGGCTGACTCGCGCATACAGTCAACACATCCACCTGACATGATGACTGACCATGCCCTTTTCAAACTCAGAATTGTTCACGTGCAAAGCATGCGCCCTTGGCCTCTTTCACAGAGGCTTTTTGAAGGATTCAGGACAATTCCTGGAAATAAATACCCCAAGAGAGATTAGGTAGCAAGAAGATTGTCAAGGACAGTGCATACACTGCTCTTTTGAGAAAGGCCAATAAATGACCAATCTGTAGTCAGCTCACCTTTCCTGAGATCATCTCAACATGGATGCCAAGGACTTGAGGAATGACAAGAATATCAGAGAAAATGATAGCTGCGTCTAGGTCAAACCGGGCGATGGGCTGAAAAGGTACAAGATTATACATGATGCACATCATATACAGAACTTCTAAAAAAAGAAGCAGTTCACATCCAAATTCCATTTGACCACTACAAAAAACTGGCAGAAAAACAGATATGAGTGAAATCACTCATGTTTCAGCAAATTTCTTGTTTTGCAACAATTATTTTGAATACAATTCATAAAAAAAGTAAGTATACCTGTAGTGTGACTTCACAGGAAAGTTCTGGAGTTTGGCATATTTCAAAAAAGTCGTGCTCCTTCCTTGTGGCTTGGAACTCTGCAGAAAAGACAATTATTGCTTGTTACATTCGGGTTCAAGGTTTGATGGCTGGCCTGGTGATCAGAGGTAATAATGCCACGTGAACTAACCTGGGAGATATCGTCCTGCCTGTCTCATGACCCAGACTGGTACCCTTTCCGTCTTCTCTCCACGTGCTGCGCGAAGAATTAAGTCATTCTTCAGAGGTGGGAAATTCTGCAATGAGAAATACAACACAATACAAGTATATTTATGCAAAGCAGAAAAACACCTATGTATCTTTTCAGATGGTAAATTGGATAACAACAGTATATCCTGTGATTGACTTTTGATATTAATGGTATATTATGACACATTGATGGTACAATAGGCCTAGTTAATCTGGTCAAGGTTTGAGTAGGTTTAAGGAGAAAGAAAAATGTTGCTAGACAAACTCATTCGAACCTGTCGATTATGAAGCTGTTTGACTTTCTTGCGTACGTCACTTAGAGCCTTAAAAATGGCCTGTATTTGTTCCGAATTTTGCACAGGAGGAGCAAGTCTCTGTGGGATGGGAATAGCGTGGTGTTTTTTAGCTGGCGGTGCTTGGATGTCACAATTGATGTCTGGAGCTTTTTCTGTCATGTGGGCGCTGGGGTTGATACCAACAGGGTATGGCCGGTAACCTCTCAGAGTGGAAACAGAAATGTCATTACATGTATCTGGGCATCTGGCACGTTTTGGTGGTCTGGATTGAGGAGGCAATGCCACAGCGTGCTGTAGTCGGGAGTAAGTGGTGCCGTTGATATTTGAATGGGGCGTAGAGGAAAAGAACAAATAGTCCTGATCGTCTTCATCTGCCTCGTCGTATTCGTAACTTCCAACATCGGCATCATCTTCAGGGTATCTGAGAGCATCACCTTGATCCGGGAAGTCATCGCAATTCGGATAGGGACAGCTCACATGAAAGTTCTCTGATTCACAGGCATCAGGAACCACTTCAGGGAAGTATTCATCTCGTGTGAATAGACGATGCGTTGTGGGATTTCGTGGCAACGAGTTTGGGCAGGTAGGGATGATCTGACTCAAGCAGTTATAGTTTAAGATGTTCCCTGCCGGTGGGCACTGAGGTTCATGACCAGATCCAGCCAGCGAAACATAGTTCAAGCGGCTGATGATGGCGCGCGCCTTACAGGAACGATTCCGACATTTGAGGTAATGTTGCCATTCCGGCAACGATCTCGAATAAAGATGTAGCCTTCAATGATGTAACCCCGCCCATTTCCTTTCAAAGCGATGACAGTAACGCAGCCACTCAGTGGCTTCTGAGCTTGTCCATCGCCTCTCGAGTCACAACTTACTTCACCACCGTGAGTAGTAGCATTTTCCGTATCCAGCTCGTCTCTTTCATTTTGTTGATCACAGATGCTGGTTCTTGCTGCCTGAAGGTCGTCATTGTTGGAGGAGTTACTTTCAGATTGAGTCTGCTCTAGAAATGTTTTGAGGTCCTCAGTATTGGGTTTTTGGTCTTTATCGGGATCCATACCTTCACCATCCATCAGAGTCCTTCAAACCTGTCCTTGTCTGAGTTTATTAAATATACAATGTCAAGCTGAAAGTCAACCCCAGTGCAGGGCTTCGAGGTTCTAAATCGACAAATAAATTTTGTAGCACAAGATGCAAAGGCTCCTTTTTTCAATTCGATCACAATATGGCCAACGTTTTGTCGCTCGAACAAATGAAACGCCAACCGGACTTCAGACGAAGAGATGGGCTACACGGTGAGCAACACATGCAGAGTGGGGACTACAGAGAGTAGGCCACGCAGCTTTTACAAACACGAAGGACACAAACAAAACATTTTGACCGAGCAGCCCGACCGAAGCAAAGTGGACAAAATGGAAGAAGCAGCGGAAAGCGGACAGACAGCTAGAGCGCGACCACGGGGAATTTCGGTTTTGAAATTCCCCAACTGAATGATCATGAAAAACCAAGAATTCAAGAAGCAAGTTTAGACGGACGCATCCTTATATTTAAACAAAAGAAAAACACAGACAAGCCCACCATGGACCCCGAGTGCAGTGCCGACTGCGCATATCGACGCAATTTGAAGGCGTGTCGACAATATGCAAATAAGGAGAACCTGTCGAACAAATGAATGACAGCTGTGTCAGATTGTGAGGGTAAAATTTGTCGAATTTTAGTTGGAAGAGTAACAGCTGCGTACCGACAGCTACGGAAACAATGAAATTTGCATCCTGCAAGCCCCCTAAAATAAGCTTACCGTTGCTTTCTCGCGTCCTCCCATGGCTGTTTCACATGCTCGAAAATTTCCAACACACCGAATACACTTTATTCGACCACAACCCACCGAAGAAAAGATCGAGCACAAGAGCGCGGTCGAACTAGCAGTCGACATGCGCCAAGTTATGAAACAAGAACGCCTGGTAGCCGCGTATGTAAAGCCCGCAAAAAAAATTTGCCATTGTGTACGGTCCATGGTAGACCAGCGAGTCAAGGCCAACGGCTGTTTCATGTTTACAAGTCTCGTTAGCTGGGTTCTCAATCTAGCCAAGCACTGCGTTAACAACTTCGGCACAATGTTGGAAACTCACTTGAGCGATCCAGGTATTGTGCCTGCAACGACGCACTTTGCAGTCATGACAGTGACTATTCGACGGCGCCTCCAAATCCCCACCCCGATGATTTTGAAGCATTCAGACAAATCTTGCTAAACACTAGGAAGGAATTTACGACGCAGAATTGACATGCTTGAGAGACAGTGTTTCTCTTTCCAACTAACTTTGGCACTATTTTGACGCTCGAAATTGATAATGATCTCTAACTTCCCTCTTTAAAGCCCCCCGCACGATAACCCCCCCGGGGCTATTATAGACTAATCCGATTAGACGCCATAACTGCGCTGGCACTCCATTCACACGCATATTTTTCAGCCTAACGCGCGCGTGTATTTGGCAAATCACGACACCCTATTGGTCGAAGAGGAATGTAACGCGCGCGTACCACCTGTCCACGAGGGTTGTGCCACCACAGTATAGTAATGGCTTCTAACCCTTTTTGTCGACTTTGACTATAATCAGCCCATGTGACCACAAAAAGGCTGAAAAAATAGAGAAATACAGGCCCATTCAATAAATCTACAGATCTGATAAAAAGAAACAAGCAACTCTAGAATCCTCGATTTGAGACAGAAGGAAACGAAGCAAAATTAGAAAAATTGTTTTATTTGGTTACAATTATCCGTCTTGAGGGAAAACATCGCAATCATTGCAAGGATTAATATTACACTGTACATTAACACCTGCTAATGCAGTCTAGTGTTTACTGAGAATCTTTCTCGTTTGCTTTATAGAAAATTATACAGAATTTGTGCTCACACAACCAAAATTACCCCAAACCTCTCTCAAATTGGTGCCCACTTGGCAAAAATATACACAAGCCAAAACAAAAATTAACTTCTAAAAAACAAAAGGCTGAATGAAAGTTCCAACTTGAAATGCGACAAATACGGCTTCAGGGTAAAGCACTTCTGAAGATAAGAAAATATCAGACGCCCATTCATAATGTAGTGAAAAAAGACTCTTGATAAAGTGAACCATTCGGGTACAATTACTGGAACAAGTTTTGTCTACAAGACATTTTTTGGGTGTTAAAGCTGAATACATTCAATCAAATAGGGTTTAACAGAAATATCAAATCGCGATATGTTTTCACTGAATAACTATATAAATAATGAAATTACAAACACCATTTATGTTTATCTTGAGTCCCTTCATTTTTTTTACAGAGATATGCACTTTTCGTTTTTGTTTTTTTTTATTTTTACAAACTGTGGTCTGACAAATGATAGTATGACACCAAACCCAGGAAACGTTCCAGTTCTTTTGTACAGGATCTTGAACAAATAGTACCGAAGGGGAAAAGAAAAGTAAGGAATGCTACCGCTTCAGGGATATTGAAAAGTAAAATACAACCAGAAAGATTGTCTTCTGTTCTGTTACCAACCACTACATATTTGATCAACCCAAGTTTCAGATATTTTCCTGAGATTTTGTTTTAATAGTTTCCTTTTGTCTTTTATCTAGGAAGATATGCAACTTTAGGTTTGAAAGCACACATTCGAGATGCACTACAAAAGCTCATTGAAGTCTGAATGAAAATTCCTATATCAAAGACATACAGAAGCCAAATGTTGCAAACAACAGCAAGTCTACAGATTTTCAGATGACCAAAATGCCTTCTGATTTTCCTCCCTGGAAGGAATTCAGACAACTGGTAAAGAGAAGGGTTCCTGAACTGTGTACATCATTTTTGTGGAACATTAACAAGCAAGCAAATATGCTGGACAAAGAACGAGAGGGAGAAACAGCAAAAAAACGTAATGTGGAAATTTCTAGATTATCATCTTCAGTCTCAAAAAAAAATCACGGCAGATACAAAATGCAATTGCAAAAGATAGAAAAACACTGTCCTTAAAAGACAAAAATTGCTTTTTTCATTAGCTGAGTAAGTTTGCTTCAAATCACCTTCTTCCAGACAGAAATTCCAAACAATCTACTTCACAGACTAACCTGTCATAATAGAGTGTATTTATATCAAAAAGTTGTGTTCACTTTACTTCATTTTTAAGGGACACATTTCAAATCTTGAAGACTTTTAGGTACAAAAAACTGTAGAAGGTCATTTCTCCAATTGCCATATGATTTATTTCCAGTCCAACATTTTCAAGAATTGCATCAAGAATACTCTCCATCAATGAAGATTCACCAACAGTCTGAGCATAACCCTCAGCTTTCATCATCTGAAGAGTCCGAATCACTGCTTGTGAAGCCGTCATCCAGACGAACTTGGGCGATGGAACCAATAGGCAGGCTAACACTGTTAAAAGCAGCCGGGAGAGCTCGTGTCAAACCATTCTTCTTCAACTGAGGAAACAAAAATTAAAAGTATTACAAGCACAAATGGAAATGGAATGAATAATGATAATGAAGATAAAGAGAGCTGAACATTTGGGTGCTTTGGCAAACGCGAAGACCACGATTTCAATAAAGAATCACATTGATTTTCAGGTGAAAATAAATCTTCACTATCTGGTACGCAAGTTTATGGTTCCTGACCTAACACTTGCTGAGCTCAATGGTGGCTGATTGTTAGGAAACCGTGGTGCATATGTTACTTTGACTCCATTTGATCTGATTCTTTAGTCCCAAATATCCAAAATCCGATGCAAACTTTTGCAGTCAGCTGACCATTTGAGGACTGCTCAAGCTGGTTTTTTGAACACTCTTAATATTCCATTTGGGAAGGGGGTAATGTCAAAAACCAGATCTCAAAGCGAAGTTTTTGGTTGTTCATACCTGTTGAGACCGTTTCTGAAACTCCTTGAGTTCATCTTCAGTCAGTGGAGCGTAGCCCTCTTCATTGTCGCTGTGTTCGTGCCAACCCATCTCCTGTAGGAGCCTGCCAAAGATAAAGCACCACAAAAAATATCAATCTTGGAAACAGAGAACAAATAACTTCACAGCTTTGCAAAAACCCATCTCTTGGTCGTGGTATCTTGCCCCAGAAAGGTGAGGTTTTCAGCCACAATTGAGATCACATCTAGGGCCACTTTGTTCCTAAAAAAAACAAATCCAAAATGACACAGTTAAGAATTTTCAAAATTTAACGAAATTTAAGAACAAAGCATGCATGTGAGTCTGCATATGGTTGCAATGACGGCAAACCGATTGACCGAATGACCTAAGCAATGCATTCTGGTCACACACTGTTGCACATGATATTGGCCCAATGGTTACCATGAACGGCCCCTTCCTACATTTGTGGAACTACTTCTTCTGCATAAACCGAGGAGATTTTAAATATCTTAGACACAGATTTAGCATGAATATACATGTACAGTCGAACCTCGTTAATGAGAGCAGTGTTGATTAAGATTATGCTTTATAACAAGGAAATGTTTAGGTCCTAATCCTTTGTTTTCGATGCTGATAATATGACGTTCCTGTTATCACAAGGTAATTTGCCAAGTCCAGGGACTTATTGACGAGGTCAATACTGTGCATTAGAATCTGCCTGATTTTCCTTTAATCTGTGCCCGTTACCTTTTCTCGGCTTCAAGACTGCTAGACATGTCTGGCCCATCCTTGACTGGAGAGAAGACCGGATAGAAGTTGGGGATGCTGTCCTCTTCACAGCTATTCTCGGTCTCTGTGACGTCTTCGTGGATGTCAATGCCGTTGGTCTTAATGTCAAGTTGTTCTCTATTTAGTATCGTCATCTAGTGAAGGGAAGATGCAGATTAGGGGGCAATTAGTACACGAACTTTCTTTGCAAGGAACACACATTGAACTAGGACTGTATCTATCCACAAAGACACTGTAAGATACAACAGTTCATACAAACAACTGCAATTTTGAGGACTTCCTTGGCATTTCTAAGACTGCGTAGATGTCAACGAGCACAGTCGCATTAATGCAGCAAACTGTTAAACTATAAATCACTCACGGGTTCAGCTGTGGATCCGTTCATCTGGACCTTCTCTTCAGTCTCTCTCAGGTTGTCTCGATTGGTTTCACTGACCTCTTTGGATATGTCGCCATTGCTAGAACGGCGGAGTTCATTCAGAAAGTCCAGCTTGTCTCCTTTCTTGAGTTTGGGAGTGGTGGGACTTGGGGCTGGCATGTCAAAGGAAGGGGCAGTGGGAAGAACAAAGGTAGGAAGGGAAGGGGGAGGCTACACCAAGAAAGAAACACAAACCTGAAGTTTACCCCCAAAATATACCTGAACATTAAAATTAAAATAAATTCTCAAACTAACACAAATACAATACCAGCACCATAGCCAAGGTTTCTTTTTGATACTTCACAGAGTAGTCAGTTTTGCTTTTCAGTGCTTGGAACTTGTCTTACCATACTGGCTCTTTTCCAAAGATTGTTTCAAAATTTGAACAAACATAAATTTAATCTTAACATTTTCACATGTGGGTCAAACTGCAAAATGACGAGAGATAATTAGACTTAGTATGGCTTGAGGACCATGTAATGAGGCAGTGTCTGTGTATTGATTGGAATGAAAGGGTTGAAGTCTAGTGTTCTGGAGTAGGGTAGCTTGCTTCAATTACGGAAGTACACTGACACATATAACCCCTGTAATGGCTTGAGAGCTGGGGGGGGGAATAATCTCTTCCCCCTTGGTCTCTTAGAGTTAACACCCTAGCTGATTACAATTTGACACGGGGACAGTTGAACTGGCTTCTGGAGATTTATACTAAAATGATATTACTGATGTGTCAAAATCACAGCTGTTGAATTAATCGACTTGAACAGAAGCAAGCACTGACCTCTTTAGAGAGCGGCGTCAGTGTTGACCTATGACCTGGGGTGATAGTCTTCTCCTTCCTGTTACTCGCAGAGTGGAGAGTGACGGGTACAGAGCTGCTGGTACTCGATGATGCTGTTATCACTCGGTTGACAATGGTGCCGGAAGGGCGACTGGAAGACACAGAAGGCCTGCCAAACACAGGAGCAGATCGACCCCCAGTGGACGTGGGACGATTTGGGGTCAAAGCCAAGAGAGAGACAGGAGAACTCGGCTTACTGAGATTTGAGGACATGTTGGCAATAGACGAGGGCTTGGATGGGGTTAGGGATGAGGACATATTGGTAACCGACATTGGCTTGGAAGGTGTCTGGGTAGACAACTTGGAGACAGGCGTCTTGAACGAGGAGACAGTTGCAGATATTTTGGTGACTGACGACTTGGATGTTGTCGGCGTTGCTGGTGTACTGATGACACATGCTGGTGTTGACGGTGCAGGTTGGTCTGTCTTGATGCAGTCTTCAATTACAGGTGTTGCAGTGGTGTAAGCTGATGTCTTGTGAGGTAGGGACACATCAGCGAGGGTAGCTCCTTTGTTGGTGTCAGGTTGGAGGGGAGGAGGGTCTTGATAGCGTGAACTTGTCTCGTCTACGAGGGAGGGTCTTGTGGCGAGGGGGGTGACTGCTTTGGTAATTGGTGACTTGCTGATGGGAGCTTTGTCAGTTGGCCCTTTGCTGGAAGTGATCTTGTTGTTGGACACCTTATGGACAGGTGGAGGAGTGATATCCATTGGCATGGATCGACCCAGGATGGGCACAGGTGAGGGTTTGCTAGGTATTGGTGAAATTCGGCTGGGCGGAACAGGGGCTGATCTGATCGCTGACTCCTTATTCCGTGAGGAAGCCTTTAAGAACAAAAACTTCATATAAGCTATTGATAATAGCACAGATTGGCAAACATCTGAAACAATCTGAAGCAATGTTTATCTATTTACGCCACTACCCCAAAAAATCAATTCTTACCATGGGAGTAACTGACGTCATGGATTTCAGAACAACGCTAGAGCTGCCATTAGAAGAAGCCAAAACCTTCGACGTCTGAGTGGCGGACCCATTCTGACCTCCAACCTTTGACCCAGCAGGGGTGTCCACCACCGATGAGGATGAGAGGGTGATGGGGCGTGTTGTGGACTTGCTGTCCAAGGTACTTGGAATTGATTTCTTAATCAGCTGCATCTTGCGGCCACTGATGACGCGGGTAGTACCAGGTGGTTTTTCTGGAGGAAAGTTATTTTTTTTAACGGTTGAGAACACTGCTTCTAGGTCTCAATGCGGCACCCAATCAGCGATTAAGCATAAAAGGAAGAACCATGTACAAAGATCTTCATTGATTCCCAGATTTCTCAAAACCCCATTTGCGCCATAGCTCCGAAGAATCAGGATCACAAGATATGTTCAGGTTTGGAGGTGGGAAAATCCTGACAAACAATCCAGTAAAAAAATTCACTGAATGTCGGATCGGATGGGATTCAATGCTGGGTCACAGCAAAAAACCTGAGCCAACTTGAATTTAAAACTGTCTTAAGATAAGAATTAAATTAACTTGTACTTATCATGTTTTACTTACCCCACGCTCCAGATGGAATCCCGGTCTTTGATGTTCCACTTGTTTCTACATCATCACTAGAGCCAGATAAGGAAGGCTATGGGGCCAAAATAAGAGGAACTTATCAACAAACGGCCATGCCAGAGAAATCAATTTAAAAACTGGAATAAAATTGTTTACAGCATATTTGCCAATACAGATCAACATTGGTTTAAACAAGATTTTGTCATGATTAAATGTCAGGCTGTCTCATTCTTCCGATTTGCGTATTTCAGGTTATGCTAATTTATAAACAGTGATATTAAACAGGGCCTCATATTTTAGTGGAATACTTACAAAGTCCTGATTTGATAAGGCACTCTTGTTGCTTTCCTTTCCTGCGTCATGTGGTCCATCCCCTTGCACCTCCTCCTTAGTAGGAGTGTCATTGGTGTGATCATCTCGCTCCGAATAACCACTTTTGGGTCCAGAGTTGTACCTGAGTGGTGCACAAAACAGACAACATTTAAACTGAGCTTGTAAATTTGCATCTCGGTGGTGGTGTTGCCAATCAGAACTAAGTCGTCACTAGCACAGCATCATCTGCGCTTTCAAGCCTAGGAGAGACACCTTCACTAGCAGAGTGTCATAATTTCTCGCTCACTGGTGAAAATGTCTTGACCACTACAGCTGGATTCAAAAATATTACAAAACATCCAAATGATTCATTCTCTATAGTAACCCTCCTTCAGTTATAGAAGTTGCAGTCAGTCAAATAGTCCATTCACTTCCCCTTGCTACACTTTATAAAATGGCCGGCCACCAACAGTCGGATCATAATTCTGGTTGGTTCTGTGACCAGTTAAAGTCAATCAACACACAAAAGCAGGCGACAGGTAGACAAAGTTGGTTTATCAATCACCGATAGTTGAAAAACAGCTACATCAAGTTATATACAATTCTTTTCTTTCAATTCTTTCTGTGGGCGGGTGATTCTAAACAGAAAGTTACTTGACTGATTTCAAATGGGCAGACAACTTTGTACAGAATGGATGTTTGCATGGGAGAGTTTAAATAATGACAAACAATAAAGGGTTTTGAAGTTAATTAAAATTCATTATGGTGGCTCTCAAGACAACTTGACAAGCCCCAACAGAGGCTTTGCGTGGTAGCCATCTTGCGGAGCAGTTGTTTTGTTCTACAAGGCAACCTCTTTTGTGCATACCCTGAGGAAGCAAAAGCACTGGCCTATAAGATGGCAGCCATGCAAACCCTCCATAGGTCAGAAACAGGAAACAAACCTCTGTCGTCCAGGTCCAGCCGGTTTCCCTTGCTGATAGTGTCCTCGGCTTGAGGCAAACCCGCTGCCTTCATAGCGCCCATTGCTGGAGTACTGCTGGCCATTCCGAGGGACGGAGCTACCTCGGCGGGGGTAGCCTGTGCCATAGCTACTGCTGGAGTTACCGTTGAACAGGGACACATTCCAGTGGGTCGTGGGGTCTGGGTCCCACGGTAGATCATCGACGGAATGATGGCGATGGCTTGCACCGGAGTAGTGACGATGCTCTGGGAGACATAAAAATGCATAGCAAATATTAACAAAAGAAAAAGAGACATCCAATGAGAGAGTGAGTCAGTTTCATTTTTGAATTACTGTTTTGGGTCTGGAAAGGAAACTAACCGTCTCTGCCTCGGAAGCCAAACTGGTCATGAGTTGGTGATCTACCATAGCCATGGTGTGAGTCTGTGGAGTAGGGTCGTGACTTGTATCTGTCATGGTGTTCTTCTGAAGGTCCTGATCTGACACCATGGTTGTAAATTACATTGGGTGGCTTGGATGACTGCTGAGACAATTGAAAAAGGAAAACAGGAATCAAAAAACATGGAGGTCCGTGAGCCAGTTGGGGATTTTTGTCACCCTGCATGGCTTGGATGGGCGGTGATAACAGGCAGTTAAAAGAAGGTGGTCTTGCTACAGTGATAAAATTCTGTAGAGTCATAAACATGATTCTGCCCAGACTCAGCATTACAGTTTATCGGAATAGTATCCTATAAAAATAAATGTATAAGTGAAATTCTACTCTCAATGTTTCCGATCCCCCATTTTCTCCAAAGTTATGGCAAATGCCACTAAAATCATATTCAACTTGCCTTGTCCAATAAAAATGCTAAACATTACTTTCACAGAAACTCAGGAGGGACCGTAAATTGGACCACTACCTTGAATGTTTGCCAAGCCCACAATGTCTTCTGATTCGGCTGCAAAGTCCGGTCTTTAAGCACCCATTCGTCACAATTCATACAAACAGTGCCAACTGAGAAAAATGTGTTTGGCTTTAGATGGAATTGATCGCAACTAGGGCAGCAATGTATGTAGACCGCTATGGTGCAATGCTAACAAATCTCCTTAGTGGATAGGCTTAAAGAATCTTCTAGGACAGCTCACCTGTTGTTGTGAGGGAATCTTGAGCCATGTGGGAGCAAAGTCATGCTCAGGAAGGTTGGCCATGTCAGCCAATACCATATCATACTGCCCCTGTCAAATCAACGCCACACACAACTAGGGCTGAGTCAGTTCAAATACTTCACTATTCGAATATTCGACCTTCAATTTGATCGAATACCCAAATAGTCAGTCGTATCGACCAGCAGATTGTCGATGAACAAACCATACACAAAATCAATTGCAGTAATGCACACAATTTTACATTATGATTAATGTAGTAGCTTCTCACATCTAGGAGTATCTCCAGCCACGATTTAGCAAGATTTAAGAGATGAACAATACTTCTTGCCCTGTTGAAAATATCTATTCCTTTTAAATTGTTGAATAATTTACTTTTTGAATCATTGTAAGATTTCTGTCGCTTTTCATTTGAATCTGCTTGAAACAAGCCTCCACAGTGCAATTTTTCTTATTTAAAACAAAAGTAATTTTTCCCTTCCTTTTCATGAATTTTGAATTTGAATATTCAAATTCAAAAAATAATATTTGATACTACATCGAATATTCGCTTATTTGGATATTTGGCACAGCCCTACAAACAACATTCAGAATTCAGACAGGACTGCCGCCACTACTGAGTCACACATTCGTACTGCAGTAGAGTCAAGTGGGTCGTTTCATGTAGATGTGAAATGTACGAGACCCATCTGGAGAATTTATTAACCTCACAACTCAGCTAAACACAAGCAGTTCCTAATATGTCTACGTGAAGTTAATTTACAAGTGGGATGGTTATCGGTGTACCTACCTCCTAAATTGGGCAGACAATGAAAGCGGATCGCGTTCACTGTCTTGCAGGCACTTGCTGTGTCGTCAAACCTGTCACCCTCCTCTCTGCATAAAATACAAGTCTTTAACCTGAAATCTCTCTGCTGGTCCAGTGCTGAGCATAGGCAGCGGGCTACCTGGCCATGTTAACTGCTGCTGCGTTTGCGTTCCTTGCAAGCTGGGCTGAACCTCAAGATGTGACTTGATGTTATCGAGTGTTTCGCAGCTATCAACTCACTAAGTGAGCTTCTGCTGTTGTAGCAAGGCACTTTTGACAGGTCTCAGTAAAACCCTTAGCCAATTGTTATAAGAGCCATTCAACCATTTTACTGTTTCTCATCATGAACTTCAGAGCACAAAAGGGATGACTTCACATCATACACTGAGATTTGAGCTTCTGTAGCACAACACTACAACATTTTGGTGTTTATGTGTTACAAGTTATACAAAGGAGATATTGCCATTGTTTTCCTGCTTGAAAAACTGAGTAGGAAAGAATGCTAATGAAAGACCAGATAATCTTTTGCATATAAACAAAATTGAATCAGAATCGCCACAACTATTTAAAAAAATGTTTACTTTTGGAAGCACAGAAAGCTTGACTCATATTTTTGGAAGACAGTGAAAGTTTGATGTCACATTGTGATCACCAGTGGTTAGAAACCAATGTAAGGAAACTGAGAGATATCAAAATTGTTGCGGCTCTAGCTACTGTAGGTGTGCTGTGCTATGGCTGAAGTCCGTCACAATGCAGTCATAGATGTTGTATCTGCTGATGGTACATGCTTGAAGATTTTCCAAACCAGCAGTGGGTGGTACATGTAGTTATGTGAAATCTTTCTTGTGCAATTCACATTCTGGAACAATCACTAAAGGCAGGTAAGTTGATGCTTCTCACAGCGGGAAGTAGTACGCTTCACCTCTTCCACAAATCTAGTGGATGAACTTTCTTTCAGTGGATATTCCTTGCAGTGTGGATAACAAGTAGATTCACACCAGCTTCAATCTCAGCTCTGAGTCAGCATGAGAAAAACGACAGCTGTTGACCTGATGGGAAAAAAAACCAAGTGTTATGTAAACCAATGCTTCACTACTCCTTTTGTGGGAAGAACGTTTTGGGCCCACACATTTTGGGCACAGCAGTAAATAATACTTCATGATAATTAAATGTGGTAACCTTATTTCCCACTTGCTGCCTCACTTGGAAGTCAGCTGAAGTTTCTTGGAGCTTTAAAATTCATTGTCCATGAATCAAGGCCAACAGGAAGCCATAAGGGGTTGTGTGTTTAATAAAATTTCTTTACTAAAAAGACCAGGGTTACCACTTTACCAAAAACAAATCGCCCCAAAGAAATTACTTATTGGTCACTGATGTCAATAACATTAGTTTCATTAAACATTGCTGTGCCCACAACACCATCGTTAACATCGATCATATGCTAAAAACTTATACATTACATTTCACATTTGAAGGATGTCATTAAATGGTCAGGGTTTATATTATCCATGAACAAGAGCATACAGTTTGAATCACTACCACAAGATGGCGACTTTGAGCTGGATGACAGGATTTCCCACTTGAATGAGAAATTTCTCTTTCATCATGACCATCAGCATCTAGTTCCCACTGACTCCCAAACTGGGTGTATCAGACAGTTTGAGACTGTGCACAAATACAGGTAAGAGGTGACATCTGAGGATTCTGATTGGATATTTGAGCTATGTCAAGTGCAACTGTTCAGCGCAATCTTGCGCATATTAATTGTACTTCCTCCCGAGACGAGCTGATTCTCTTACGAGTGGCTTTCGTTCAAAGGCAACTCAACTCAGGATGGAAAACTAAACATTTGGTCAAGATTCATGATTTTCGGAGGCAGGGATGGGGGGCCGAGGGATGGCATCTTCTTTTCATTGCGCAACCATCCTTAACTGTGTGACTTGTAAACCAATGCAATCAGGATGCGGATATGCCCTACGCTGCGAAGGGTAAATTTGCCCCTTTGCAATGTGTTCAGTCTGTAGTAATGTCATGCTGAGTTGCTGTCACAGGAAAATCTGATTGAAAAAGCCAAGTTTATGTTTGCCAGCCAGCACTATTCAAAAACACATAAGACCTACATATAGCAGTCATGCTACATGTATTTAGTGTTGACCAACAAGCGTCAACACACACAAATAGTGTCAACAAAGCATCAACAACCTGAAAATATACTCTGAAGATTTCAAAGTGGTTAAATCATATTTTATGGACTCTGTGTATTTAATTTAAAGAGAACAGCGAATTTTCTCCTAGATTCACACACACACACAAATTCTGCAATGTATGGGAGCTGCCATCTTTCTTTTCTCTGCCGTCCATGCAAAAACAATATGGCAAGTTGGGCCCATGAGCAGAACCAACTTTGTCGCTCAAATTTCCACACTCAACCATCACATTAGATTAATATGATGTACTGAAAATGATATTTACAAGCCTAATATGGGCAATTCACAATAGTGAGCCACTAAGTTTGCAACAATTGGCCAATCACAATGCGCGAAATCTGTTTATGATTGGCCAGTGCGTTGCAAAGTCTTGGAGGCGCACTATTGTGAATCACCTGTATTAACATTGTAAATGTAAAATTTTTGCAATAAGCTTGAATAACTTTTTGACGCTTTGTCGAAGCTCGTTGACACTTAATAGCATGACCCACATGTAGGCCCTAGTGTTATGACCAGTTTCTACTGTATGTACATTACACAATTCACAGTAACTTAGCTGGCTAGTAGGACATGACATGTCATATGTAACGTTGGGTCATGTTTAGTAGGGATACATGATAGCATTACATGTCATCGCAATCATGTTCTAGCCCAGGTTGGACGTTGTCTTCATTTACACTATGACTGATGTCCTCCTGCCATTCCAAAAGTTTTTTCAATTTTTTTTCTCACATTTACGCCCAAGACACTTGTGAACGACATTTGAGCTACCTCCACCAGGTAAAAATGTGAGAAAAAACGTTGAAAAAAAGTTCACTATGAGCTACAGTGCATGGTAGGAAGACTTTATACCCTGGAAGTTAGCTGCAATGCAAAGTACATTGTAGACAACGTTCACTGGCACTGGGTTAACGTTAGACACGTTAGATCAGGTCATGATATAGCCCAGGTTGGATGTCGTCTACATTGCAGTGCAACTAGTGTCCAGGGTATAGACGTTTTTTCTCACGTTTCCCTGGTGAAGACAGCTCCAAATATCGTTCACAAGTGCCTTATATCCAGAATTCCATAAATGCTGTGGTGAAATTACTAAATACGGCCACGGACAACGTATTTTGCAGGAAATGTTGCAAAACTCTGTGCTTTCCGTCGCGGTTCGTGAACGACCTATGTTCGTCTAGTAATACGCATTTGCGCATGTGCAAACTGGCCTCCACGCTTGGCCCACATTTTATGTTGTCAAGAGTCAAGTCTAGGTCTTTGCTCCATTGGAAATGCATGGAGACGCGCAGACAACAGACGTAGCCGTAGCTTTGGAAGCCCGTCTTAGACACGGCATTATCTGCGACTTCTACACTCCCGCCGCTCTTCCGCGCATGTGCAAGGGGCTGTCATTTATGCATTGCCGCATGTGCAAGTACGCATCCTAAACGAATGTAGATCACAATGGAAAGCGTGGAGTTTCGCAAAATTTCCTGCAAAATACGTTGTTCGCGGGCGTATTTAGTTATTCCAACACAGCATTTATGGAATTCGGGATATAAGGCACTTGTGAATGACATTTGAGCTGTCTCTGCGAGGTAGAAATGTGAGAAAAAAGTTACAAAAAATTTGCATTGTAGGAGGACTTTTTATACCATGGACGTCAGTCGTAGGGTAAATGAAGACGACGTCCAACCTGGGCTAGTCATGACATAACGTCCATTTGACGCTTAGCATGCTCAGTGACAATTTTTGGATCCTACTTCGAGAACTCGAAGTCACTAACTCCTCGATACTCCATGCGCCTTTGAGTTTGAGGCAAGGTCTACATGGCGTCGTAATGCTTATGGGGTTTTGGAATCGAATTTTTGTGGTGAAATGGTTTGCAGCCCTAAAAAAGCTATTAAACCAAATTTTTCCCTGCCAGCAAATCTGCTTGATCTATACCGTACCTGCTAAGATTAGATAATAGGCAGTAGGCGTACATGTAGAGCATGAGACGGACATTTTTGGAAAAAAAATGAGATTTTTGCTCACCAATTTCTCGCTTCCACCCGTTGACTGTCATTCCGTTCATGCCGTTTCACCACAAAAATTCGATTCCAAAACCCCATAGGGTTACGACTTCATGTAAACCTTCTTTCCTCAAAGGCACACGGAGTATCACGGAGTTTTGTGACTTCGACGAGTTCTCGAAGTATGCCTAGGCCTACACTATTTGGATCCAATCATGCCAATGCCATGGGAATGGCAGTGATAATTGTTATAACGGTGTGTGAAGTAGGCCTCTCATCGCATACTTACATATAAACTTTCGTTTCAGAATAAAGACGTGGTCTGGCAGTCCATCTGAAGAGCTTTTCAAACTATCTTCCTGATCATATTCGGAGCTAATTGTCAACAAGTTTCACAACTTCACAAAATACAACATGGAGTCCAGTTGATTTCTCGCCGATTATCTTTTGAAGCGAGATATTGCGCGAGAAAAGTTTTTCAATTAATAGATCAAACTGCACTCCACAAATTTAAAGATATAAAAGCATGCAATTCTCCTCATTTAATTTTGCTTTACTGATATAATGATAAATAGCAACGAAAAGATAATTTGAATAAAAACAAAACATATTTTGGTTCACTCTCAAAGAATGCGGTCAAAGGTTAAATTCATGACTGGGCGCGCACTAACACAATGCCAGGGCGTTCAATTTCGTTCCCAGCTAGGTTTTTGACACTAGTATACAATGTCATGTACTGTTCATGTACGTACATGTACATGTATGTCGGCCCTCCTCCATATGCTGGAACTTGTTAGAACAGGAGTTTTCTTAATTTATTTTTTAGGGTTTGCTAGAGCAGGTACGTACATGTACTAGCTAGTACGGTCAGGGAGTCCACCCGGGCTTGAATATGGTACATGAACTCAGAAACGAATGATGGGGTGGCAAACTTGTTACACCATGTAGCATGCATGATGTAGTACTCAGGATGGAGATCCGTAAATCTGAAGCAGAGAGAGGAGAGTCAAGTTGGCGTAGTGCGTGGTCACGGTGGTTCTACTTCTTCTTCCCTCGCCTGAGTAATGCTATGGTCACTGTCGATGGTCAGATCATGGAGGAAGGAAAACAGACTCTTCCATGGTCAGATGCACCATTGTTGAGGCTTGGGCCCCTAGATTCCAACAATTTTCAGCACTCTTCAAATGGTCTTTACCCTAACGGTCGTCAGTCCTCAATTTTAATACTAATTAAAAGTAGAGACACCCCAGGATTAAGGGCTTACAAAATGATTTTTTTTTTCATTAGGTTTTGCTTTTTACTACTACTGCATAATATTTCTTGATTTTAGACTTGTATCATTCTTTTTCTTTAAACCTAATTGAAAATGAATTTATTGTATGGTCTCTTTTTTTCAGAGCTCTTCAACAAGTACAGCACATCGCAATGTCTAGACTACTGAGATGCCTCCAAGGTGGTGGTACTTTTAGGGATGCTGTGACTGTCACAAAACCAATCTTCAATGAAGCATACCCCTGGAGATTTTTCAGTGGATGCTGTTCTAGGAGTGACAGAAGGGAGTCACAGAAATCATCTGCTGTAGTCTGGAAATCGGGACTTGGAGTATCATTGAAGTATCCTGCATCTTGCCAAGCAACGTGTTTGCGTCGATCAAGGACTGGGTTAGAATTTCAGAACCTTGCAGGATTTCAGGCCGGGAGCACAGTCTGTTTGCACACCTCTGGGCATCTGAACGGCAGGGTATCGAACCTCTTGAGGAGGCATCAGCAGGGTCTTAGGGATACCCCAATCCCTGCACTGACACTTGGCCTGTCAGGGCTGATACCTTTTGTTGCTCCCACTTTGTATACTGCAGCGACATTCTCTGTTGCTCCCAACATCCTGTGGGCTCAAGTTGCTTACGGGGCATCCATTTTATCCTTTTTAGGTGGTGTCAGATGGGGTTTTGCCTTGCTGGAAAGGCAGGACGTTGGACCAACATGGTCGATGTTGGGATACAGCATTATGCCATCGCTGATTGCATGGTTAGGGTTACTGATGCCTCTACAAGCTAGCCAGATATGCATCATGACCGGTCTGTTGATGGCGTGGGCAGCTGATATGAGCATCAAGGTCTACCCTGCATGGTTTAGATCCTTGAGACTTACCCTCTCTCTCGTTGCCCTGCTCTCCCTTGGGGTGTCCTACGGATTTTGTTTAGTCTATGAGCCCACATCGGAGACGCATGGGTCAAATGTCATGAAACTCATCAAAATTGTCCAAATTATCCTGGAAGACTAATTTTAACTTTGAAGACTTTGAGTTCCTTCACACTTTGTTTTAGGCATGGACAAAGGGTGTGACATGTATTTGTCAGAGTTGTTTCCAAGTCCACACAATCGCAAGTCATCAGCCTCAGATCCTCCATCCTGAGGCAAAGTTACAAACTTCTCAAATGTGAAAACAGTACATGTATTTGTATTGTCACAATCATTCTGTGTTATGTGTGCCAAAACTTCAGGATGTATAATGACCAAGCAGTGGTTTCCTTTCTGGGTGACTTGATGAGACTTTTGTTATAATTTGCTGACAACTTTTTGTCACCTCTTGCAAGTGGCTTTACTTTACTTTTGTTAAACTTCGATTATCAGTGAAACAGTAGCCTGGTGAAAGGGATAAATGATGCTACACACCCAGAATCTTTCATTCGAGGGAATTGAAAGAGTTTTGCTTTGAACTCCTTGGCTGTGGAAAAGTTAAAAAGAGGAGAATAGGGGCCTGGTTTAAGCCTTAAAACCAGTGAAGATGTACATGTGCACACCTACGTTGTAGACCCCTTTCCATTGGTTTTTAAATATTTTGTTACATTTGTGGTACACAGACGTGCAAAGTTCCCTTGCATCAGCTGATTTCCTCACTTTTCACTTCACACTCACGCCATTGAAAGTTGAGAAACACTGTAAAAAAGTCTTCTCAAGATGGGAATTTCGTTTTGTCAAAGCACAAGTTTCATGCCTGAGTACAGTGTTTATACTGCCTTTGACCACTTTGTACCCCTCTCCGCTAAATAACACTCCCATAGTGCACCACTGTTTGCATGCAGACAAACCAATACCCATATCATTGGAGCTGCCATGTTGGAGGGCAGTGCTTTAGTTTTACTTGATTGCAATGCTAAGAGGCATCTGTAGTCTAATATCTACACTCATGAAGTTGTTCAGTTCTTGAATAGTCTGTTAGTTGCTTTTCTTTTCACAAGTCTGTTGCAATACTTTATATTGTTTCAGATAATGTACAGTTTTGCTCATTGTTTTAGACCGATCTTAATAATATTGATTGCAGGCTGAGCCTTTCTTTGGTATGGGAAGTACCACTTTGTAAGAAAAATGACTGAGCTTAGTATCTGCTTAAGACATGTATAATTAAGTATTAAATTACACAATTTGTGTGGACAAATGTCTTTGATTTCACTCCTGAAAGAAAAGAAACTATGTACATGTAGCTCTTATGAGAAGTCTGTGATTGAATTATATGTATTGATGTCGGCTGAAAGGGCTTTTCAATTGCACTAAATTGTCAGCAGGTTGAAAGAGTGTCGATTTTTCTGCATTTTTTCCTTCACATGGATTGGCCTCGAATTGTGAAAGTGAATACCAACCCTTTTCCCTTGGGCTCTTAATTTCAAAGGAGTGCGCGTCGCATGAGGGCGCCCATTCAAAGCCAGTTCATCTTCCCCAAAGTTTGTATTTTGTTAGAAATAAATAATTGTCTCCATCCGCGGAAAGAAGTGTCGGAACGATGTCTGATATCGATTCGCCTAAAGAGATGGAGTGCGCATGCGCCAACTCTAAACTGTATAAGTGGTGGGGTGCCGGGCGTGACATGTGAATGTACATTTGTACGTGTACGTATATTATAGTACACAGAGCACGGGTTGTGAATCTCAACCACACCGCAGACTGCACCTACCGCATGCTGAAGTCACTTTTATGCCACCCGGACCCAAATGTCTATATACTTCCACCACTGTAGGTCACATCACAAAATGTTCGAGCTTTTTGTGTCGTTTTTGATGTTTACATGTTGGATGGGCGCTGTATCATGTGAGTTTGTGATTCTACCTCCATGGTTTATGCAGTACACCTTTTTATGCCCTTAATGTGCCACCATGATGTACATGTACAAAAAAAATTAATACATGTACATTGTATCTTTAAAGCCATTCCAAAGTATGTAGCATAACTTTGATTCTTTTCATTATAGGAATATTCTGTGCTCTGTGTTTGTTTAACTTTTTACGCTACGCTGCAATTGGAATATCGCTATTTCATATTCTGCCTTTTCAGAACAGCACTTGTAATTTTCTAATCGATTTAGCAGTCATTAACAACATGCATTGGAATTGTCACATGTAAAGAGGGAAATCGATTGTGTCTTCAAACATTTGAAATGGAAAGTGTCTTTCCTGAGTGAAGTACATGTAGTCTTATGATGTTTCCTAAACATAGGAAAAGATTGCCCACAGAATTGCATGAGTATGACCAAAAACAGTGAACCACTAGAAACCTAGTAACTGTGGATTGACACGTTTATTTGCAGGTGCATAAGATTATTAAACACGGAGGTCTCTGAAGGATTTTAAGAGTCTTGAGATATAAAACAACAACTATTGAATGCATTTCGAAAAAAACGAGTAATTTTGCACTTTTTGCCGGTGTATAAATATACAAGTACAGTATGGGGGTGTCAAGGGCGGGATAGGCTGAAATCGGGAATTTCCTGGGACCTTTGGACTGCCTGACAATCATACAGCCTTGTATCACGCATAATTCATTTCTGTGTGTTCTACGTTGTATGACAGCTAGGAATTACATTCGCAATGGGGGATTTTGTTGTCAATTTGACGCAGATGGCTAACAAAAACTTTAACGAATAAGGATGGTCTATTTTTCCTGCCAGAAGAGAACAGTCACACTACAAAAAAAGTGGTATTAATCTAGCACCTTGGGTATTTGCAAGGACCCAGGATGTTAAATTTACACAATTTCAACACGAAAATTTTTGCAGTACACAACCAAGAAAAAGTGTTCACGGTCGACCTGTAACAATGTGTTAGTAAAAACCCTACAGTTCGTATTCGGCTGTATGTTGCTGTTTCTAATGTTGAGCACAATGATGCAGTGGCTGTGTTCACAAGATTTTTTACTCAAAGTTCCTGGCGCCATTTTGTTTCAAAAAGACTACGCTCTTGAAACTTCAGCAAAATAATAAGTCACGAGGAACCACTTTAGGCCTATGTGTCGCAGGCAATTCTTCTCCTCCGTCTTAAAAAAAAAACCGAAGTCTTTCGGAGGTCAATTTAAGTGGAATAATCAGGCGGATTTTCAGTCACAGCGACAGGAATATTGAATTTTTAAACTGAATCGGCATACTCCACGATAAGAAGTCGCGGGGCTTACTTTTTCAGTTAGAATTGTCGGCCCGTTTTTTGTCAATCCATGCATACCTGCCACTGCCTTGAACTCTGCACAAAGAAACCTTCGCACATGGTTGGCCATGCAGGTGCTTATTCACTGTTTAAGAGATCTCTTGTGTTTGTGGGTCAATATTTATCATGGAAAAATGATTTCATTGAAGTCTGACTCCATCCCAATCTTTCTATGACGCTGCCAATGGAACTATAAACAACAACTATCACAGCCACACACGCACAAAATTTATGCATATACTGGCCGAAATATGCGTCGTCAAATTTTTGTATGTACCGTAGGTATGTTCACTTATCAACCGACTTAATTAAAGCCTGTGGAAATTCTGCCCAGCCCATCCCGAAGAAAATGGGGGCTTTGGATGTAACTTTCAAAAAACAAGGCAATATACAAATGGATGCAAACCCTCATTTAGGCCTAAAGCAACAGAAAGGAACATTAGACATATAGCCTACATTTTTCCTTGCTTTCATTTTATTGGTATCAAATCTTCGCGTCGTTATGGTGTTGCGCCATGAGTATGCCATAAACATGATAAGTCAAATGTTAAGAATCAATGTTTGTTCAGAGCTTTGATATTTTGATCCCCGATATGAATACGGGATTTTCAGTTTGTCAACTTGTTTATGATTAAGCAAACACAAATGATTATAGGCTTGAGGGCAGATGTCAGAGATTCGCCTTTGAATGCGGATAGGTAAATATAGGTCACTCAATTAAGAAATCCAATAACGAGAGCATGTGGATTCCTCCATTAAATTCATTGTCTGATTTTTATTAGAAGCAAAATGGATAATACAGTTGAATTAAAAAACCTATCTGACGGTTTAAGAACTAAGAATTAATTTTTTTTCTGTCTATTCGAACCAGAGAGGATTTACTTTTCGAATGCTATTCGCTGGCAGATTTTCGAATGTTTTAAGTAGGACTTCATGTGAAAAGTTTCCGCACAATCAGACGAACGGTTTGATACCCTTAAATGAAACGTGTACGCTTTTGAAAAAGTAATATTTGACCACTTTACAATCAATTTTTTGCCATTTTCTTGATTGATTTATGATAATCTTTTGTGTTTACATAATACTGATGTCAAGTTGCCTGAGACATTCATGAGAAGAACCTATTGATACGGTGGCCTATTTTTGCCATTGTGAATTAATCACATTAAACCATCCTTTAAAGTTCATATCCCTGTTTTGAAAACGCACACACACGCATGCAAATACCGCATGAAATGTCATGAATATATGTCTCTTTTTTTACAATTTGTATATTTGTAGCGTTGCTGCCACCGCAACAGGTGACCAAGAGCCTGTTGAATTTGAACTTTGAGTTGCGATGGACTGCACCAAGCGATGCAACCAACCGTACTCTGTACAGTGTGAAATACAGTCTGAATGGAAGACGGTCAGTTAAGATCATGTCAAGTTTTCCTAGTTGCATGAGCCAGTGCTCTCTCCCGTTGATTTGTTTTGCTGTTGTGTTATTGTAAGAGTTAAAGTCGATATAGTTTAGACAACCTGTCGAACAGAAAGAAGCTGCGATATGTAGAAAGGTAGGGTTACAAGATAAAATTGAACCTGCACGCGTTTGTTTTATCAATAGGTTTTAATGGGTGTGGCATCCTTTGTAGTCATGTTTCAAGTTCTTCAGAACCGGAAATGTAATTTAAACAAAGCTGTAATATGACATTATTTCAAACCATGTGTTTCCTTATCGAGATAAACGCTGCATGATTAATTATAAAGTCGTGCATCACATTTCACCTGTACACGTAAAAGGTAACCTCACGTTTTCAATGGCAAAAACACGTGAGTATGTACATGTACTAACAGTAGACATTGGTGTAGCTCTGGAAACCATTTTGGAACGTGTCTCATCATATTGCTTCAGTTTGTACCCTGGATGTGTTAAAGCAGTGTTACATGGCTCAGGAATGGCAAGCGATTTTTCGATACAACAGTCATATTCTTTACCATAAAATCGCTGATGATGCCAAGCCCATGGAGATCATGACTGGATAATGGCAAATGAAATGGTCGAGATATACTTGTCATATTGATCTTGCTCCGGATTTGACCCAACTTAGTGCAATGTTTGCACCATTCCCGGGTTTCAGATGGCGCAGTATCACGCATTGCACCAGCATTGGACGCACTGTATGCGACAACATGGCGACATCGCTCGTCGATCAACTAAATCGGGGGAAAGTCAAAGACGCCCTTCTCAGTGGTTTTGATGTCCGCTTAATCCGTCACGACGGCCCACTTGAGAGTACCTCCCCGTCAGTTACTGTCAATTTCACCCCGTACACAGAAGGTATATATCTACATCGATAAACTCAATCCATGCTAGATACTGACAGCCCTTCACAGGCACGCAGGCTCCATTGATTAAATAAGACAAAATATTGACCTATTCAGCATTAAATCATAGAATTTGACATCAAAAACAAAACCTAATGGGTAGTATAACTTCCCCTACTCGAAATATTTTGTTGCTGCATTAAAAGCCAGAAATTTGTGAGGATAATATAGTTGCAGATTTGGAACATTAAAACAGTTCTTTTTAAGATCACGAACTAATCTTCCTTCGTCAGTCAATGAAAAGAACTATTTAAATCGCCTCTATTATCATAATTTATTTTCATTTTAATTTCATTTAACTGACTGTTAAAAATTACTCTTTATGAGGGAGTTTCCACCAATCGGCTTGCCGTCTGTGTAGCCTGTCATATTGAAGATGGCTTGTCTTAACGAAATCGGTTTTTTTTGTCACCCCCAATCATATCAGCTACAATAAGCGCCCCTAGTATTAAGAAATTGGATGCAACAAGTGTCTCGCAACGAGTCGGCCTACTCGCCCCACAAACACCTTTCCCGGGCACCGGTAGAGTGTATGTCCTAATGGATGACCGCAATCTACCTGGTGTTTCTAAGGTGTACTACAACTACACATTGTGGCAGATTCCGCATGGAGCAACAAGTGAACCAATGTGGATGATGGTAAAACAGAGAAGAACCAAAATACAGTTGTTATATTTCCGCTTGAAACAAGTAAACCAATGTGGATAATGGTAAAACAAAGAGAATAACCAAAACATAGTTGTTATATTTCCGCTTGAAAATGACTGTATTTTATTTTTAATCTGCATGATCAAAGAGTAAAGTACTAAAATCAATCTTCTAGTTTATCCGATTAGGAAATGATGTACGCGGTCTACATGTCATGGGGGGTTGGCTTAAGCAATAATTTGCCTAAAACAGTCTTTATAGAAATTTAAACCCCAAATTTAAATTTAAACAGATAATAATACAAAGCAAACGATACAAAATCACTTCTTCCAAAAAATCTCTTTTGTCGCGTAACTGTATAGGTGGATCGACTAGACTCAATACCGGCAAGGAGAAACTTGCACAATTTCACAGATTTGCAACTGACAAATCTTCAGCCTAACACCGAATATGCACTGGTGGTTCAGGCGAGGATTGGACGAGGTAGCTACAGCAACGATAAGTCCCGGATAACATGGACGACTTTGGAAGCAGGTAGCAAACTACTGGCAGAATAGATAAACTTTGAAAAATAGCTTTCATTGGAGCCAATACGGAGCTATAAATGATCCCCCTACAAGGGATGAAATCGTGTCAAAAAATGAGCTATCAACGTGGTCGATGTCGAGAACTTACGTGGACGTATCTGCAGAGTAGCAGACGAGCTGCATGTCCCTCTATAAGATTTTTTTATTGTTGGTTTCGACCTATCAAAACCACCTCAAAATTGTTGTTTTGAAAACCTATGGGTTTGCTCATAATGACTCCAAAGTTTGGTGCTTTGTTTCAACAGCACCAAACGAAGGGCCACTGTTATTGCCTCTTGACGTTGCGGAAATAGACTGCAGTAGGCCAAACAGTCGAGATGTCGGCATTAAGTGGCAGGTAATCAACCACCTATCTTATGATCATGGATTGATGTCCTTCAACATGCATGATTGTTAACTCTGAAACTTTCAGGTTTGTATGATCTTCATTGAAGATAAATATGTTGCACCAGAGGGAATGTGCTAGTGAAAAAGTTCGATGAGCTTGACAGAAAGGTCATTTGGGTATTAATGTCATGAAATCATCATTTCAAAATACCTCTCGTTCTCGGTTTCTAGTGAAGTAAGGTGTTACCGGAAATCGTCAGCTTTTATTAAAATGTTCGATTTTCAATTCCTCCCCAGCCACCCCTAAAGCAAATGTGGAACGGTAACAATATTTTCTACGAACTTCAGTTCAGCAAAAAAAACCTTGGCGGAGAACAGGTTATTCGCAACATTACGTCATCCACTTCAACGACTGTTTACGGCCTCAGCCGCTGGGATCTGTATGACGTCGTAGTATTTGCTAACACGTCCGCTGGAGGAACAGCCAGTTTGTCAAAATCTCTTCCAGCAACAGTCGTTGGTAAGCAAGAGCTCTTTAATTAAATGCCAACAACTGAAAAAAAATTATTCAAAAAATAATTCATTGGTGGAATGTCTGCATTGATGAAATTCTTAGCAGTTTAACTGTGTTCTTAGGTGCTTTTGTTTTCTCTTGAACTTTTAACTTCCTTGTTTTCTTTCAAACAATAGGAATGGCGAACTCCAAGCCTGACAACATCCAAATTCTTACGAAGCCCTCGTCGTCAACACAAGTCATCTCTTGGCAACCACCGCCAGAATACCAACAGTGTATCCTTGGTTACTACGTGACGTTACAGCCAGATCCAGCTAACGTGGAGAAGCACGACCTCAAGAGAGAGGTGACCGTCATGAACGCCACATCAGTGGAGATTAAACGTCTTGAACCCCAAACGTACATGGTGGAAGTGGCTGCAATTGTTAAAACTGGATTCAATAATTCATCACAGGGTCTGGCAGCAAACATCCGTCTGATGGTTGGATCCGGTGAGTGGCCATTGGCTGATCCAGATGAGAGAAAAAAATGGAGCGATGCCCCCTCCGGACCCTCCCCCAAATGGATTTGGGTTCTTGTTTGTTTGTTGGGTTGTTGGGGGTGTTTGTTTGTTTGTTTGTTTGTTTGTTTGTTTGGGGTGCTGGGGGTGTTTGTTTGTTTGTTGGGTTGTTTGTTGGTTGGTTGTTTGTTTGATGCTTTTGAAATATAATGAGAAAAGGCAGATCAGGGACTGTGTTATTTCCCTTTTCTCTCAAATGTTCATGTAAAGAGAGGCCACACATAAAGCTTACAACAGGAAAACAATTCCAAATTTTCCCACCCTTCCCCCAAAATAAATTGTGACCTCTGCCACCCTCCATGTGGTTCTGACCCTTGTGGGGCGCCCATCTAATTGAAAATGGATTTCAGGATAACATTGGCTCTTGATGGTAGTCGATAAAGTGGTGCATCTAGGTTTGGAGTCTGCGGGCAGAAAAAATTTATCAAAGATTTTCCAAAAGGGACATGTCACTATTTCTAAATTGCCCATAGGAATCTCGTAAGTCCCCTTTCCCCTTTTTACTGAATATTCGACTGGCTTGGTGAGGGTGTAGGTGGAGTTTCACCTATTGATGGGTCAGTGATTCTGATTGCTTTGTGTCTTTTTTTCACCATAGAGATACCCATAGATGCAACTGTGTCCATTGCCTGTGTTGGTTTCTTCATCCTGCTTATCCTCATCGTAACAGCCGCTCGTAAAATCATCAGATCTTGCAAAGATGACAAGTTTAAGAGCCTACAAGACAACAAAATCTTGGTGAGTGGAGCGTAGGGAATATTGGATTCTTGAATAATTCGTTGTTTGGCGAGCGACGGGTTATGAAGTCGGTTGTGGAATGGATGGTCTAGTTCTTTATATAAAATTTGACAATGTTGATACTTGGAGATTTTTTTAACATTTCCTTGTTTGCTTCTCACAGATGCGAGCGTACTCACAGACATACTCCCAACATCCTCGGCAATTCCGTGTGATAGAGAAGGAAACGTTTGATGTGCCAAATCAACGTGATTGTGTGGAATGCGAGACGAAATTGCTATCATGTGACTCGACAACTAGTAACCAAAGTAACACGACTGGGTACTCCACAGACAAGTCAGGTCTCGTCGACGGTGAGATGGATGTCAGCTTAAGTAGGACAGAAGGCAAGACACAAAACAGTGACATCGATGTGCTCTCGAGTTTACTGCGGGAGGAGTCCTCCTCGGACGAAGAAGTCAAGGACAGCTTCTTAGAAAGGACGCTCGGGGCTGTGCCTGCTGAGGAGATTAGTCAAAAACACTTGGCCTCATCCAATCAATCGTCTTCATCATTATCAGGCGGACCGACTGATCCAGTCTCATTTCCGGGCGATTCCGCTTCAACACCTGCATCAGGGTATACACCTATGTCCTCCTGTTTCCCCTCAAGACAGGCCTCATTTAATGATGACCCTTCAGCCAAGAGGAAAACCTCTCGAGTTTCCTGCAAGTCGATACGAACCTCACCCAGCCTACAAGACAACAAAATCTTGGTGAGTGGAGCGTAGGGAATATTGGATTCTTGAATCATTCGTTGTTTGGCGAGCGACGGGTTAGGAAGTCGTTCGTGGAAAGGATGGTCTAGTTCTTTATATAAAATTTGACAATGTTGGTACTTGGCGATTTTTTTTTTACATTTCCTTGTTCGCTTCTCACAGATGCTAGCGTACTCACAGACAGACTACCAACATCCTCGGCAATTCCGTGTGATAGAGAAGGAAACGTATGATGTACCAAATCAACGTGATTGTGTGGAATGCGAGACGAAATTGCTATCATGTGACTCGACAACTAGTAACCAAAGTAACACGACTGGGTACTCCACAGACAAGTCAGGTCTGTGGAGTACATCATTATCAGGCGGACCGACTGATCCAGTCTCATTTCCGGGCGATTCCGCTTCAACACCTGCATCAGGATATACACCTATGTCCTTCTGTTTGCCGTCAAGACAGGCCTCACTTAATGATGACCCTTCAGCCAAGAGGAAAGCCTCTCGAGTTTCCTGCGACTCCGTAACAACCTCACCCAGCCTGGAGAAATACCCTTGCAGGTGTGCACTTGACTACACGATTCTAGCCAACAGTGTGATGCACCCAGTCCAGCTGTATCCGCTAGCTGTTACCAAATGCCATTCCGGCGAGGATTCTAGTCATACCAAGAGATGTGCTGCAAAAATTAACCTCTCCTCCCATGGGATGGAAACAGATAAATCTTATGCATTCCACGATGCACCAGATTGAGCATCTGTGCCGATCAACATTTGACTTTGCACAATGTAGAAAAACGTGCATGAGATTTTACAATCTCGACATCATTGACTTTTGACATTTTGATTTCAGTTATCAAGAAAAGCTTTAGAACCTATCAGAACAAAATGATTCCCAAGTCAACGAAGAAGATATCTGCCCTTGGTTACATTTGTACCTTGACTAAAAATGAAGAGACTAACCATTCCCCCTTAAAAACACGCAAAAAAGTGTTCCTACCAATGAAATGAGTAGGCTTCTTGAAATCTTTGACAGTACACCGGTAGTTTGTTAAAATGAAAGAACAAACTTGCCATAATATACTGGCATTTAAATCGTGCGGTTTCAGTCGTCTTTTTCATGACAGGTTTGTTTGCTGTTTTCCCGAAATATTATCTTTTGAAACTGATTTCAAGCTTTATACTGAAGCTTTTTGAATACGGTATTAAACTGTACATACCCCCTGTATGCCCCCCATACGCCAATGTCAAGGAAGCTGTTTGGTAAGTTGTAGCTGTGTAACCGAAACGGCTATGAACCGAGTACAGTGAACTTCTTACCGGTAGCTGTGTAACCGAAACGGCTATGAACCGAGTACAGTGAACTTCTTACCGGTAACTCGTGGGAGGATTTCTGAGAACGAGCTTTTCATGTGGAAATGGAGGTAGTGACTGAAATCGCATCAGTGAAGTAACGACCCAAGATGATTTCAAGGTTTTATGATGAAAGAAGGCAAACAGTACTGGAGACGCTTTTTTCAGATGCGCTCCGAAAGTATCAGCGTGCGTGCTTTCAAGAGTTGTGAAATCAATCCACTGATATGCCATTTGACAGTGCAGTGGGAATTGGAGAGTTCAACTGTCGTCCACATACGTTGGTTTGACTGTAAATTTATTGTAAGATAATATTTGCATTTTGTCAGCGCAGGAAAGTGTGGGTTTGTTCACTAAATTCAAGCTTTATACATCCTGAACAAGCGTGCCCTTCATGTTGTATGCATATCATTACGTTTAAAGTTAATATACCCATTATGTCTACCACTGTTTCCATTGTACAAAAACCACTTGACGTAGGCCCTGCTTTTGTATTATGCACTTCCTTAATACCAATTTTCGTACAGAAAAAATATCATGATATTAAGCAATGCAGTTTAAAATAAGACAATCTTTCTTAAGATTATCTTATAAGATAATTTTTCTTAACCCAGACAAATACGCTTGTATGAGCATCATTTATTTATATATGCTCATTCCAAAAAAGTGCAAGCGGCACGGGGAAAGTTGACTTTTGTGCGTTTAATCAAAAGAACTCCTCGATAGAGAATAAACTTCTGAATGAATGAATTAAATGCAATATACTTCTTGGTAATATGTAATTGTTTATGTTCCATGAAGGGATATGTTGTACCAATAAATGCCTATCATATTTGCAGAAAAGGAGGTGAACAGTATGATCAAGCTTTTGTCAAAGGTTGATAATTAGTTTGTGACTGAAACTGATTGTTTCTTGCCAGTCTGACAGTAGAAATGCACAAGAGGTATGGCATTCCGGACTGCATTTTGATGGGGGGGGGGAGTAAACACAAAAAGAGTATTTTTTATCCTTACTGCTTCATTTGGTCGTGGCTGTCGGTTATTGCACGATCACATTCACTGATCGTATGGCTGCTGAATCTAAATGTGAAACAGAAAACCTGTTCCTCTGTCTCCATATCAACCAACATATCACCATGGGTATCATGACACTTGTAGCAGATGGCACGCGTTGATGAAACAAAATTTGAAATGTGCACCCTCCATGCAAATCACTTGAGAAAATTAACTATAATCCATCCTACAGCTATCTTTAGGGATTCCACTTGAGAATCACATAGTGGTGTGCTTATAAGTTTCTTAGAGCATTCAGTCTTAATCACTGTCGCAAGACAGCAACTGAAGGCAATCACGTTAAATTAAGAACAAGTAACACTTTCTGGGCCTTCCAAATTTCGGAACAGGTGGCTTAAATATTTTTGACAGAATATACTATTAAACCCAGTGACGCCACAATTACATACGACAGGCAAACCTCTATGACGAACAAACCTATGATGTGATGGGTTGAAACTGTCATTTCGTTTCGGTTCATTTACTCCAAAGTGCTTGCCACTTGTAGTTTTGATCCCTAAGACAGATTGCCGAGGCATTGTCGTCGGTGAGAGGAACACTACTGATATCCTGCCGACAAGCTGGTCATCAATTATCAGGGCCGAGGAGAGAGAGATAAAGAGAACGCCGGCTAATACAGCCAAGGGTAAATCTAAAACCAAATTCCAGTGAGGCTAAATTTGTATCTGTTGGTCGGAGGGAATCTGGAATTATTTTCACGAAATCTTTTACAGCCTTTCCCAGGAGAGGAGCCACGATTACGATAGAAAGTTAGCAAGCAAATCAAACATGAACGATAAGAACTGTGTGTGGGTCTCAAAGAGCTGATTATAAACGTGAAGCGCGTTTACAAACAGAAAAAGCTATAATCACAGTGCGCCAACAGTGGAAAACAGAGAAGACATATTCAACCAAACAACGGTCAAAAATTATAGGACACACGAGCAAACTAACCTGTTAAACTGTCTCAGAAAATTAAACGACTTATATTTCTGTACGCGAAACAGCCCAATGAAATCAATCTTGTTCGGACGGATATGTAATTTATTCCGGTCGTTACAAAGAAGCGACCCTCACCACGCCACGGTCGAAGGGTTTGGAAATTACACGCTGAAATCTGGCACCGTAATATTTAACAACAAACGACTTATTACAACAAGGCAGAAATTAAATTTCCAGGTAGAAGTGTCAAAGGTAGATTGGCTTGGCTAGTGACAACTTTATCTGTGACTCTAATGCCCAGGGGATGTTGTTTTCCAGGCATGCTTTGTTGAAATATAAAAGGTGTGTTACCGCATTTGCAAAGTAATCCGAAAATAAAATATTTTTGTTTTAATGAACAGAAGGACATAGGAAGTTATAACTCCATCTGGCAAGCCGGATTTTGAAGCAAACAGAAATCTTTTCTAGGGATGTCAGCTCAAACAGTTTAAACGCTTATTTGCATGACATACTATTTTCTGATAATGCCTAAACAATTGTACCAAAGACCAAAACTCATTTGTAACCAACACTTTTGTTTCTTTTACTTATAAAAGTTTCGAACACTAAATGCATAAGAAAACTAAAGCGATTCATGGCATAACATTGCCCGCAATAAAATTGTTTCTTTAAAATTATATATCTTATCCGAATGACAATATTTTTCACTCCGATTTTAGATTCACCTTTAAACGGAAACTCAAGTCGAAAGTATTTTGATTAGCGCTCAAGCCAAGCGAATCGATGCGCGACTCCAAGTCTATATAAAAGTGATGCACTCGCTTTCTCTCTGGCGATAAACATTCGACAGTTGTTCGAGAGCGTCTTTTTTGACAGGAAGTAGCTAAAAAGTCAACTTCTCTGCCATCTGTATAGCTGGAGTGAAACTTGGAAGTTAAGGTAAGCAAAAGATTAGAAGCACTCTTTACTTCATATACTTAGTTATGATACAATCTCTTCGTCTTAACCTCTACATCAACTTCAATCTTAATTTTTTCTGACCCAATACTACTGAGAAAAATGTGCTCCAGGGATCTGTAAAAACATAAACTTATCGCAACACTGGACGATGGAGGAATACTCGATGGCAAAACAGGGTTTTACCCAGGAGTCACGGGTACTTTTATCAACGAACGTATTAAGAAGGAGATCGAAATCATCTCTATAACCTTCTTGTCGATATTTTGGTTGCAGTTGCAAAGAAGAATGAAGAGCCTGATTGTATGCTTGCTGTTAGTTGCGATAGTCGTGGCTCAAGCCGCACCATTGGAAGATTTCCAGGATGTTGAGCCGTTGGAAGTTGAGGCTATGGAGGTAGCCAAACGGGGCGGACCTTTTCTGGCCAGTAAGTCCTAATCCTATAGGTTCCCCGGTACTATTGTCCAAACATTGATGGAAACAGTTAATCAGCATCTGTAATAGAGAAGTCTGAATTTTTAAAATTAAAAATAAGGGGCTTCGGCCTTTCACCTCTGAGCAATTAAGATATCCATGCAAAATCCTTTGGTAATGATTCAGAAAGAAAAGCCGACTCAAACTAAAAAAAAAAACAACAATCGCCCTAATACTAAATTTGACGTCTTCAATAACTTTCTTCAAATCCCTCGGTAAAAACGGCTTCCAAAATTATCTAAATGTAAGAAATGTCAGCATAAAATAAACAGGTTTCTTTCTTTTTTACAGCCTGCCTTAAACCAGGAACTAGAATACAGTGTTTCTGCCTTTATGATGACGAAGGGAACATACGCAGTTGGATGAAATGTAACGTAAGTACTACCACTCTGATATGAATGAATGAAGTATCCTGCTTGAAAAGGAATGCGCATTAATTGAAATATTTCTTTTTCGAGGGACAGCAATTTTCCAGGAAAAATTCACATTCATTTTTGTATTCATTGGCGTTATCTCTTTTAATTTCCCTCTCATTCAGTGAAAACGCATCATTCATGACGAGCCCGGCGCAGCCCACGTTCTGAGGTAGTTTGTTCCCCGTCAAAGTTTATTACCGAGCACTGGTCTTCTTGTAAGTGCAAATAGTCAATAAACTCTCTTATTAATAATTCAAAAATATTTTTGTAGGCTATTCCTTAGTCTGGCTTATTTAAGTGAATGTTTAGGATCTACATAACAGATTGGATTCTTCCGGTGCCCAGTTTTGGGTCTGCATTTCGCTACTTGAGTGAAAATTCTTTCTTTTCCGACTTGAATGAAGAACCAGCACGAGAAATTTAGAGATGAAGAAAAACAAATGGATGATAACACCCCGTATAAAAGTTGCACACCTCTTGCCAAGTTGCGTCAATGTATAGAGGATTTTTATTCTCATTAACATGACTGAGAAATTTCATTTTAAATTGAAATTTTTGCAAAGTTAGTCGTTTAAAAACTGTTCATTTTCGTAAACCAAAATGGCAAATAGCTTGCTTGAAAATGGCATGATAACTTGTTACTCTATTTTAAAAGATTCCAGTTCTGTGATTCCAGTTCAGTTTTGATAGTAGTTTACGTAGTTTGGCAAGTAAAATAAATACGAAAGGTACACACTTTTCTAAAGGAAATGGTGACAAAAAAATCTGCTATAACATCCATTGTAACATATTTTCTGGCTCCCTGTCTGTAGAATTCCAAAATGGCCACAGTAATGGTGCTCGTTATAAAACGACATGTGCGAATCATAACTCTTTTAAAATGGTTCTTGTGAAATGGAATGAAACAAACCCATAAGTCAAAGTTACTGCTGGAGGTGAAGTCTACTTGATCACTTTTCTTATTCAATGTCGTCAGTTATAACCTGTATAATAGCCTCCCTGGATAATATAAATGCTATAAGCCTACACTCCAGTTACGTCGTGCAAGAGGTAACCTTTCAAAAATATTTTTGTTTATTTTTACCAATTGAATAATACGACAACTTCAAGTTATATAGCATAACTCCCCAAATGAAGTTGCATAGCATAAGTGTTATTCTCTAATTAAACAGTATCAAACTTGATACTCACTGTTCAGTTTATATTATACGTCCATGCTTATCTTGCGCCCTGCGATATAAGAACTAATGCAATGGCCGACATGGTGCGTCTACAAACTGAAAATACTTTTGATCCACTTTCCAGCATCAACTGCCTTTGAAGCCATTTGCGATTTTAATTTGAATAAAATCTGGTGCACTGAGTTATCTGACTGCACATAAACACAACGATTCGAATTCCCCAGACTAAAGACACTTGTTGCTCTCCCTTGTGATTCTGGGCAAGCTTTCCCATAGCGACCACCATCCCTGGAATGGACTGGTTCCTTTGTGCCCTTCTTATCCATTGAGAACAGTGTATTGTTTCAAGGCGTCTCTTATGTAACTAAGCAAAGCTTGCCCCGAATCACGAGGTTTATCAACCGTGGTTTTAGTAAGGAGAATTCAAGTTACTTGAAGTTCACTTGAATTTAAAGAACTCAGTGTAAAAGATTTGGGTCAAAGTTAACTTGCAAAAGGCTGAGCTATTTGCTCGTCTAGAGCAATACAGGCACAGCAGCATTATACAAAATGTATGCCTCCGGCGTTAGCACCAAGTAAGAACAATGTACAGTGTCCTACCACGGGCAATAACGATTATTAAAAAGCTGACATGTGGCCTACAATCATGCTTTTCCAGTCAGTTTTGAGTCATAAGCTGTGACTAAATAAGACGATAATTTGTTGCCTCAATGCCTTCGTCGCCACTCGCCTACACATAATTTAGAGGAACTTGTGCAATAGCTTAATGTGCCTTGTGCATGTTTCTCTTTACTTCAGTCGATTAAGGAAATCCAATCTTTATACGGTTGAACTCCAATCGACACATCGAAATAATTTGGCAGATCGCGGGCTGAGACCTCTTCAACCGCTGGACGATTTGACGCGGCATTTCCGTGCGTTCCTATGGGCACCACGTAAGCCACAACCGTGGCGTGGTCCAGCTTGCCCGGAAGACCACGGGCGTGTCGGGTCAGTGCCTCCTTGCCCGTCATCATGGCCTGCATCTCAAGACACTCCTTCTCGCAGAGGCTAATGATGTTGTTAGTGGCTTCTTGGGCCACCCGCTTCTTCTCCGTCAGGTTCACGGCGTGTTGTAGCAGCTTGCTGCAGAGGTTCGACGCCGAGAAAGGGTCGTCACTCGGAGTTTCCGTCTGGCGGATGACTTCCTCCATCGTCCGCGTCATCTCCTCCTGCCTCTCCCGGGGAGTCAGAGCCGGCAGGCTGGCAACATCTTCCCGATTTCTCGCCTCCCACGGATCCTCGCTGAAAATCATCTCAGCCCGGCTCCTGTTGGACTTGTAGGCTGTGTTAGCCACGGCCCTCTTTGCAACCACAGGGTCGAAATTATCGGACACCCCGTCGCTCGTCAGGAAAACAATATCACCTTCCTCGACCGTGGTATAAGAATAAGTCAGATTTTCCAAGTCGGGCCTTTCCCCGAGGCAAGGTCCTAAGGCACCGTTACAGAACCGAATATTTCTGTGAAGATTATACTCCCTGCAACCTGCATTCAAATCAATTATGAAATTCAATGAGTAAGCAAAAACCACACACAACAAAAACTGTAAACGCTATAGTTTGGAATAATCTCCTTCCACAAAATAATACGATTTTAATTCTAACCTTTGAGTTCACCTGGACAGGTTTCATATGACAGGCCTTGTAATTGCTGCTGCATGCTGCTGTTTTTTCCGTCATCACATTTCTGTTGCTTAAGTTGTTTTTTCGGTGCAGGTACTTCCCATTATTATGTAGCAAGCAAAATCAGCATGATGAAATTGACGACTTTTCACACCAGAAACCAAACGATACCACCACCAGCAGCGACATGAATGATAATATGACGACTTGATTAACTCACCAACTGTGACCTCCTTTACCCCGAACCGTTGACTGCTTACGAAGGCTAGGCTGTCCCCAACGCTTATGACACACAGGGCTTTGGAGGTTGTGTCATCTGACTCGACATCGGCTACCACGGCTAGACACAGTGTGGTCAGAGAGCCTTCTCCAAATATGATCAGTTCCTGAGCTTCATCAAGGGACTCTGTCATACACTGTGACAATAATTTGAGGGAGGAGGTAAAGTAGTGACAGGTCACAGTGAAGAATGACGATGCGGTCGAGTGATTTTACATGTACGGGAGGGATGCAAGATAATTGTATTATCTTGTGATGGTGATGTGTAATGTAGGTATAGTTATCTATGCCAGTGATTGAGAAATGACACCCAGTGATGGTATATTTGTGACAGGGTAAACTTGAGAATGACAATTATAAAATGGCATAAAATCATTATATTGGACACGACGACATTCGCTAATGCGACATGTGGCGGAGACAACAAAATAGTGACAACAGACACGATTATGATAAGAGCCGATGAAACATGTGTCCGATCTCACCTTGAAGACATCTGCGGTGGTGAATGGTTCCGTTGTGTAGTCTTTGGAATACAACGTTCTCAACAAGTACTCCATGGAACCCTTGACGGCACACTGAGCTGCTCGTCTGGCTCCCTGACCCCAGCCAACACCGTCAGCTACTGCCATGACACAACTATTCCGAGTAGCATGGATGGCAAATACATCGGCAATCGGATCCCCTAATTATTCAAGAAACACAAGATGATGTAATACCCTTACAGAGGTATTTTTGCCCACCAGTGACACTGTGCACTATGCATGGCTGACCGTCGGTACAAAGGGGAAAGATATCATTCAGTGTAAAACAAAATCTCAGGCAACTAGCTAACGACGAAACGCTAAATAAAAATATCTCGCTCTACAACGTTAACGGTTCAGGCAAATTTGCAGTTTGGTGCAAATTGTTAGCACCAAGGGTAGGCCCCTAAATCTTGTCTTGCTAAGCACTGGCCGCCCATACAAATGGTAGGTAATCTCAGAGAAGTCAGTATAAGGTCACACACAGTATTCATCAAAACTTTGTTCCCAACTCGTATCTAATTCAGAAAGAACCTGTTCCTTAGGCCCTATGTAGTTCAGAAGTTTTTCATGCATACCTGTGCATTCTTTCTTGTCACTGTTTCTATATTCATAGAGTGACACAGACATTCCGTAAGCCCTCTCATTCCGTAGTCTCCATTTTGAGGCGTCGACATTGGAAGTTTTATCTGGAAAACAATGGCACAACTTGAAGGCAACATCGCTATATTTTTTAAATTTACCACAGGGCCACAAGTGGTTCTTATTACTTTTCAAGTGGTGTTTGAATGTAATTCCACAGCATGCATAGACAAAAACGAAAAAGGAAAACAAAGGCAGCTTCCAGTTTTTCTTTTTAATAATGACAAATTTTAGCAAAACAGGAGTATTTTGTCGCTCTCTATTTTATTTCAAAAAAATAAAGAAAAGATCTTCCATTGAATTTAGTACTACTTTAACCAGTTCTCAGATGGGATACACAAAATGCATGACTGAGGATTTCACTAAATAACAATTGTCAAATAATTCAACAGAAAACATTTTCTTTGTTCTGAAGACAAACATTCCGCATCGGCTGACAATTTTAGGAAGAAAAACCACTTTAAAAAGAAAACCATGGAGATGCCGGGGTTCGAACCCGGGGCCTCACGCATGCGAAGCGTGCGCTCTACCACTGAGCTACATCCCCTGCAACAAATTATTGGGGAAGTAATACAATATATAGCATTGACAAAATATTGCGCAATTCACGCACGCGCACTCAGATTTCATTTTACAACGACTGTTTCATGGAGCACAACTGACACAGTCACTGTGCATGATGCACGAGAAGCAAGAGATAATTGTTTTCCCATTGAATTCACATTGGACATTATCTTTCTTGACGTACGTGGCCAAGACTGGTGTCCTGGTGATCCCGTGATAATGTCCCAGTAAACCACATGTCACTTGATTCTTTGCACAGGGCATTTCGTAAGGGTTTTCTAAGGCACCGGGCCGAGACAAACAATGAAGTTTGTGAGTATAACGAGCAAACAAAACTGGGCCAAACAGTGAAGAAGCTGTTCATACTTTTTCTTGACCATTTTCATGATCTAGCAACCCTCAGTCATTTTAATGATTCTTTTTTCACTCCTACAGCATCTATTTTCTTTTTTGTGTAAATAACTACGTGCTTACTTGATTTTTTTGGTTACACGCACTAAGTCTGCATTTTCAGCAGTCATCAGTTATAAATTGTTAGACCGACTTTTGCAAATCGTTAAAGCGGAAAGGATATTTTTAATTTTTGAGGTGTTTTTGTCATTTCAAATGTGTGTGTTTAATTCATAAACAGTAATGTTACGGCTTGACACCTAAGGAAGTAATGGGCATATGCCCTTTTTTCGCCATCAAATAGGGTGAAAGATAGGAATCTACAAGCACTGTCTTGCCTCCTGTTTATGATCATGATATACACTATTTGTGTCGTGCTATGAGAGCAAGAACCATTGGCAGTGTGCAAGGCAATACAGTTTGCATCAATACCAGCGTTCTTGTGTGAATTCCGTGTTCTTTGTTAATTCTGACCCTTCAAAATGAAAGGTTATCAAATAATTGACACGACTAGACAGACTCGGTTTCCCCGTGCATTATTTTTCTCTTACATTCCTGGAAAATGCCATTTGATATACACTCGCCAACAGGAAGACACAGAAGCATTTTGCTAGATGTTTAAGGTTTTAATTTATTTGTTTCTGAATCTTTAACCACTAAAGTCCGTTCACGCGGGATCTGGTCTCCCAGGCTGGGTTGTGAGGCATGAAATTACAGAATTCACAAGTAAAAAAAAACGGCTAAAGTTTGAAATATATATGCCTGTATTAAAAGTAAAATAATAGAATGGCTTAAAGTGAAATCATAACCAAATACTGAAAAAAAGGAAAAATTTTCAACCTTAAAAAGGATTTTTTGTTGCCTTTAGCATGCACTTATTCACAAGTGTGTTGTTTACTAACTGAAATCCACTTTGATAATTGCAACTCAGATGCAGGATGTAGGCCTATGCCAGCGGAGACAAACGGCAAGTAACGGAAGAAGCATGCTGACATTTTTTGCTCGATGATTAAATACCTCTTCTATCATCACTGCTTGAGACCCGTGACCTCTCTTGTCCACTCAAGTAGATGAAGTTTACACTGAAATTAATCGAGCCTTCAACCTTTTCAGTATCACTGTATTTTTTTAAAAACTAAGCTACGTTCGGGAACTTGCCGGATATAGCGGTGAAATTGGGGATTTTGGGGGAATGGATCTACCATCCCATAAAATGGTAATGGCGGATGTCTGGCAAAACACAAAGGGCACACTGGCAAACTGCCATATATCGTGGGCTTTCGATGGCACAGTAGAGGTCACATCATCTCGTGTTATCTCAATCAATCTGTAGCGATTTTTGCTTCTCAACTGCTGGGTGCGGTGCTATATAATTTCATAAAAACACCATATTTGTTCTACTGTTTTTGAGATAATGTACGAATATTGTCTGCTAGAATAAAGAAAATTCTAGGGAAAGTTGATGTACCTTTTATCCCATCTCCAAAAATACAAATCGAAATTCAACACACAAGGTGTCAATTTTTATGAACAGTAAATAGGTCATCCGTAACTTATCATATTTTTCAAAAACGTTGGATATGGCGTTTGGCGGTGAAACTTTTCTCATGTGTGTCACAAAACGTAACACATTTCAGTGAGCGTTTTGCAATAATTATCCGTTACATAAACTTCCATCTGTTTTGGGAAAAAACACAGACTGAAAAATTTACAACCTCTAGTTTGAAAAACAAACGTATGCTGATAATAGACATGACATGTCTCATAAAGATCGGTGTTTGGATAAGAGCTGAAGTATGTTTTGCTTTGACTATCCAGAGGTCCATGCTAGGACAAAAATTTGTAATGTTGGGGAATTCTGTGAATTTTACCTTGTGTATGAAGTGATATTGTAATAATTACTGCAATTTCACCTCCCTAAAATTCCCAAAGTTTCACACATACAGCCTTCCTGTTTGACTTCGGAAAGATTCCGACCACAGCGCCGTTTTCAACATGCATACCGTGGGTTCGTCGCTATTTGGTTTCACCCGCAAAAACAACGCCGGAATAGGCCTATCCGCCGACCTTCTGTGAATTTCACTATGATAGTTTGTTCACTGACAAATTACGCAGGTTTACCAAGAAAATGCGAAAGAGGAAAGCATACAATTAAATCGAAAAACTGGAACGCAATTTTCTTTGAAATACAGCGTTATGTTCCACGGATGTGTTCCACAGCATTTGCTTGTGCCCCCAAACCAGCTGAATTTTCAGGATTTTGTTGGCCTAACTTTTCTTTGTGTTTTTTGAGGGTTCATATGTGTAGGTACATTGCAATATAACGCAAGCACACACCTCTTTTTCACAAAGTAATTTCTGAGTTCACAATTCGAACTGAAAAACCTCTGCGGCTGAAACATGTCCCCCTTGACATCCCAGCAACAGCACCCTCAGTTGTCCAGGAAAGCATGGTCAATTTTTAATGTTTATAAAAGTGTAATTTAAAGCCAAACGGATTTCAAACAGTTTTCCAACACTGAAACGAGTGCAAAGAGGCAGAAAATTGTGCCTTCAAACACTTATTGCTGCCACACTTTGAGGCGTCTGGTAGTCAGAAGCCATAGCCAAAGGGGTGCAAAGTGTCAGAATACAAGGGCCTCTAGTATTGCAGGGCAAAACCTGGATGATCATGATGATGACAGACGAAAAGTTGAGACCTTGAAAAAATAGATCATAATCATAGATTCCAAGCCCAGATTGTAATATGCAAGACAGCATGAAAAGCATCGTAAAAACACTGAATGCTGTATGTCCCTCGAATCTGGGTAATATCATTCTTGTTTTCACAGTCGCACGATGTCTAATTTTTATCTCAACGAAATAAAAATTCGAAGTTAATGCAGTGGTGCTGTGCGATTCATTTATCACTGTATGACGGATCCAACTCTTGCTTTGCCATGACTGTTGTACAGGCTGTCTAGTAGCCGCGGTTAACGAACGTTGTTTTCTTTTATGTTTGGATTAACTTGGATGGATTAATTAATCCCCTAAACTTAAGCCTAATTTGGGTCTGCAGTGTCCACTATAATCATACCGGCATATTGAAGTCGTCAGTTTTTTCTCTCAATCTGTTTGGATTTCATACTTCACTCATGACGACTGCAGAGTCCTCAGCTTGTGCGTGGTTGATTTGACGTTGCCATACAGCGCGCCCTCTGTGGTGGCTGTGTTTTTTGTTTTGTTTTTTGCAATCATTCAAGCAGCCAATTGACCGCTGATTACCACACTCACTAAACATTGCAGCCCCCAATCTACTCAACATAATCATCAACTGCCCAACCCGCACATGCCTCTCATCGCTGATATATTACTTCGCCGATAGTGGAAGACTGAACCTCTAGAATGGCAGACAATGCTTGATTTTTGCCTTCCGTATATAAGTAAATCATCGATAATTACAGAGTTTGGCACAGCTACTTTCGATTAGCAGCTCGAAACGGATGGCTGGATACTACACCGTCCTATACTCACGCCTTTATTACTGGTACTACAAATAATGTGGCTAAGATTCAAGTCAGCCTCCCAAACTACTCTGGCACTCTTGGCGAGGACCTTTCCCTCAGGGTTTTTCCACAACCGTAGTCCGAGAATTATGGTCCAGGAGAACTAGGCAATCAGCAAGATGTCGGCCAAAAACAGTGACAAGCCTTAAGATTCTTTGAGTGATGAAATACCACAAGCGTCCAAGAAACACTCAATGTGCAGATGATATTTTATTTTATAGGGAAGGCCCTCCATCGAGGTGTTTCATCTAGATCTTGTGTAGCTTACCGTTTCTCTTGAAACCCAGCTGATGCGATGTCTTGTCCATCGAACCATCAACCACACTATCATCCTTCACCGTCTTGATATTATTGGGGAATCGTGCCGTGTTTCCCTCCGTGGAAGGAAAGATCAGTTCGCTGTTTGTGAGTCCCCCGTACGGCCCGGAGTACGATGCCACGATCTCCTGATTAAAAGGAAGGAGTTTCTTTTTGGGCAGGAATTTATAACTTTTGCGGGAGTCATAGACCCGAGGTGTGGTCGGCGTCAGCGACAGTACACTCCTGCAACATGCAAAAACAGTTGATGGAAAAATAGAGGGTTTGCATGGCTGCCGTCTTGCAGGCCAGTACTTTTGCTCCACAGCGTGTGCACAAAGGAGGTTTCCTTGTAGAACAAACAACTGCCCTGCGAGATGGCTACCACGCAAAGCCTCTGTAACAAGAGTCGTCCGTTGTGTGCTCTTCTCATCATCCGACTTTTCTTCTTTTTCTAGTCCTTAGAACAAGCTACAAAATTGTGAACAAGGATTAGGGCCTACATAATAATTGAATAATTGAAAGGAAGTCCAGAATCGTTTCAATTGATTTTGGCTTAGTTGGTTACAAGTTAAAGTTTTTTGATTAGTTTAAATAAAGCTATAATGCAGTAGATGGGTACGATTTGAAGACTCCAATGCTTATTAAGATGAACAAAACAAAAATTGGTTTCAGAGTCACTCAAAACTTCAAACTTAAAACTGCAATTCGACAGACAGAATTTTACAGTACATTTCTACACAGCTGCTTGCATAATCTTGCAGACTTCATGGGAAAATTCGCTGAATGTAAATGGAGTCAGAGAGGGAAACACTTCGTATCAATTTTATCAGAAGTCGCTTAAATTGACCATGTGAGGGCGCCCTGAATGTTTTACAGTCTTGGAACATTATGCGATCATCACTATAGATACGAGGAACTCCAATGCCCCTACCAGCGGGAAATGATGGGATCCACTATACTTGATATAAGGTACGATCGAACTTGATTTTCTTGCCGCTTTGGTGCTCGAGGGTTTTCCAGGCTGATTCGGTCAGGGGTTTAAAATCCGTTGTGTAAATGATGCCTTGAGGAAACGTATAACATGCAGTTTCGAGTGGGTATATTATGCGCTGGCATCACCCTGCAACGGACATGAATTCAGTTCTAAGCCAAAACTGTTTAACATTATTTTTATAAGCACACACATAAGAATTTGGAAACGAAACAATAACTCTTACAAATAGCCAGCCCAGTGCTGCCCAAAAGGTCGCAATGCACTTCTCTTAGTTCTTAGTCGCGTAGAATCAGATGTCTACTATGTGAGAGATATAACCAACCAGTCACCTCGAACCTTGACTTTCATTCGGCTCCTCAAGGAAATTACATGTATTACTTTCCCACAGTCTGTACCTTTTTATTATTTGAATACTTACCCCATTTTCCTCAGCAGACCCCCTGCTCCAGTTTTCGACATTAAGACAGTCCACCTTCTCGACGGGTCCCACAGGCTTCGTCTTCTCCCCTTATCGTCGCGGTCTCCCCCCTGCCGTCTAGCTGCCCTTAAGTCCGGTTCAGGTGCTTTAGTCTGGCACGCTTGAGTCACGGTAACAGCGTCTGATCCCTTGCGTCGACTTAACAGTCCTGCCATGTTCTGAGGTGCAACATAATGTGCTGTGGGCCAAACACGTAAGCAGCCTGCTCAATAGTGGTATCAAAGGTTGATGTTAGTATAAGAGAATTTGCTGGTACCTGTACAAAGGTGTTAGGGACATGGTGAAAAATTCTCTCTATACAGTCAGCAGAGTTAATCTGATTAGACGCCAGAATCGTAAGTGCAGTGGCATCGCACTTACAGGCACATTCTTCAGCTTGGCGCGCGCGCGTTTGGCAAATCACGACACCCTATTGGTCGAAGAGGCTTGTAACGCGCGCGTACCACCTGTCCAAGAGCGCTGGGCCACCGCAGTGATGGCTTCTAATCCCGGTTGTCGAATTATCCACATCCCGCCCGGGGAAACTTTTAATTCACACGTACAACCTGTAATTCGTAGTCGTACGAGTTAGCTCAAGGAATAAAGAGAAAAATGGTCACCATTGTCCCTGTAGGCCTATAACACACCTTCGTAGTGCAACTCCCACACAGTTCGTCTCTCAAGGCTAGTAAATAGCCAGAGATGATAAATTTGATTCATACATTAGTGATCCACTTTTGTTATTGGCCTGGAAGGGGAAATTCCCCAGTGCTTCGTGGCAAGGGAAAATTATGTGCAAAGTCGATTAGTACATTCACGTAAGAAGGCCCACTTGTGCCATCAAGTGTAAGTGAAATTATATTATTTCCAAGTTCGTTTTCACGAGATGTATTATTTTTTCAACGGTGTTTGTACTAGATCTATGTCTAGACACATTGTTTGTATTTTGGAAAGGTGCTTTTACGAGATACATCTTTTTCAAGTACGTTTTTTCAGGGGATAATTTCTTTCTTTTCTTTCTTTATAGTCTGTGAAGCCATGCTTCGAAAAAGATTATTTCGTTTTATTTGGATTAAGGCCATAGAGTTAACAAATCAAAGTATTGTCATCGATAAAAATAAACTGCATCGTGTATTCGAGGGCTCAGACTCTTTTGCTGTTTATCTTGTAAAGAAGAAAAATATCCCTGGCATAAAACGACCTTGAACAAAATGTATCTCGTAAAAAAAGTTGTTTTCATAAAAGTAGACACCGTGTTTCTGAAAGTAGATCTCGTAAAAAGGAACTTTGATGAGGAAAATGCACCTTGTAAAAACAAACGTTGTAAAATATGTCAAAATCGATCTTTGGTAAAATCTACGGTACTTCACTACTTGAAATGGTACTTGTGGGCGTTGGTGTATGTGAAATTCATGGCAGAACTGTATGGGCCTGTGAACGTTGCCACAGTATGTAGATGTAATATTAAAAAGATTGCTGCGATAAGATGATTCCAAAGGTCCAGACTTTGACAGTGAGTTTAGTAACAGTTGATACTGTTGTTATGTGTCTGTTTGTCACAGTTATGTTGCGTTCATGTATGAGAACACTGAACGCTAGGTTTCCTGTGACTGCTTGTATTCAGGGACTGAAAAAAAAAGTAAAGGTCGTTCATTTCTTGTGGGCTAGGCCGAATTTGTGGCAACCTCGCGACATCCGAACCGTAAAGGTCTTTTTTTTTCTTTTACGAAACATTCAACACAAATAGTTCGGCAATTGAGGGATTCCAGGTGAAACGTTAGTCGCAGACCAAAATTACTGTGAGTTTTTTTTTGCGGTGAATGTCAAGACAGCGGAAATAAGAAAATATAACGTACATTTCCAAGTTTGTTGGAAGTGTCGGGAGATGGGGTTGCATGCTTTTTATACTCTGAGAACACCACATTGGAAATGCATGATTTTTTTCAAACGAGTCCAACGAGAAGTAGAGAGGATGGAACTGTGTGAGTAGTACTATACAAGCCAGATAATATCATAACACCTGACCAACAGATTCTGCATCTTGATTGGTCAAAAGTGCGTCACGTGACTCTTCCTAACACTATTTTGTGTGCACTGCCACTCCAAAAAGACTATAGACATGCAGCCTCGCTCTGAAAAAGAACTATAACTGCAACAACCAAAAACTTTATTCGTAGCAACGAAACCACATGAATAGTACCCAGGCGTGTATTTCGACTCATCAGAGCTGTAGATTCGTGTCAGACTAGGACTATCGTCGCTATTTTTATGAATTGTGATTTGACTTGTAACTATTTGACTTGGCTTAACTTGTAAAATTGACTTGCTACCATCTCTGCGGCTCATAGCGAAAACCTGTGGGTGAAGTGTTAAAAAACAAATATTGATTGCTTTATCCTTTGGTATAGTAAAACTAGCTTCCGTCAGTGATCCATGAAGCATACTATTTTCCCTGGGCTTCTCCTCAGGAAAATAGAATGTTCCATGGATCACTGAGGGAGACTAGTTTTACTTCACCACTGGAAGCAGTCAATATATTTGTATATCATGCACGCAGTAAAACTAGCGAGTTGAACAGAATCCACGCAAAAGCCGCATATTTCAACCAGCTGGAGGTCATTTGATCGAGATTATATTTTAAAATTGATCTGGCTATTTAAGTCACTAATGGAGGCAATGTATACATATACATATCAAGTTAGTCCCACCTCACAGATTAATTTGGAATTATTTAATTTAATCAGTTCAAATCAAGGGCGTAAATCCTGGGGGATGGGGGTATATATCATCCACTTTTTGATGTGGTAGATGGGCTGTTGAATCACCCACCCCTCAAATTGGTGGTGAGCAAACAACTTTAAGTGGATTGTGAAAAATTGTAAGGATTTCCCAAGGACTTTAATTACAGATGTACCTCTTTATTATGAACATCGTCCCTCGTAGTGTATATGGTGTAAACCCCCCCCTGCTTTTCAAATTTCCATGGCCAGGCAAGGCATCCCCACCTTTTCTCTATCCTATATTCCCCCAATCTCCAGCACAGATTTGCAACACTGCTTCGAACAAACGTTGGTAGCTTGGTATTTCGACATGATGCAGAATTCTGTACTTACCCGTCGTCTTTGATGATAGATTACTGCATTCCATGCATGGGTTTCCCAATGAATAGCATAATATGCGAGATGATGAATTCACCGGTGAACCCTCAGAAAGAATGAGTTGTGTTTATTTTGCGATTGTTGGTGCTGTTTAAGAGGAAAGCTTCATGATGATCACGGCTGCAACGAAAACAGTGACCATGACACTGACGAATCCACACCCGTCAACTTGTTCAAAAGAACGGTCTGAAAGCCAAGTCATGAGCTGGCAGAAAGAGTCTCTCGTGGACTTGCATGAGCACGAGTATTTCTGTCGAAGCTAAGCGTTCCTCGCCACGAGAGTACTAAAGTAATAATTGCGAATTATTCTGTGAATAATATTTATCTAAAGCGTTCAATCTAGGTCCATGTTGGCTGCGTCAGGGTACAAGGTTCCAAGATCAGGTCATTCACTGTTACCATGCAACAGGAGGTATACTGACGTTATTTTACCGAATCAGTTGTCAACAAATTTATAGGCGACAAGGAAGTCTGTGTGTGCTGGCTGGAATGTTCAGTCAATACTGTACCAATGAGCTTTGGTTACAAAATTGCGAAGTCAACTTCGAATTATAAAAATGTTCTTCCGGGAATGACGTCAGGTCTATATACATCGAAACAATACTTTGTAAACCAATCCCTACTTCTTCATACTGATAGACAAAACAGCCGAAAGAATGCCAGTTCTTGTACCGCTGTGGTAACTTGTAATGTACACCGACAGTGTTTGTTCTTTTGTGCTGCATTTCCCCGTACAGAGACAATGCCACGTACATTTTTTTTTGTTCCCTGTTATATTTATTCAGCATTACTCAGACTGGCACTTTGTCAAGAAAGGCAACCGGGGGGGGGGGAGGGGGGAAATTCCCTTGCATATAAATCAGATCACAGATTAGTTATCGCAAAAATGTCCGCGACACGGGGGGGGGTATTATGACTACTTCCCGGTGCCTACATGCGTTTGCTTCAGCCCAAAGAGAAATCGTACAGTGGGGCATACTGCCAAAGTTTAACTGAGATATCAAATGAGTGAACGAAAAGGTGAACAACCAAAGAGCAAATGAGTACCTCGTTATTTTTACGGTGGCACATACTGGCCCTTTTAGTCACTTCGTGAATATCGACGTAATTGTCATTATACATTGTTATGAATATACATCTGCATAAAGGCGCCTTTCCATATGTACGTTTTTTGGGGGATGCGTTGCGAACACGATGCATTCCTGCGTTTCACCGTCGTCACTGACACAAAAATCGACGCCATTGACATAACATAATGTAGGCCTATGCGTTGCTTTCGGCCGTCAACAAAATCGTTTTGACGGGTACGTAAAGCGTGGCGCAAGTGTTGACGCGCATATGGAAATAGGGCGCCTTAAGGCTAAAACCTATAATAAAAATTAGATTTCTGGACGCAAAGTACATCTTTGGAGATAGATTATTCTGCATATTGTCTGCTAAAGATGAAACTGACTTGTAAAATAATTATTGAAAAAAAAGAGGATTTTTCAAGATAGAGGGCGCTGTTTGATTCGAGCTTGTTCGCTTAGTGATCCACGGCGTCAATCCTTGAAGATATTCTCGAGTGCACACAGAATTACTGTAGTGGACGGTGTTTGCAAATGAACAAGATTCATTCAGACTCCACCCAATACTTGGAGCGTCTTTTTTCTTCATCTTCATTTGGCACTACACATGTATACTATCACAATGATCTTCATCCATAATTTGGGCCAGTCTCGCCGCTTTTTGGCCATCTATGTTCTGAGAATTCATTGCTGTACAATTTTCTGGGACTTTGAGCTGCTGCCTTTGTTTGCTCGGAAAAGTCTCCTTCACACTTTTAACTTGAAAGTAAGAAGTTAGTGAATTTCGCCGGCCGAAAATTAACGTTTTGCCTCGTCTCACCACAGTTTTTCCTTGGGATAGTATTTTAGTAGAGATATGCATTTCTATTCTTCCCTACTTACTCTTTGGCCAAATGCTGAATAGACAGGCGTTAGAAGGTTTACTGGCGTAAGTGACTCGGGCCAGTTGGAAAATAAAGGAGGATAGCAACAACCCCATGTTGAACCTTGACATTTTGACAGCTAATCCCTCAAATCCACTGGAGCAAAACCTTTCTTTGTAGATGTAGTTGCTTTACCTTGTCCTTAAAATTTTGTTCACTCCGCTTGACATTTTAAAATGGAGCACGCTAACCCGGATAAATCTGAGATTCAGAATGTGTCATAAAAGTGCGTGGTAAGGACACACGTTTCGAAAAGGAAAACACTCGACTTTTGAGGGCATCATTGGGGTGATGATTGGTGAGGCCTGAATTTGCCCCGCAGAGTACAGCCAAAAGCATAGCCATCGAGTACATGTCGTTAACAGGTAACAAGCAATGCCCCGTGTATTTTGACGAGTACAACATCCACTGTCATGGACGGTGTGTCGATAGCGCAAAGAGGTCTTTGTTCGGGTGGTTCCTCTCTATTTGTGGAAAAATAAAAGTCACTTCGATCAGTCTGGCAATTAATCTTGAAATCCTCTCGTGGGAAAATGCCCCGGAACATTCATTCAGAAGGCTCACCTGCATGTTTTGTCCGTTAAAAGTCAAAATTTAGCATAAGAACGTAGCTGTCGTGGTAGATCAACACTTCAACTACGACATCAGTTGCCTGGAAGTCCACCACACCAAGTATACAGCACGACAAAACATTTCTGATTTTTCCTTCAACTGTAAGGCTTAGAATGTAATAAAGAAATTTCCCGCCTACTGACCACACCTTGCTGCATCGGTTGAAATCGACACTGTTGGTCGGGAGTGTCCATTTTGCTGCTGGTACTAAAGCGAAGAATAGTCATTCGTGAACCAGCGAAGCGCATGCAGTTCCGACCACAGGAGTCGCCGCTGCGAAAGGAAAATTGCGCCTTCTTTTCGACCAGCTCGTATCGGACATTAATCGTAATAATCCGAGTCTCTCAATATACCAACATGATTTTTTCTTCACACACGAGTACTATAGTGTGTAGAAAACTCGTGTGGGCATTAAACGCCCAGGCGTGTGGGCAAACTCTTGCCAACGGGCCGGCACGGGGTGGTCTATTCGGCAAAAACTCAGCCTACACTTCCTTTGTAATTCGTTCATTGGCCTGTTGGAATTTGGTAATGGTTCGGTCATGGTGTTACTGATCATGACCTTGTACGTACCTGTGCCTTAGACAAGGCGCCATGGTTTATTGCTTATATGTATAAGCTATTATGAGCTAGTGTTCAAAAAGATCACTTTCATTTGGGCGTATTCGAAGGACAGTTAATTCCATTGAGAATTTTTAAAGTTGGCGATATTTCTGGTACTATCTCCAATTAAGGTTATGCGTGACTGCATTCATCAATTCTAAATTTTCCCGCCTTTTGACAATGCAAGAATGAAATTTAAAGCTTCACGACCGGGGAATACTTTACAGCAAAACTTTTCATTCTGAAGACAAATAATGTCATTTTAGTTTCTTCGTCTAAGTTAAGTAACTACAGTTTTCATTAATGTCTTTTCAGCCACATTCTAATAACACAAAGATATAAAAATGACAGTACTAGGCATTTTGCATATTCATTCCCTGATTTCTATACTCTTCAGGGATATCCCAATTTCTGATCTATTGCATTCTCCTTATGTCTGGCTATTGGAGATGGGAAACGTGAGTCTTTAATGGACACTGTCGTTAATTCAGTGGTTATCTGGATTGGAGAGTATCTGGATTGGTCACCTTTCCTCCAGAATCTCAGAGCCTGTGAAATACTTGAGGGCATGACGAGCAGGGGTCACAACAACTTAACATCGAGTGGCGGATTTCGAGTTCTTTAAGAGCATTATATGGAATGCACTATAGGTCACTAGGTATATGCATTTTTTTCACGCGCCTCTGTGCATTGTACATTGAAGGCATTACAAGTGAAACCCAAGGGTAATATCGCTTACGATGATAACAGCATTTTTTTTCTGCTGAGTCACTGCAGGTGTGTCCCAAAGGAATAAATACTTGGCGTCGCAAAGGCAGTGCAAATTGTTGCCTCATGGTTCAGTGCCTTGAAAATATTGTCTTTCTTTCAGTAGCTAGGGCAGGTACGGGGAAACTTGTGCAGAGAGAACTTCAGTGCTCTGTAAACTATGTCGAAAAACGAAGACTTGAGTGACACAATTTACATTTCGTGAAGCAAACCTATGATTTCAGATAAAGATGTAACATAATTAAGAAAAATTCGTGGGTGTAAGTCCCTTCTATATAGTTATTACAACAAGAAAAACAGTTTTGTATAATAGGTTGCATATCGTGTGCCGAATATTCTCGTGAATTTTTATGATCAGTAAAACAAAATGTACATCGCAGAAATTATAACTAATGCCAGACTGCAAAACGTCGCTTAAAAGATTAGCCTTCTCCCCGTTAATTAATTGTCTATTTCATAGTTGGTAACAAACTGAAACCCTAGTGGTATAGGCTAATGCTATTATGCAGGCTCAGCATGAAGTTGACAATTGCTGACAAGACTGCATGTACCCATTAGTGAAATGGGGATGGCATTTTAAGAAATAAGAGCCGGTTATGACGACCGGTGATGCAGGCAGATATGGCATTGACGATCATTCTCTCTTTTTCTTGGTGTCTAGAGAAAGAGAAACCACAAACTAAAAGTTACAACCTAATGTTGTGAACAGTCATCATTATTATGTTATTAGTTCTTTTATTTATCCAGGGTATAACTTAGTCACCGAACGGAAGGGTGGTTTTGCATAAGACCCTGACATGGTATAATACGAATTAAAAAGCAAGTCTGAATAAAATAAACACTAGATACAAGTAAACTAGTTAAAAACAAATACATAAACATTAAAAACATGTAAACATTATACTTTAAAAACTCAAGTTAAAGGTATAAATAACAACTACAAAACAGAACAATTAACCATGAAGTGCATGCTGAACGTAAGCCGTTGTAAATCGGCAAGATATACACAATCATTCTTGGATTATTTCCCATTCTCTGTGGGGCAGGGGGGTATTCCTTTTACACCAGTTTCACTGATCAAATGCTTAAGACACCCACGCCCATGCAAATGACGATACCGCCGATCTTGTCCCAGTTTGTAACACAGTGTCGATTTTCTTGTGACATCGTGTTCGAAAGCTTTTCGCGCATGACTGATCATCGATCCATATCGCGTCGTGTTCAGAGGATACATCATAGACGTACGTACGCGCACGGGCGGCAGAATTTACTGAGAGTGGAGCGTCGACTCCTCGGGGTTTAAGCACAGGCAGGACAAGCTTGTCTCTAACAATTCCCAAATTTCAAAACATTCCCAAGAAAATCTATTATCGATCCCAAGACGTGCGTTGACCAGTGACGAGACAGTCATTTCAGACGTTTGCCGTTCGACGAGCCTTGGAGACTTTGGCTGAGTTGATTTTACGAGAGAGCAGCGAAGATGGCACAGTTGATGAGCGTCGCTGTACTCACTCTTCTCATGGGGCTCAGCGCGGCGCACGTCCGTCTGACTTGGCCGCCAGCGAGGACCTACGATTTCGACTTCTTGGACAACATCCGGACCCAAGTACCTTGCGGGGTGCCCTCTGGTCAGTGAAACTTTTTCTTTCATTTGTAGACGTTTGTTTCACTTTGGTAAATTTTCTTCGTGTTTTGTGCATGAATAGCAAATTAAACCAAACTTTTTTTGCCAAATTCGGGGTACAAAATCTATTCCTTTTCCTCCTTATATGCATGGATGAATGAAGCTACGTATTATCCAACGTCAAGACGAAATGATTGTTCTGAGCAATAAATATTTCTTGGAAATGAATTGAAATGGAAGATGTAATGTCTTAAGTCTTTAAGTAAGAAAGAAGAGAGGGCTGTAGAAAAGGGGTGTTCTGGCCAAATCTCTGTTAAATGCATTAAATCTCACACAGTGTTCCATTAATTAAAATGCAGTGCAATTTCATTGCATGATGGTAGGGTTTTCTTAATTTTGGAAGCATGCAATACATATATCTATTAATTAATATTTGATTGTGTGACTTTTTAGTTTTAATTTTGAACGAAGCATCTGTTAATCTGTAACATAAGCTACAATACAAGAATTTTGACACAAACCAAGCATGCCCAGGCCTGTGAATGGTATTTTTCCCTTTTGAGAATTAAAATATGTTTTAGCTTTTTTGAAATATATAAATTTAAAATGATAGCAATCACTTTTGTAATTGTTAATGACAATATGTAAAGTTATAAAGAGATTTTGTTGTAATTAAGCAAAATGAGTGCATTTTCCTGAAAGTAATGCCCACTGTCTGAAACATGAAATTTGTAAAATTTGCCAAATTTTCCGCTACACATTTTTTTGACAATCGCATCCTCACATTTTAAAATTAGAATTGGAACCCTGCTCGGGTATATCTTGAGGTGGCGTATCTTGAGATCAGTCACTGCACTAAGAATTGCTTCATTATATATCATTGAAAGCAAACCACTTTTATACCACAAACTTAAGTGCTGTTTTTTGACCTTGTGCGACACGCCAGCATGAAACGTGACAGGGTTTTGTGATTTGAACACTTGATGCCTCTTCAAAACTTTTCAAAAGTCAGAAGCAGTTCTCATATGACCAACTGACCAACTCTTCCATTAAATTGCATGTAGATTGGTGTTTTGTTTATCAACCCATCAGTCATTGGGAAATTTTATTGGAAAATCACATGCCCAGAATAGAGCTGCTAGGATTTTGTAAGACAGTATTGACATTTTGAACAATTATAGTCCTTGTTACTCTGTAGGTCAGATGCCCAATTAGGTAGACCCCCCAACAGCCTGAACTTCTTCAACATCAGTAATCCTTGGGAACAATGGCTATATTTGTTGAATGTCTTTATGTTTCCTGCATTGTGTGATATCCCTCATATAGATGGTAGGGACTTAGTCTTTTGGTCATTGTATTGGCTAGAATTATCAGTTTCTACTGAAGACCAAGTATCGTGCATTTGGAAACAATTTAAGATGATGTTCAGTTTGATGTCTGAACGTCTTGTCCATTTTCCTCATTTCCTGCTTCTTCTAACAATACTGCGTTTGATGCATCGCACTTAATTTCCTGTCTTTTGTGCCAATCTCCTTCATGTGTTACCATGGCAACATTTACAAAAAAACTACATTAATGCATATTGCATCTAGGTGGAGAATAGAACTGGAAGGCATGCGTTTTATGAAGTCCATGTTTCTTCATGTACAAAATTATACTGATTTGTATGCAGCTCAGTGCATCGTAAAAATAAAGAGGCAGAGAAAACTACAGAGATGCTCGTTCCTGTAAAACAGGCAGTAACCCTACTTTACAAATCAATGGCTTCCCAGTGTACTACTGGCATTTTCGACAAATGAGGAAAATAATAAGTGTCACAAAAAGAAAATCAATAATAAAGGATTTACATCTAGAGACTCAAAATCGCTGTTAAGTGCCCTGCTTGGCCACACAAACAAGCTGCGTTGGGAACTCTTCCATCACAAAGATGACATTTTTGAGTATTCCAAGCACAGGAAACTCTGCTTCAATTCCCTGCTAGCTATTGATATAAAGTGCAGAGATGTGAATCAGAGATTACATTTTGATGCATTTTGGTACCTGGAAGTTCTTTTTGTGATTAGCGTCAAAATACTTTTGCAAGCTAAGCCATTCCTGTCTTCTTGTAGACTGGATTAAGGCCATTAATTCCGTCATTTACAGCCATTATTGATCAAATGTCAAAGGTACATTGCTGGAGCTGTTTAGATCTACAGTGACTTTTTTTTCAACTTTGGATCCGGGTTTTAATAAGCTGACTCATGAACACTAATTGGCTGAGTGGAATGGGTCTTAGTTTACAGCTGTTTACTTACATGTACATGTACAGTATGTATCGATTTTCCCCTCACAAATCCCAAAGCTTTTCCAGTTATAATTACTTTAAATATCTGCCTCAGTAGGGTTTCGGGTCTTTGTTCATTCACGTTGTGATCTTTGTTAGTTGCAGAGAGTAATTCATCGTGGTGGGTTTCCTTAATAGCCCCGTTTCCATGGAAATACCTTTGGAAACCTAGCGTAGCTTGTTTAATTTGCAGCATCCAATTAACGCAAAGACGGCAAAGATTTAGAAAACCATTCTCGATTGGCTCATACATATTGTTGTGAATACCACCTGCTTTGCAGCAAAATGGAAGTTTTCATATGGAACAAATGAGTCCATAAAAAACCCCTTTTTGACACAATCATGTACATAAGTAAGTTCACGTACCCCTCAGGTTAATGGTTATTCAGCACAGATAGAAAAATCTGAAGCTGGGATCTCTTGTAAAATAACCGTAATGTACATTAAGGGACCAAAGGGACGGAGCCTATGGGTGGGGGATAATCTAATGCCAAGTAAGTTGTATTCTACAAGAATCTGAGAAGCATGTTGCAAGAAATCTATATTTTGAGACACAATTCTGTTCATGTGTAGTTTTATTTGACAGAGTCAAAGTGGATTCCTGAGGTACATGTACAGGAATAAAGTTCCTACATAGCTGTTCCCTTTAATTGCCTTTTCTTCATTTTCACATTTACTTGTAAGTTCATATTCTTCTAGTCTTTTCTCCCTTTTCATGAAGAAAAACTTGAGGCTGTAAAATGTACCTTTTAAGAGTAATTTATTTTCTTTATCTTCTTCATAATTAATAACCTTGGAAAATGATGAGAAATGTCTGACATTTCGGTTTCCTAACAACGGCACATACAGGCATTACTGAAAAACTGCGCTCAAAGAGAAATCAAAGTGTATTTACGCATGTGTGCCTTACATCATACAATGATTTTTTTGTGAGCTGTGCATCTATGGAAACGGTAACCATGACAGTCTTTTGTCAGCACTGACAATACCTTCACTGATGTTTTCTTGTTTTTCCTGTGACCTTCATGTGGAGCTCGAAGCTCTTTCACAGAATTAAATGTTAATGCGGACAGCTCCCTTTTCCCATGTGTGTACTCCAACTACACGCGGGACTCACATGCATAATTGAAACTTTAAAAAATGGAACAAAAACTGGATAATGGTTATTTTAAAGGGCAAGGTTCATGGTGATTCACATTAGTACACCTGTCTTTAACTTAATATCTGGACATGAATTAAACTTGCTGCAGGTAGTTCATCCCTACGTAGTTTAGATAATTTTTATTTTGATATGAAAATGGAGTACATTGTTCACGCATGTCCAGCATCCAATCCATGCATCAGTCAGCTAGAGCATTTCTTTCACCCAAACAACAGTATTTTGCAACATTCAGAGGTATATATGTACATAACCTTTTATCAATGCACATTGCCAGAAAATATGAAATTTAGGCTCAGTACTACCCCTATCTCAGAGAAAAATCTCAAAGAATTTCTGAAAAGCTAGTCCGAACTGATGGTGTTTGTCCTTGCTCATTATGCTGTCCATCTTTTTTATCAAGTTAAATCTCTGAAAATGGCATTGGGATAAGCCCTTCATGGCCAGCTAATGACTATGTCCTGGTTTGGCCTTGGTGTGTTGTGGACAAGCAAAATTTTCATAGTTGTCACTTCTCCTTGAAAAAGATGGCAAGTCGGCAAATGCCATCTGTTCAAACAGAAGTGCAATGCAGTGACTTTGGCTAAACCCAAATGATTTTGCACAAATCATTTGCTCTGTCAATTTGGTTTGAGAATTTCTTGAAGCTTTGCTTTGGCTGATGTATGGAGAAAGGAAACACATGTGGCTGATGCAGGGTTATACTTTCAGATCAATTATCAGATAAAGTCAGGAAACGTTTTTTTCTGTTTTGGAAGGACACTGCTGTTACAATATATTCTGCCCAAGCACATGAGAGACTGGAAACATTCTGATAATGATTGATGAGGTACATGTACATGAGTGGTTCTTTGCAAGGCACAACAGCAGGAATTTTTCAGTGCTTGGCAGCTACACGTATGAAATGTGCTGTATGGGTGTGGCTGGTCCAAAGTAAATATTGACAGACAGGTGTATTGGCAAACACTGCAGTTGTTTGACAGTGTGGGATATTTGAGGTCTCAAGTTGGAGTATGAGACATTGGCTACGCTTACTTACCATCGCTGTTCAGATTATCACCATTCGAAGGGATCTAGACAACAATTGAAAAAGTCCTTGTATTGGTTATTGCAAACAGGCCATGGATGCCTGAGACCCGCTTTTCATTCACAGCTTGTGGAAACAAAATCAAAAGCAGTTACACTCAGTTCCTGTGACATCAGGCGTATGCATTTGTGGTTTAGACTTTGCTCAACATATGAAAGGTTTATAAGGAATCTGGATAACAGAGTGTAAAGTGGAATTGGGTTTGGAGTGTAACTTTAATGTATGCATGGCTAGGGTAAAATGCAAACATGAACAGTATATTTCTGCATATTTTGAAATTATCCTTGGGCACAGCATATTCCTAGAATTATTAGGAAAGATTACAAACTTTCAGAAAATTGGTGCTTTGAATGAAGAAAACTGAGCCTCTGAAATGCAGTCAGTTTATGTGATGTTGACAAAATATTGAGAAATGGATTTCTGCACCTTTATTCAAATTTCCTGTACAGTGTCAGTGATTTGATTTCCTTTTAGGGGATTCACCTAGCAGTTTGAATCCTAAAACTGAGATAAGGAGCATCACTCTTCAAGTAAATACTGAGGAAAAACCTCCAGCGATAAAGAGTATTTCTACAGGGACAGTTGTTCTCTGAGCCCTGTGCAAGTTACATGTACATGTAATTTGAAACTAAAGAAAACTTTTTTTTCCCAGGTGGTCTAGTGACAACATTTGCACCAGGACAGAAAGTCAATGTCACCTGGCATCTGGCATATTCACACAGGGTAAGCATGTCAGAGCCACCGCAGATGACAGAGAAACATGCATGACAATGACAAATTACATGGACAAAGCTATAAACCTGACTGTGACATCAAAGATGATGATATATACTGAGGGCATACCGCTGGCAAAACTAAAATGACAAAGATACTGAATGGGACAGTGAGTGACAATGACAGCAAAATTACAATGACAGTCTAAAGATGTTTAAAAGAATAAAAATTATGCAAAGCTTTCAAATATCATCTTTGAACATAGGCATAAAATAACAACTTAACACCAGCAGAAAAAAATTATAAAAAAGGCCCACTTCTGCCTGTGTTATCATTTTTGTAATGGATGGAAGGGCAAATAGAAAAATGGAATACTCTTTTTGTCCAATTTTAATTTCCTTCTTTTTGAAATGTTCACAGTACAATGCATACATATGGAATCCATCAGTTTTATGTTTTGCCCCCAGATAGGAAGGGCCTTTGTAACTAACAGCTGCTGTGTCAGGAGTTACTGGGAAATGTTTTAATTTTGTATGAGCAAGGACAATGGTGGCGTTATTTATGAATTCTACTGTGTGTGATGCATCTGCAGCCAACCAGAATCAGTAACAGTGCATGCATGGTTCATTATATGCCGTTTCCATGGAAGCTGGTGGTTGAAAGTCCTTGGAAATTCTGCTGAACATTTGCTAACTTGGACGGACACAAAGGAACACAAGAAAACCATTTGGGAACTTTAGTTGAAACATGCACCCATGGGCTTCTTGAAGATAATCCCTCTGTAATTTTTCTCTGACGTTGTACTGTCTCTGTTTTATTGGGGGGGGGGATAGTCTCGAGAGAAATAAACAAGATACCTTATTTGCAGAGCGGACAAAAAACTACAGCAGCTTCAAAATAGGTGAAGAAATGACAAAGTCTACCCAAGCGAGAGTATAACATTGAGTGGTGACCTGAAAATTGAATGATCTTCCACGCTCCTACAAGGGATGATTTGATTGGAGGAAACTTTCCAGTGTGGCACCTGCCTTATTAGCAATAACAAGAGAATTTTCTCTGCATCAGTTTTATTAGATTGACTGCATTTTCTCCGAACAGAAAGCCTCAGGCTGCATTGCTTGGAAATGTTAATGATGTACATTTTGTATGTGCATACATGTATGTCAATATCTTCAGAATTCTTATTCTGAAAACAAGTTTTTGAAGGAGTTACTTTCAACAAAATTTAAGATTCTGGAGAATGGGTAAATTGTTCTTGTTTAATAACAACATATTCAGTGCTTGTTCTCAATTTTGGATTTGATTCTTTTTCGTCCAAAATTGACGATTTTCATAATTCTTTGTTTGAAAATAGAGTAAATGACTAGAATTCTTTGGTCTGAAATCCTTTGTGTAACATCTGGAATTTTTTTATCTGCCAGCTGTCAAAGGCTGCGGTGACATGGCAAAATCTTTTGATACAAAAGTCCATCACATTTCATGCTTCAGGTGGCCCATTCAAAATGCCAATCCCTGGTGATTTCACAGGAAATCATTGACAGTAGAGACCAAGGTTGTTTAAAGTCAGTAGCTGATGCACACCACTATCTTATCGCAGGACTTACTGTAATTGGCCATTAAATTTTACAGGCACAACTTTCCTTTCTCTGCGTAGGCGTGGTCACTAGTAAGTAATTACAGATTGTCAATGCTTGGATACACAGATATGTAACAGTTGAGAGGGAAGATTAATGCCAACATAATCTAATGGATGTACACTGTGCATGGGGTATCCCTTGTTCTGATAATTCTTTGAATATAAGTTTGTATTTAGAATTGGAAAGATGTTGGGTCAATTCAGGGGCATAGTGGGCCTTTGAAATCTGTTGATGCTCTCTGCACCATAAAGGATTCTAAAATCAGTTATCACAATTCCACATCTGCATTGAAATACAGAGCAATGTGGTTTTTTTACCCTTAATTTCCTGTTTTGTTCATGTACCAGATTTTTGGAAACCAAGCTTTAACTAACACTGTATCTATTCTTTTTCCCATTTGAAGGCTTCAACCTACGTGGCATAAATTATTAAAAATTCCTGTGCAGTAAGTGATGAAAATTCACTTGTGATAAATGTTGTCTCTCGTGAAAACATCAGTTCAGGGCAGTTTCATGCAAATGTCACTGTGGTTTCCAATTTTTTTTCACAGAAAATAAATGATCAAAGTGGGCACTGTTGTGAAGGCAGTGATCTTTGTTGCAAACATTAACAGATATCAAGGCCCCATCATCTTTACAATATATTCCAAAAAGGATTACTTTTTATTTGCCAGCTAGCGGTATATACGTGTGTGTCATTAAAAGGGCAGAAAAGACATAATTTTAGTCAGAGAACCAGTAAGGCAGGTCTTTCCATGCAGCCAAATCCTGTGCCTAATTGTAATCTAAACATTGTGACTGTATAGTGGTCTTGTATCCACGCTATTGATGAGATGTACACGTACGGGGTACCGTACATGAATCCTGGGTGCACACAGTCAGAGTACCAGGTTACATAAGCAATCATTAAAGTTTGAGGCTTAAAAGATTTTCCTAATTAAGATGGATGGCTGAAGCAATGAAATCTCCAATTTTTGTTAATTGGAGGGAGATGGCTGGTAGGGTTAAAACCAATTACTTATTCACATGCACAGATCAGATGCCATTTATGGCCTCGAAGAAAGGTCACTTTTAGCATGTTGTATGAGCCAATAAAACAGAAATGCTTTCATACGAATGGATGTGAAATGCCTTATCTGCTCAACATTAAATTTGTTATGCAAGCTAGGCCTGAACAGCAGAGAGCTAAGGTGAATCAGGGGTAGTTCCCCATAGCCTAGGCTAGGCGAGGGTCTTGATGATTCTCATCTTGGTTCAGAATCTAGGGAAAGCTAAAAACCAGTACGCTACCTTTACATTTGTGTTACCAAACAGTGTAGGACTAAGAATTGTAGCATCTGATTTGACAGAATGCCTGGAATTTTTGGCTTTACAAAAGGTGTTTGACAGCTACAGTATCAACTATGATTTAGCAGATTATAGGATAGTCTGTCCAAAAGGGATTCTTTTTGGCAAACCTTGATGTTCAATCACTGATCAGAGATGGTTGAATGAATTTCTCTTTCAAGAGCAGACTGTGACAAAGTGAAAAATATTTATACCTGACCCAAAGTGTGTGTGGACAGGTGATTCCATGCTTATTGAATGGATAACAAAAACCACAGGCGAAAGTAATGCCTACTATAGTTAGTGTATTGATTAGTCATTCATTGGAAGGTCAGGGCTTGTAGATACGGGTCGGAATAGCACAGCTCCACTCATTAAGATCACCATGCAGCTCGTTTTCACTGGTTGTAAATATGAGCAACAACCCCTCTCGTCCACTTCCATAGACTCATGCATTAGCACGTCCACAAAGGCTTCCCGTATCCCTTGCAAATGTATATACATGTACATGTATGTAAGTTAAAACAAGTTTTCATCAAAGAAAAATAACTTGGTTGGAGCAGAAAGGATAGGTAAAGTGCACAAAGACTGGCAGTTTTCAGGCTTCCAAATGGAAAGTGCCATTTCCCCCACAGAATTTCAGTGGGAACAGTTTTCTCCGCATGCAGTGTCCAAGCATGGGTAACCGTTTGGTTGTTTCGTTCCCACAATCAGGGCGGTTACAAGTTATTCATCATTTCTCGTAATGGCTCCGAGATCATGGCCAACTTGACATCTCCCGATGGATGGATTGGCATCAATGAAACTGGGTGAGTTGGTTTGTGTCATGATCAGGAATCTTTGAAAGAAAAAACCTTAGCTCCGAGAAGACACAAAGAAACACTTTATGGGCCGCAGTCAAATTGAAGATCTCTGATTAGTTTACAGTAACATTTCAGTGTCCCAATTAAGTCACACTAATAGTTTGAACAGAATTTTGCTGCATAAGCTTTTCCACCTGTGTATGGTGCCTGCAATATTAGGGAGCGGGGAGAAACAATCTCCCCCCTTGACATGTCCTATAACCACCTCCCTTACAAATCAACTATTCCCTGAAAACATTACCAAGTGACCAAGAAAATAGATAATGAGCCAGTTCAGTATTTAAATGCACTTCATGTGGGACTGGGGGCAGTATGTGGCATAGCTGGGATTTTACTGGGGGAGGGGGCACAAAGGGAGCACCAGCATCTTGGGGGGGGCACCAGCTTTCAGAGGTGTAGTTTTTGGGACAAGTTTTTGTTAGCTTTGTTCAATATCCATTCATCTTTTTTCAGTTGGGGGCACCTGGGGGCACCAGGAATTTGTGGGGGGGGGGGCATCCTCCGGGCTACACCAATGACTGTGGGACATGAGTTGTTGGAGTACGAAAATGGCTCCTAAACCTAGGATTACCATAATTGTATTACAATATACATGTATTACAATGTATGTACACGTATTCCCTAAAGTAAATCTTGCTGGGGTGTGGTCTGCTGTCTGTGGCAATTTAAGGATGAACAGGATTTGCAGTTTTGTGCAGCACAGAGACAAGTGGGTTAAAAAAGGGTCCCTCAATACAATGCTAACATCCCACTTTACTCTCCCCCACCCACAAAAGTGTACACCCTAAGTTACATATTAAGGCCAGTTCATACTTGAGGCAAATGCGAAAGCAAATCGTATTTGAAGTCCTGAAACAGTTGCAGTGAAATTTGCTTGAGTTGAAATGATTTACTTTGCCATTTTGTAGCACAAATATTCGATCTGATTCACAATTGTGTTTGTATACTTTCTCAAGAAATTTATCCTGATGCAGGCAAGTTTTTTTCCCTGGTTCACAGGGCCATCATGCATGAGGTTGAGATCCCATCAAACATGGAGGGTGACTATACCTTGGTGTTGAATCGTAATGCAGCTGAGTGGGTCACAGGCAATCCTAACCTGCCGTTCTACACATTCCACAGCTGTGCCGATATCACCATCAAAGGTGAAGAAAACAAATTTACATCAATTTATTTTTCAAGATCACGAGAAAGTGAAATGTGAAAAAGCAAATCAAAATGAAATTTTTATAAAGCACATGTACAAGGGCTGACACTGAAAGTTTAAATTCAGCTCCAACAATCTTAATTGTTCTTCTAATTTCAAACAATTTTCTCAACAACCTAAGAAAGTCTTTCAGGAGTGTAGTTATAAATTGAAAACTACCATTAAGAAATGAACTTTCACAGATTGTTTTAAGAATCAGTGTTCACTTGTAATTTTAAAAGTAAAACAGTTTATAAATCTAAATTTTTTGTTTTCTGTTACCTTGCACTATAGGTATAACAATTATTTGGTGTTTTTTGTTAAAAAATAGCTGGTGCAGTCTGCAACACCAATATGGAATGCTCTGGCCGTGGGCAATGCACAAACAACAAGTGTGTTTGTAATGACTTAGCCAGCGGCAATTTCTGCCAGTATGTTGGTAAGTGTCAGACAAACATGAGATGCAAAGCTTCATTTCAAAGGAAAATTCTTAAACTCAACGTCTCTCTCCCACGGTAGCCAAACACTGTTTAACCTTTCATTGTGTCAAAGAGTCCCAAAGAGAGCAGACTGTGTTAACAATGAAAGTAACTCAACGATATTATAAATTCTGTGATAGTATAGAATCAGAGATGTTTCAAACTTGGAACATTTGAAAGAATAGACCCAAATCCATCATATCAATTGCTGGTTTTCTTTTATATAAAAAGGATAGCGGTGTGTGTTCTTAAACTTCAGGCAATTTAAGTGACAAAAGCAATGGACTCAACTTCTCCCAGTACATACATGAACATGTGTGTAAAAGGAACTCTTTCACCAAATTGTGTGAATGTTGAACAAGGATCAAGCATTTGCCAAAAGTTCTTTTCATACATGCCTTAGTCTGAGAAAATTCTTTCAGCCAATAAAAATCCAGGACAAAAGCTTGCCAACTGACATGTTTATTGTCCCGCAACACAACCACACACACAGACATGTACAACATGTTTTTTGGGCAATCGTGGACGTTCCTATTGTCCTCTTTTGTTCATACTTTAACTTTTTTGGAAGGCCTCTAATATGTTTTGTACACGTTTGGCAATCGTAGATGTATCGGGCACTCGTGGACGTATCGGAAATCGTGGGCAGTCATTAATTCTTTTGTTTAATGTCCACAATTGTTTGGGAACATCAGTGTATTTGCTTGCCTTTATGTATAGTATAGTTTATTAAAATAGTACTGTGCCATTGTACATGCATACATGGCAATTATAGACATTAAGCTTCCACCAATTAGTACGAGCGGAATTTGTGATCTACATTATTTACAATGTCTTTAATTGTCCATCTGTAAATAATTCAGAAATGCATGCAATTACACGTATTTGTAATTTCCACAGAAAATTGTCTTTTGGCATTAATGGGAGCTTGGTTTAAAATCAGATGAGCTCACATGCAGTCAATTCGCATTCAGATTGTAAATGTGTTTTTCTTTGAATGGACTCTGCTAGGCAACTTTGTACAGTACACCTGTCTATCGTTTGTTCTCATTAGCAGAATTATGCAACACAACTTGGGTTGGGGGAACTAAGCAAGTTTTTGTTTGTTCCTTGTTACACCTGTGAAGCCATGAAGCTATTTTAATAGCTCTATTGTGCAACGCTAACTATGGGAGCATTGTGCTGATTTACTGGACAGAAAAAATATTTTTGAATGCACTTCTTTCAGGTGAATACATTTACAGGGTTGTGTGTTCATTCAGTTGAAATAATTCTGGTGCCCTAGCTGTGCACAGTTTCTGAGCAATTAGGCACTACACATGTCCTCACTGAGCGTTTGTTTGGATAAAGCACCGTACTACAGTTCATCACACTCGCTGATGGAACAGCGAAGCAGTTAGTTATTGATTTTCTTCCCCCATCAGATGACTGCATGAATGCAGAAGACTGCAGTAATCACGGTGAATGCACCGAAATCTCCGATGTCACCTACACGTTTCCCCGGTCCGTCTGCTTCTGCAGAGATGGTTACTTCGGAAATCAGTGTGAAAAAGGTGAATGTTTGTGTGGAGACTTCCCGTTCCAAGATATGAGCCAGTGGTAGAATGAATATTAAAGTGGGGAGGGATGTTAGACCATGAGGCGTCAGTCATTAAAGGTCAAGTCATTGCCCCATTGTGTTCTGACAAAGGATTGGCAGAGGAGTATCCCCATTTCAATCACCAGTGACATCAGTTATAGGAAAAACAAAGCTCTCCCAAATGTTCAGCTTCAAAAGCTCTGAAATATTGATCTTCAAATCTCGTCTCTCCTAAATATCTGGCTCACTGGGAGCCCAAGCCTGTGTAGATCAGCAATTTTCACTTGAAAGAGCAGTGTTTCTCATTACTCAATGCTAGTACTCAGGTGCTTTTTTGGGTATTTTGTCAGGTACTCAGGTACAAGAATTCCATGTTTTCATATACACTCATGGAAATACATGTATTTACTTGACAACAACCTCCTCCTGGTTGATGCCAAAAATGGGAAGAAGTGGTGAAGAGAGCAAGAATTGCTGTTTGATGCTCACATTCATCAGACAGGTGATCTGTCCTGAACATACACGATACTTGAGAAGTAAATATCGCTTGACCGAGTAACTACTGACCACAGTGAATGTGTTTGCAGAACTTTACTGTGTGTTTGTTGTTTCATTTGTGCAGAAAATCCCTCGAACTTCAAGGTTGACATGATGATGGAGGAAATGTCCAGCTACTTCCACAGGGATCTGTCTGACTCCATGTCCGTGTACTACAAAATCCTGACAGTAAGTCTGAGGATTTGACATAAGTAATGGGCTTGGTACTGTGTTCAAATTCCATCTCTGCTGGCTGAATTCAAATCCTACCCAGGTTTATGTGGACGTGGAGTGTTCACCTCCACTGTATTTTTACCTTAAATTTGTAGGACAATTGTAGCTAGATTACAAACGTGCGTTCTGCTTTGATTGTATTGTCAGGCCTCAAATGAAGTTGAAGTGGTCGTCAAATCGACTGGGAAAAGTTGGATTGGATTTGGATGGCGTCCCAGAGGTATGTCTTACAGAGAATTGGCCGTGTAGATAAGCTTCATGTACAACCTCATCACCGCCTTTCATTTGTCTTACGCAGTTGAATTTAGCAAATATTAATTATGCTGCAGTTGAAAAATGGAAAGGTGTTTGTATGTAATCCCATATCTGAATTTGTTCTTTTGTTGTCAAGTAACGTCGCCGCTTTACTCTGTTATTGACTTTTGAGCCTTTAACTCTCTATCGACTTGAATCGCAAAAGAACACATTGGCCAATTACGCTGTACCATTTGCAGCTGTCATCAGGACCAATGTGAGGATTTGAACATGCTGTCCCTCCGATCCACACAGGCTCAGCCTTTCTGTCTGTACTTCATTTGTCAGGTATGAACGGCACCTGTCGTAACTTCCCTGTCGCCTACCGCTCTGGGGCAGTACCGGAAGGGGAACCAGAGGGGGAACCGGTGGGAGAACCAGGAGCTGAGCCACCATCTACGGTAGGCATGAATCCTCTGATTCATCAGCTGGCATTGATAAAAGAAATGGAGTCACAGTCTTGAGAAAACAAGAGAAAAAGAACACAGTAGGAGCCTTCAAACTTCTTGGGGAGTTATTGTTTCTCCAAAGTTCTGTCCTACAAATGGAAGTTGCAGGAAATATTTGCTTTCACACATTAATTGTCTCAACTTCTGTTTACTGGGGCTGGACCACATCAATAAAGCAAAAACTTGGTTTGATATATGTGCTAGTTGAGCCAAAACACATCGTATTCCATGACTGGTACTTGACTTTCTTCGTATTGTCTTCTACCTAATAACTCCCTGAAATACGTGGTAAGCCAAGAGGCTGTTTGTTTTAGGGGGTGAAATGGTTCTGTACTGCATTCATTTTGTGTAGGGACGCCGCCGCCGTGCCGTGCGCTCAGTACGGATACCCCGCCACTCACATGGGGACGACATGGACATGAGTGATGAGTGTGTCCCATGGGGTTCTGGAGGTGCTGAGCCAGGGGCGGAGCCTGAACCAGGGGCGGAACCTGAACCAGGGGCGGAGCCTGAACCAGGGGCGGAGCCATCTGCCGAACCAGGGGCAGAGCCATCTGCCGAACCAGGGGCGGAGCCATCTGCCGAACCAGGGGCGGAACCAGGGGCAGAACCAGGGGCGGAACCAGGGGCGGAACCAGGGGCGGAACCCGGGGCGGAACCAGGGGCAGAAGGTGAGACCTATCCCTAGTGAAGCAGATATCCTTTGCTCCTCCTGAATATTTATGTTCCAAAGAATTACCCATTGTGTTCATGCAAATAAGCACACCCTTACATTGAATTTTATTCATTGATACATGTAAATGCATTTATATGTCAAGTCAGTTCAATATACGCAGCTTTAAACTTGATATTGAAAATCACCTTTTCTGACATTTTGCCCTTGACAGTAACCCCAGAACTTGCTGTCCTTATTGTTAGTCACGTCCAATGATTTGAAGCAAACTACATGTCTTGTGGCACTTCACACAAAGTGGCATTTTGAAAGTCAGTGTGCTCTTGTTTTTAAAATTTTTTTGATTATCTACAAAATAAGCCTTGTGATAAACAAATTATGTCTCAGTGAATCAAGTGCTTTCGATTTGAAGAAAATTTGATTGTTTACCATCAACATTGTATCGTGGGGACTAAAAATGGCACTGGTATAGTTACTTTGTGAAAGAATTCAAGACTTTCATTTCATCAAAGTCAGATCCTAAAAATCCATGATTTTATATTTTGTCCATTCAGCCTCACTCCACCCCATGGATTGTGTGGATATTGTCATCGGCATGGTGGACGGGACATTGTCGCGTGTCGGTGATTACTACACCCGTGATCGGTCCACGCCAAGACCCGACAACTTCTACGGAGGAACAGACAGCTTGACAGCTGCAGGGGGCAAGGAGTACAGCGATCACACCATCATCAAATTCCGCAAGAAATTAATGTGTGAGTTAGTTGTCACTTCCATCAATCACAAGTTTGTTTCTGATATGTCCTAGTTTCCGTCCAAACAGTAAACATGGACTGTCTACAACATATGAAAGGAAAAAGTGAGTTTGAGTTCATGCGCCTGGCATTTAGTGTTGTCTCCAGAAAAAAAAAAAATTGGGGGGGGGGGGTAATATTCTTAGTCTTTAGAATTTCAACAGTTAACCGTGGTGTCAACGGCGTGGGGATTGAGATCGACACACATTACCAAATATGGTCATCACTTGAGATCGACACATATCACCAAATATGGTCATCACTTTTTTCAGTGGGCCAACTTGGCAAGGTTTTTTGTAATCCTCACCTCAGGCCGCGTTGTGGTACAAAATGAGATAACTTTTTGTCCCTTTATTTTCTGCTAGCCACCGAACGCTCTGATCACAGCATCGTGAATGGACCCATGAACGTCATCTTTGCACGAGGCCAGGACTACGGGAAGTACGTGCATAACCCGCCCAGCGGCGTCGAGTTCTGCACCACCAACCAGCGGTTCTACAAACGGTTTGAGCTGAAATACCACGGCACTCACCCAAACCAGCGCCGACAGGTGCCCAACTTTAATTTTTATGGTATGTTAAAGTCATCTCCATCAGTGGTTAGAATACTTCTCTAGAACAAACAAGCTGCCCTGTGATATGTTCTTGATTTTGTTTTGATCACGAGCGTAAGCCCTGATAATACAAGAACTATTTGTGCAAGTATCTTTGAAAACTACCGCAGAGTGCTGTAAATTTTGTGGTCTAGTTAGTACATACAAGAACTGGAGGAATATTTTCCTTTCGCCTGATAGAAGTAACATGTCTTACTCTGGTTATACTTTCCTTAACCCTAACACTCCTCTGTCCTCCAACAGGTGAAGGATTGACGAGGGTTAGGGTTAATATTATTTGTCTGAACAAACCTTTTAAAAACCACTCATTGTTGCAAAATTGAAGGGAAACTCAGTGGTTGCTCGCAGGATAATTCAAATCAGGAGACAATGACATCTTTTCAAAGACTCTGTAACATGGCCTTGGGACAACAAAATTTAGACTGGACATTTCTCTGCCAGTATGGACAGTACAGAAAATTTTACAAGTCAAGGAATTATCAGCTGTAGCATGGCCAAGCATGCCATGGTAAACTTTTTTGTGGCTTTGTCCTCGACAGAGGATCCCAATGCGGTGCCACCCAGTGGCCCATGCGTCGGTATGTTCTCCAATCCTGTGAACTGCCAAGGAGATGCCTGCAACTACCGAATCACCTGGACATACAGAGAGGCTGATGATAAGATCCAATTCACCATTGTTGCTAAGACGGAGAGCAACAGGTGGACCGGAGTGGGCTTTTCCAGGCAGGGTGCAATGGTACTTGAAGCTGAAGTTAATTAACGGAATTAAATGCTTTGAGGATTAATAAATTGCAAATTTAAAGCAAAATTGAAATAAGATTATAACATCCAGTTCCAAGCTGTGCATATAACATACCACTCTTGTTAGTTTTTATTGGCGAAGCCAGAAGGGTTATGAAGTTTAGGTGAGGCATTTTTTGGACAGTTTGCATCAGTAAGAGTGATAAAGAAAATAATGATTTTATCATACATTCTTTATCTTTAAAAAAAATCGTGTTGGCCAGGAGACTGCGTTCAACTAGTTCGTTTACTCCAGTGGTAAAATATCTTTCATGTGGACTTGCTGGAGTATAATCCTCTGATAGAGATATGACTGTTGTATGTTAAGACTTTGTGTTCACTCGCTTGATATGCCAGAGGGTGAAGACACTCTTGACTGTCACAAACGGTGACATTTGGATCGGGGGGTAGGGAGGGGGACTCCCTTGATTGGTGCTGATGATTGGCTCACTACTGAGCCACTAATTCCTTGATCCAGTAGCCAGGCTCTTCAAGGAGCAACATAAAGGAATCCGTTGAAAATTCTGACAGCAGTTTCCTCTCTTCCTGGTCTTGGCAGATCGATTCGGACGCCGTCATTGCTTTCCGCAGAGCCGATGGCATGGTGGCTGTCGAAGACCGCTTCTTGATGGGTAAGAGTCAGGACAGGGTGGTCGTCGACAAAACCAACAATCTTGAAGAGGTGTCGGCCTCTCACAACAACGGTGTCATGACGCTGTCCTTCAGACGTCTGAGGAACACTGGTGATAACCAGGTAAGACATCCCCCCTCCTCCCTAGAAAAACTCACTTTGAGAAGTGTGGACATCAGTGACTTCTCAAAAAGTTTGGGGTGAAGAAGACATGGGTCAGTAAAGGCTGTACTGAAATCAGTAAGTTGTGACACATTTTGATATATTTGTGTGAAGCATCACCTTTACTGTAAAACAAAACTGAAGCAGTTTCATGGAAGTTGACTTGTTTTATACCAAGACATTTGGACGTCCTCTCTTGGTTTTTTTTTCTCAGGATGTTGCCTTCACTGATGATCCTGATGGGTGTCTTCATTTCCTCATTCCTCTCCGAGGAGGTACATTCACTGAAGGAACGCCCAACGTGTTATCCATTCACGCGGAAACACCAATCGCATCTCAGAAATTCTGCATCAAGGCTTGCGACGAAGGGCCAGGTAAAATATTTCCCTGCTGTACGGCGGTAAAAGTACTCTCCGGTATGCTTCTTCTCTCTTGCAGGACACTTAGTACCTTGGTAAAAAGGAAGATCTTGCTCTGAATATTTCATCCCCACATTTTGGCACACAATTCGTTCATGAGATTCAAATGAGCCTTTCCAAACAAGCGGCTGTCGTTTGTCAGCAAAATTCTATGCAGCCTGGCACTTTTCAAGGGGTAGCAAATTCAAATCATGGTGGTACACTAGCATTGATCAACTTCATTCTTGTCTTCTTGTCAGTATTTCTGCCAAGATTGTAGTCCTAATCACTACTGGTTCACTCTGCAATCGTTGCTCTGCTGTCATTTCAATCTGTCTAATCCTATTACAGATCTGACAAGACTTAATTCTGATCTCTCTGTGATTCATCTACTGACCTGCATTTGATGTGTCTGCCTCTCCTATTCTGTGAAGATACAATCCCCAGTAATCTCTATTAAATCTCCTTGAATCTCCGATTAATTCACTCATTCTTGACAACTGCTTAAAGCTTAATAAACCTAAATTGATGTATATCGGGACTTACGCCTTGCTTCTATGTCAGCTAATCTTGTCAGTAGGATAAATCTGCCAAATTCTGATCTCTTTCAGACAATCTCCTTGCATGTTTCAACCATTCGACTAATTTTCATTTCTTGCTCTCTCTTTGTCAAGTCATTGTGACTGCTAGTGAAATGCCAGAGGGAACTGCCTCCCCGCTTGCTTCTCTCTCTGTTGGTACCCTGCTTGCTGGTTCCTATCTCACTAATTGCTTGCTTTTCGTCTAAACCTGCTCATACATAGGTTTGTTCCATTGTTGCATGTGACATTTGAACAAATTTCCTTATTTTGGGAGTCTTTTAAGCTTGATTTTGCTTCACGAGAAGAGAAGAAATCGGGGCTTTTATATTTGGAATAGTGTAAGCAACACATTACTGGAGGCAGAAGTTGTTGGTGCTACATTTAGATTTCCCTTTTTATATTTAAACATACTTTTTTGCCTTTTTTAAATTTACCAATCATAATCTCTACAATGTACAGTGAAGGTTCATGTGAATTGAACAGCATAATTTTTTTTTCATACAAATAAGTTGGAAACAACTGTTTGTGGGGTCAAATGATCTTTTGTCATGAAAAACTGTGAAAATTTAAGAAAAGTCACCAAAAGGATTGAGGGGGCCCCAAATGAACAATTTTCCTGTCTGAGTTTCCACATGGACATTCTCCTAAAAACACTTCCATCCAGGTACTTTTTCTCCATCATTCTTAGCCAATTCCCTCTTCAAGATGCAAAACAAGCAGAAGGGTGACTGTGGAAATCTGCCCCGAGCAGCCATAGACTGTAATTTGTGACAAGTTTTGGTTTTTATTTGTTCTTTCCAGGAGGCCCCAGAGACAGTGGTGCAAATCTCTCAGCAAGACTGAGTCCCGTCATCATTTTTATGATTCTGACCTTCATCTTGAAGATGTAAACAGGATGTAAAGCATCCAGGCGTAAGCATCACAATGCAGTTAGGTATTCAATCGAATGTAAACAAAATTTGAACAACACAAACCAGCCTGATAACCATTCTGAAAACAAAGCTTGTCTGATGTTCATCCTCAAGATGTAAACGACACAAAGCTTTCGAAATTTGTCTCAATGATGCAGATGCCTGTCAGGTGCACTGACCTCGCCTCCTCACACTACAGCTTTGACATCACTTTATCATCATATCAACATACAACCAGTCAACCGAAGTTTACAAATCTTATCATGAGCAACACACTGGTCACAGTTACTTGCATCATGAAGATAAACCCCCCTTTAAAAAATATTGTAAGAATGGTCATGTATTGTGTTGTATGTCGGCATTGCACAGATTTATCATTCTTAAAAATTGAATTTTTGGTCACAATACAAATTATGCTTGTAGTCTTGTACCACGCAAAAAGAACAAAAATACACTTCACAGATAGTACATGTTAACGTAGCCGATAGATATAAACAAGTGGAAGCCTTTATAAGACTGCCTGAAACTTGCTTTGGACAAGAGCAAAAACGTGTTTGGTGAGAAAGTTTGTATTTTGTTGATTTTTGTTCATTTTTTCCCCCTGCACAACACTGAAAGGTTTATTCATTCACGATTGGGGTATCAAAACTTACAGAGATGGCGTTTTGGAAACAGGTTCAGAAAAATTAAAGATTGTAGTTCATTTGACACTTTAAGGCATAAAATGAGGCTGCAAGTACTGGGTCCAGGTACCAGGCTGATATGCCGCTGTAGACACATGGAACAGGAGGCATGGTTGGGTAAGAACTTTGAGGGGTTTTCTAGGAATGGTACATAGATGTCTTAATACAGTTATTGGACTCAATTAGAGACATGCTAGGCTAAAGAAGGCTGAAATGTGAATTCGTTAAGAAGCGAGGCTGTAATTTGATCTTTAGAAACACCTACATATTTCAACAATTTATCTTCTCTGTTTGAGGTTCCAATTTCATTGTGTCAGATCATGTTTAGTTGGTGATTGACCAAGTTCTGCTTTGTAGTTTTTGGACACTTACATGTAAGTGCACTTAGAACATATTCCGATACCACTATTCTTGTGAGGTCAAGGAGTAAATGAATTAAGTACTTAAAACTTTAGATGTCTTTATGTAAATTTATGTTATGTATTAATTTTGTCCATTTACCGGAAGTTAAACCTGTTGACATGATATATCATTTTAGAGTAATTATATTTCTTGAATTTCCCAATGTAATTTGTAAAGTTGCGTTTATGAAGTTAAATATGTTAACAGTAGTAAAGTTTAAATCGAAAGTGTGGACAAATCTTGAATTTAGTTAGATGCTTTGATGGTGTGGAATTGCATTAAGAGAAACTGAACAAAATTGCCAGGTGCGTCTTACGCTTCTTGCACATTCTGTAGAGGCTTTGATCTAACTTTTACAGTAAATTTTAGAGTAATATTCAGATGTGTATATTTTTGAGAATCTATATTTAGCACTCGTTCAGATTACTCTATTTTATTCAAGACCAAGGTTACGTGTGTGTGTATTTGAGACTTTTGCACAAAGAAATCTTGAGAGTTGAATCATTGCTGTATATTTTGAAATATTTATCCTTAATGGCTCTAAAACAGAACAGTATTCTGTGAAATATTTCTGTCCAATTTTATGACGAATTGTTGATGATCCAGTTTTTAAAGAAAAAAGTTTCTGACTGTATTATGAACTGTGAGATGCTGTTGGATGATAAAGAGTTTTTACACTCTATTCAAGGAACAGAAGTGTACAATGAAGGTACATATAAATGAATGTATGCTATACACAGAACAGGCTGAAGATCCTGCTGTCAGATGGATTTTCTGCCTTACCTCATATTTTGCCAGAGGGCTTTTTCTACCTGCGTTATTCATTGTCTTGTTTGAGCAACTTACGATAACGCCATGAAATCTGGGAACATGACCATAAGCACGTGCTATTGTAGGCTGATGTATTTCGACTTTCTACAGGCACATAGTCCAACAGTTGGATGTCCAGATTCATCGGATATACAAAGTATACCAAGATGTCTGCACAAAACCAACTACAACTCAACGGGTGCTTCAATCCGAGGCAATCACTATTTTTTTACACATTAACATTTCCAAGCTCGGTCTTTAGAGGAGCAAAACCCGGTTGAGACAAAGAAAACTCAGGAACATCTGCAGTGGGTCCACTGTCCTTTAAACTTTGCAGTCTTCTACACAACTTGTACTTTAGACAATATGAAGTGTTTTAAATCTCTTGTAAGCACTTTGTTTTAACTTTATGGAATAAAAATAGGAGAAAAATATCTATCGTGTTTCAGTTTGGCTTTTGCTTAAAATTGTGAATTAGATTAATTCTGAATTGGGAACAAAGTCCTGCAGACAAAATGTGTCTTTTTATTCCACTTAACAGTTCAAGCACACCTGCTTCAAACTTCTCCACATATATTAGTTCCTCTAACACTCCCGTGTGAGCAAACTTTGCACAGAAGTGTCTCATGCTAAGAATGAGGTTTCTAAATTCTCCCAAATCTTTTCTAGGAGACGGGAACCAGCTTACACAGAAATGAAAGGTGATTTTGGATGGAGTTTCACTCAGGATGGGAACAATGGAAATCCCAAGAAATATGGACAGATACGTTGAATTTCAGACAAATACTTTCCAGTACATCTGAATGGTTTTTCGCCCAAGCTAAGACTGACAGAATTGAATATACAAAAAATTTAATTTAATATCTGTCAGCTTTTATTTTCTTAAGCAGCGAAGCCCCGTAATGTTACATGTATACACAACTAAGCACCCAATACACACCTACTGGGATTCACATGAACAAAGTCAGTTACTTAAAGAGGGGAAATGTATTCATTTATCAGTAACTCACTGTTTTAATTGAGACTTCTTTAAACTATTTAACCCTAACACTCCTCAATCCTTCACCTGTTGGAGGATTGAGGAGTGTTAGGGTTAAGGAAAGGTTGGAGTTCCTTGTTTTTGCAAGTTTGCCTGAACATTTGATTTCAAAAGAGGAAAAACTGGAAATTCAATTTTTAGGTGAAAGAAACATCCAAATGATTTCTGCCATTTGGAAAAATTATTCACTTTGCCTCTCATGATGAAAATGTCTCTTAATAGAAAAAAAAGCATTTTCGTATTTTCAATTGTGATACTTATCTGTGTTTAAAATTGCTAAAACCAATGAATTGAGGTAAAATGATTGAAAAACTCAATTAAATAAATAAAACGGCAATTTCGCATGATTTTTCTCTGCCCCTACTGCAAGGCCATATTCATATCAACAAGGAAAAAAAAGTAAAAATTAAAAAAATTTCAAAGGAAAATAAAAGAAAATACCAAAAGTCACGACTCTCAATTGAAAACCTAGATTCTTCCAAAACAGTGAGTTCCTAGATAACATGTTTTACACCATCAAAAAAAAAAACATCCTGCAAGGTATGAATGCTTTATCAGATGGAGTGTGTCAAATTCTTAAAAAGTAATGCTTTGATGCAGCAATTTTTGTATTCTCACATAAATAATTAAAACAAAAATAATTTGTGACTTAGAATAGAAGCAGGTATAATGCAAATGTGGCAGCCCTCCTGAAGCCGCCAAATATCTGAAAATCAAGATGGTGGAATTCAATGATGCCATTGTCACAGGAGCAATCCTGCTTTAATCTTGTTTTAGACTGTTAAGCTATCAACGAGAGATTAAGCTGTAAAATACAGAAGCTTGCCTTGTTTGAACCCCAGTGATGGCTCTGCCTCTTTCACCTGTTTGCACCCCAGTGATGGCTCTGCCTCTTTCACCTGTTTGCACCCCAGTGATGGCTCTGCCTCTTTCACCTGTTTGCACCCCAGTGATGGCTCTGCCTCTTTCACCTGTTTGCACCCCAGTGATGGCTCTGCCTCTTTCACCTGTTTGAACCCCAGTGATGGCTCTGCCTCTTTCACCTGTTTGCACCCCAGTGATGGCTCTGCCTCTTTCACCTGTTTGAACCCCAGTGATGGCTCTGCCTCATTCACCTGATGTGGTTGAACAGATTCAAGACAGACTTGGATTCCTGCCAAAAATAATCAGATCAAAGAGTTAGACATCTGTCCAAATATGTCTGGCATAATCAATCACTTTGAACAAGGTTTCAACTAACAACAAATTTTTTGCTTGTCCTTTCTTGTACCATGTTGAAACTGCCTGTCTTCATCATTTTGCCTTTCCTCAGGACATATGACTAGATTGGACTTTGTGTATAAAACATCTTCATCTATCCCATAAATTACTTTTGAGAAGGAGACTTCTGAAAGTTCTCCCACAGAGGTTTTTCACTTGACATAGCACGACAGGCTGAGGTATTTAGGAAGCGTACCATGTCCGCGGAGGCGAATGCATCTTTTTTATTGGCCATTACACGTATGCCAGAATGTTGAGAGACTTCATGCACATCTGTGTAAACTGAACGCTGACAATGCTGACTGTCATAAATCATGTGACAGAAATTCCTCCATAGCAAATGAAACATTCAATGCCACTGGGGTTACTACGCACAGACTGTAGATGGCAGCAAACAAGCCTTAGAAACAACACTCTAAATGCCAAGTTTCTTTGTGAATAGAGGAGAACAAATGGGTGCAATTTTCAGCTGAATCTGCACAGAGAGTGAATGTGAGTGGTGACGCTTTTGACCTCTGACCTTGGATGATCGTGATTTGCTGAAGACATTCCAGAATCGCAGGGTTTCATCCCCAGCTCCAGTTACGATGGCCTCCCCGTCCGGTGAAACGGCCTGTCCAATGAAATCACAACAGCTCTTACAGCATGGAGTCTAGCAGTATCTGATCAAATACTGGCCAACTTTCACCATTCACAACAAAGCCTTTCATCTCAACTTGATTGGATTCCCCAACTATTAATTTCTGAGTTCAAATCAAGAAATCTGTGAAAGCAGCTTTTGACCCACCATTTCAAGAGAGTCTCTCAGTTTTCTATTCCGATAAAATCCCATGGAGGAAGGGGAGGGCTCCAAAACGGAAACAATTTGGGAAATACAAGTTGCCAAATGGAAATCAGAGGACCCCAAATAAGCTGTGCAAAACGGAGCAACAGATCTCCCCATGTAACCCTAACCACGTGAACATACAGTACATGTACAGAATTCGATTCAACTGAAACAAACCACTGCGTGGTTTACTGTTGTCTTGAGTTCACCTCGAAATATGAAAATCTTTGTTCCGCTGTTACACAAGCTATGGCAACATTGGCAAATTTAACAGCACACTTCACACGAACTGGAGGCAGAGACCAGGAGGTGGGGCTAGACAGTTCAGCAGGGGGGTGGAATGGTCTTACCAAGTATAAAACTCGGTAGGTGTGTCCAGTCAGTTTGGCAACCTCCACTAAGGATGGGTACTTCCACACCAGGATTTGATTCTGAGAGTAACCGTGAGTGCTAACCTGTAATCAGGTAGTCAAACAAGACACAAATATGTAGTTAGTTTGAAGTTTGTAAATGGTTGTATGTTCTGGAAAACTGACCCTCCAAAATCCTTCAAAATCCATAAGATTCTGGAGGATTTTGCAGGATTGAGGAAGAACATTCTAGTCACGGTGGTATGGAAATTGTCAACAAAGTGAAACAAAGTGTAAATAGTTTGTCACTCGTTTCTTGTACAGTCAAGGATTTTGGAAGATTTCACAGGGTTCCTTGAGAAAATACCTGGGGAGATAGGATTGTCCAACATCCTGACGTTTGCGTGAGAGCACTGCATACATGTGAGACACTGCCGATATTTGAAAAGTAACATCTTCAGAGACAAATTCAGGACAAAGAAAGACAATACTCACCAACTCATTGTCATGTTTTGACCAGGCCAGGTTGCAGACCTGTGAGCCAGTGTCCACAGAATTGAGTGGCTGACCGGTCAGTGTATTCCAGAATCGGATGCAGCGGTCAGCGGTGCCACCTCCTGACGCTAGCAGGCCGTGTTGGTGGGGGGACCAAGCGATAGCCTTGACCGCTGCAAGATGGTCAGTGTACTGCTGGACTGGTGTAAGGCTGGAGTTGTTCCAAACAAACAGCTACAGACAAGACAACACTCACGTCATTACTTTAATTACTTCACTGGAAAATGCACAGTCTAAGAAAATCATTGATTTTATCTAGATCTTCTTGAATCCTAATTTTACATATTTCTTACGTGAGCTGATCTCTTTATGTGTTGTTTTCAAAATCACAAGGTCCGTACACTTGGAACAGCTCTACGTTAAGGGACCATTCAAGGACGTTTAAGGTCCAGAAATCCCATTTTCAAGAACAATCCAGCAAACATTGATGGCTTAATAATGAAGACTTGTATACGGATCTTTTAACATTTGATCTGTACCAATTAAAATGAATTGAGAAGGTTGGCTTATTTTGGGACCAGGATTGACCACCCACATTGAATTTTTTCCCCACCCACATGTAGCAGGTCAATTTCATTGGTTGATGGCATATTCTGAAGCCTTTATCATCACACTACTCTGCAGGAATAGAGGGATCCCAATACGACGCTTTTAGCGTCAATCTGCGAACTTCCGCGTTTGAAAACAAGGCTGTATGTATCCTAAGGCTGTATCCTAAGGCTGTATGTGTCAGCTTCAATTCTTAATACGATCAGAAGATTGAAAGTAAGGAGTCAAGACACCAAATACATAAAGGTATGTTAAATTCAGACTTTTCAGGCTGCAAATTTTTGTGGAAGACTCTTTCAGGATGACTCGACACGTGAAATCAAAAGAAAAATTAACAACAATTGACCGCGAACTAACGTACCAGCGATGGTCGTGAATCTTATGCAGTGGGCGTGGTTTAAACTGAAGTGGCGTCACACTTATGAACCGGATACTCCATGTACTGTGTGGACTCCGCAGGTGCGCGCAACGAAGTTCAACACAGAGAGCCTCGGTTTTGACGCAGATTTGCGCAAGCAGCGCTAATGTGAAATCCCTCTATTAGTACTTTTATCACGAAAGTGAATTTTCAAGGACCTCTAATAAATTTCAGGCCTTTAAAGGCCTTAAATTTTTTTTTGAAATTCCAGGACATTCAAGAGCTTTCAAGGACAGTACAAACTCTCACATCAAGTTTTTATATAGAACAACAGTATAACCATGGCGAAGTATGTATGTTTATAATGTTAAATTCACAGCTTAATCAGTTAGCATGATAATGACAAATGGACACATTATAAACAAAGTTTGGTCATTATAAAATGTTATAAAAGTTGCATTTGGGCCAACAAAATCAACTTGAGTTTTTGAGGGCTTTTGTAGGATTGAGGAAGGTAGAACAAAGACACTATCACTTTCAGTTATAGGACTTCATACAATTTGAGGAGTCATTAATATACACTGTTTCCTATATACCTTATTGTCGTTACCACCAGAGGCAAGATGCTGGTGGTCAGGCGACCATTTCAGTCCACAGACCTCCTGCCGATGGCCGGCTAGCCGTCTCTCCGGAGTGGTTGGCGTTCGCACGTCTCGCTGGAGAATCATACGATCTCTACTGCCTGACGACAACATATCAGCATTCCACGCCAAGGCACCTGGACAGCACAAAACAGGGGGACAGAAATTCTGATCGTTAGAGTTAACATGTCCAGTGGGTCATTAGTAACTGCCATCAGTCAGTATATGTAAGATATTCCTTTTAGGAGATGTGCAAGGGAATGGTGTAACCAAAGAATATTTCTGTGGAAGCTGCATCCTTCAACTTCTCTGAACAGGTATCACTTCGACCATTCATTTACCAAATTATTTATGTGTAGGAAAATCTCCGTTAAAGATAACAATTTCCTGTAGATAACAATTCACTGAGTTTCTGCTGAAAAGCATCAAGAATCTGCCTGTCTTGAGTCCTGTTACTGACCTACTCGTGCTGAATGACCTTTGAGAGTGTTGACCCGCTTCTGAGTGGATGAGTCCCACACCTGTACCAGTCCTTTGTGTGTTCCCACGGCAACCAGATTGCCCTATATCAAACAAGGTTCACATTCCAGGGTAAAATATGATAAGACTAACCAACATGTATGCAAAAGCAGAAATCTCATTTTGACAAACATGATGTGGCTAAGGCTGCATCCGAATCTGTTGTCTAGAGCTAGGTCTTGCGCCATTGGAAATGTGTGGAAACGCATAGACAATAGACCTAGCCGTAGCTCTGGAAACCAGTTTCAGACACTGCCTACGAGCTAGCCTCAAGAAACAACATTTCCTTTGAAGGGTGCTCGTACTGTGAGAAGATGTTTATGTCAAACAAGTTGGCATGCAAAAATATTTGTGGTTGTGATATCAGTGAGTGTCTACTAACCGGTCGTACTAATTAACGTCAACACAACGTCAACACGCGTCAACACATGATAGTAACGTCAACACACCCAAATCACATTCTAAGTTAACAGAAACGCAATTCGATAGCAATATAATGCCTAAAATACAATTTGGCTAACAACAGTAGGCACCATTTGGGGGGAAAAGCCATTTTATTTCACGAAAATAACACCCTCCGCACAATTACGAAAGATGGTAGCCATGTTGCCTCGATCAGACGGACCATACCATTACACTACAGGGGGTCACCTTTATACAGTAAACCATGTTATGGTCCAAATGCCGTGAGAAGGCAAGATGGCTGCGAACAGCGGCGCAGCTCAGAGACAATTTTTTCACGTAAAAAAACTCCCTTGAAATGTAGTAAAATGTAAACTCGATTAAATAAAAATTATTTCTAAGCGTATACATTACAGTTGGGTACGTCTGTTTTCAATGTATTCTGTAAGTGTTGGCGATGTGTTGACGTTACTATCAATGTGTTGATAGTAACGTCAACACATCGCCTACTAACCCTTTCGTTCCAAGATACCGATGTGACAGTATCGCCATCAACTGATAAATCGCACAGCCTGGTCACCTGCAAGGATTACAATAAACAGACAATTGGTATAGAGAGCATAATGATGTTTCAGTTTCATTTTTATCACTTGGTTTTCATGACTCGTGACTCAATTGAACACCAGGAAATCTACCCTTTGTTTATTTCCAAAACTGAAACACAACATAGCTTAACTGCTACACGAATCTCAGCTTCTGTACCTGACTTGTACATGCACTCCATAGATAGACACAGGTTCCCAGACCGACACTGAGTATATTTGTTGATGACCAATCCACAAGGTTCAGATAGAAATCATCTTGAAGCTCTGGGGCATCAAGGACTTTGAAGGGAATCTTGGAGATTTTACGCATCGGTTTACGGGGCGACAGTAACAACTTTTGGCTGCAAGAAACAATACTCAACATCTTGAGAATAAAAAATTCACAGAGAAACTGGAGAAATGACATAATTGTACTGTTTCTGACTGGCTTTTAGACACTATGACACTGAGATAACAGACTAAACATGCACAGGAAAACGCTGGGAAGTCAAGGCCAAGAAATGCCTAGGGTTGAACTAAAGTCTAACTTTTCCCTCAGACATGAACTTGTCTATAATATACGGAGTGCCATAAAACGTGACCCATGTACATTCTAGTTGTTGAATGTGGTTGCATTTACTTCACTTCAAGCTGAATTCTGGTTATTTTTGGCTCATTCAATATGTTCTGGACTCACCTGTGATAACCAGGATTAACCCTAGCTCTCTCTGATCCTTCAAAACCCATTAGAATCCATTAGTTTTGGGTAGTTTTTGCAGGATTGAGGAATAGCCTAGCCACTACTACCTTACATGGGGGCTGGGTGCCCATTGAAATTGGAAGTACTAGAAATGCACGTTTTTCTATACAGTGGAGGATTGAAGATTCCAGGAAGCATCTGGCAAACATACCCTGGGTGTTATAGTTGACAGGAATACTTGTCCTGACTCCAAAGAAAATCCAATCCAACTGACCTTTTACTTCCGACTGGTGAGAGAGAGTAGGAAGATGAGTCTTCGCTTTTGGCCATGGTGGGTCTCTTGGCCTGGACGCTATACTGGAACAGGTTACGTTTGGCCTTCTGTGGACTGACCATCCGACGGTCCTCACATTGCGGATCTTTGATCTTATCGATGTTGGCTCCAAGAAGCTCATTCTTGAGGAGGCAATGGTAGGCGAGCATGTCCGTGGCTGTAAAAGAAAAAAGTGACACCAGCTCGGTATAACACGGCTACTGAATAACCTCGAGATGAGCAGAACCAGAGCAGAATCGAGACTTGTGGCTTTTTTGAGTAGCTCATATATACTCACTAGGCACAGGTAAATTACAGTAAGTGGGAAAACAACTTGCCTGTCTTTTTCTGGCTGTTCAAAGTGCAAATACTGCCTGCTCGCGATTAAAGAAAGTGTGCTTCATGGAACATTCTCATTCTCATGTTCAAAGTTTTGAGACATACATGAATAAACTTACTCTTGTTGGCATCAGAATCATCTTTGGCCCTGCGTGTGGCAGACTGTGACTCCTCATTCTGGTCTTGTTTGGAGTGGAACCCAACATCCCAGTTTGTCCCTGCTCGGCTGGGTATAAACCTAAACACAAGGTTAGTCTAATCCGTTGATCACAGCCAATTAAAAGGTGTTTCAAAACATTAGTTGCTACCGCAGACACAATCAGTACTAATTACATGATTTTCGTGATCTTTGAAGACACCAAATGACCCAGGTCTATTGCAGCGTCACTCTCATTGTTTGACTTCCATTCAAGCTTACTGATGTCATCAAACAGGGATGAGGGCCAACCCGACAAAATCAGAAGCCAAGGCTACTTTTCGGACAAGAGTTTCAACCCCACGTTGAAATATTCATTGATTTGTGTACAGCTGCCAACAATCATACGTAGACTATAGATGACAAAGTTTAACGTTATTATTTCCAAGGGTACATTGGCGTCAGTGAAAATTCCAGATTTTTTGCTGAAATCAAACATCAGCATCCTTTGCTGTCCTTACCTGTCGCTGTATCTGTCTTTATTAGGTGAGGCAGCCTGCCCAGGAGATGGTGGCTGTGGTGAACAGGCAGAAATAACATGGATTACTACAATCTAAATTCATACATGTACAAATGTATGTTCTTGCTAAGATATATGTATATTGCATTCTCATTTCTATTCAAGTTTCTTCATCTGTTAACCTTGTATTAATGTCCAATGGAATACATCAACCATACAGTTTCAGTTCACGTATTTGTTGAATCAAATTAAGCCAAGAACAAAAAAGGTAACCCATATATACATCTTTTACAACTGTACACACACAGACTTACAGAATGTACAATTTCCCACCACCCAATAAATTAACCCAACTCTTTTATTCAACAAACTCTTCCCACAAGTGATCAAACTTAGAATATTCTGCATACTCCCTGGTCCGGTAGTTTAATGTTAATCCCACAGAATTGTAACAATGACTTAACTACATTGTACATGTACATGTACTTACCATCAACGTTGGTGATCCAACTGATCCTTCACCATTCTGTTGTCTCAACAGTCGTTTCTGATATTCTTGGTCCATCTTTTATGAAGCAAAGTTGTGTTGATCGCAAAAATATTCCCTGTAGGTTTCGTGTTCCAACATCAGGTGTTGATGACAGGTTGCAAGCAGTTATGTTACTTCCATGCACGGTGTAAGAACAATGAGTAGCAAATGAGTCTTATTACGCACCCACAAACATGTTCTTGGATGTTCACCCGCGTGGTAACTGATGTCTTGCAGCTGAATGTTCAAATGAACTACTCATGAGATGAGCCGCTTGAAGTCTCAGCAGAATACAAACTCAACAGTTTTAACAATTTTAGAAAAGCTCCCAAGAGCATGAAGAGAGATCCTTATTCAATGCCTGCCACACCGGTAGCTACATGGTTTACATGTAGAACAGACTTTGGCTCCTTCACTGCCTTTCAGACCTGCAGAAAATAAAAACTTGAAAATAACCAAAAAAACAAGATAAAATGCCAGGATCATGACAAAATAAGCATGGAATGAATGAGTTCTCACTGTAAACATTTTAAGTCCATAGCAATAAGATCTGTGTTTAATGTAAAATGCCGGTAAATGAGCTGAAACAATTGGATAATTCAGGACCATTTCAAGGACAAATATCAGTCGATTCTGTTTAGACTCTTCAACTTTACTGCCCTTTTCAAACAATATTCCACAGCAAGTCTAGCCCATGCGCTGTGTATGCATGTCCTTTTGCTCAGTTTTGCATGTGTTGGGTGCCAATAGTCACTACGCACTGCTCACGTGTGTATGCCCCAAGCTCATGTGCCAGTATGTAACCTCAAAAGGACACATGTTGATTGCCAAGCACATGCACACATCAATCAAAATGTTTCCAGGTTATTTCTAAGTCACTATGTGTTCATTTCAATATGAGGTTGTGTCCTACCCCGAGAACTGTGGGGTTTGTCTGCCACGCTCCACGACGAAGCCCACATTTCTCAGGCCGGTGGGGGTATTTGTACCATGTAACTCGTGTTCTTTATGCCCAATGAGCAAGTTGGCATATAGTACCGTGAAAGGGCATGTTCATCCCCTGATATGTCACCTCCACTGCCGTCTACCTGGGGGACACTTTCCTCAGGTGACTTGGGAAGAGGTCGTACCCCAAGTAGGGCCTCGGCCATCCTATGAGTGGTCTAATAAGAAGGCCAAGGGAGCAGATTGGATGCAGGGCAGACTACCATTAGGCACCTGGGCCCACTCACATGCATATCACATGCGAACAGTCTCAGTGGGGGCAATGGACAACTGACCAATTGAGCCAATTCAAACTGGATATTTGGGTTATGACTGCTATATTTATTCATGCATGTAGGTGCTTCCTAACAGGTGTTTGTTCTACAATCAGTTTACAGAAACAGTGGGCAAAATCCTCTCTCTTGCCTCTAAGTTTAAGGCTCCAACTAACCCTGAAACTCGGCTCAGCTCTGCCTTTTCCTCGGTTCGCAGTACCTCACCAGACCATAGAGTGCCAATGCAGGAACGGGCATGACAGGGTATAAATTAAGAGAGCGACTGTGGGAAAGTGAGGCACAATAATAATCAGCATGTGACCGAACAGAGCACTGGGATAGAAGATGTATAATAGTGTGTACATGTAGACAGCGACCGCACGTTACACAGCTGTCATGGCCGTGCGCTTATATACCCGCGCCAGGTACCAAATCTCTACGCGATTCGTGCCCAGCATGAGTCTCAGCCTGCGGACCATTAAGTTATACACAAAATTTTTAAGCCTTAGGCCTACATGGTATGAATTAACTGTTCCCTATTAACCCTTCATGCCCTCTCACCCTACCCCCCCAGAACCATGGCCTGGGGTCCCACTCATCATGCCCATCTACCATGTCTACGCCGAGATTGAATATAGGCTAATCCAGGCGTACATGTGCATCGACATCATGGCCACGGGCATTCACAAAATGATATGATCATCATGCACGAGTCTGCTGACATCGCAGCCATATGGCCATGGCAGGCGCCTGCCATGCATGGCCGGTGACCAAATCAGATGAACGGCTGGCTACGCTGGCACCGCCCGCCTGCCCGCAACTGGCCAGCTTCCATTTCATTCTCTAATAATTCCGACAGTTTTATGGTACTTTTGAGAAATGATAAAAGTAGAGGTTTACTGACATTACCTTAAATGCGAGACACCCGTCACATTTCCGTGAAAGAAACCGTAGACGGACGTAAACCATTGACACAAGACAGCTTCAAAGCGATTAACGAACTGAACTGTTCGAATTCGACAACAGCTCCTTGTAGTCTGGTTCTACAGTCATTATTTTACACTGTTTTCGATAATTCGGGTGACAAGACCACAAAATAAACGGAACCTGTAGATAGAGGGCGCACTCTAACAGGGAAAGGAACTTGCCTCATCTCTACCTCCATGTCTCTACTTACGTGTAGCTACATGTAGCTAGCTTGAGTTGATGCACGATGTTTATTTTTTTGAAGTCATACTTGGCAAATGGACATATTTCTGGTTAGGTACTCTACAATAAATTCTTCAAGGACATAATCACAGGCCTGAACGCGATTTACATCATTATCGGCATGATCCAAACAATGGCAAGTCAAGGCCGTTTTCCGATACTCAACTCCGTCTCCGTCTCAGGCTTCATGCGGGAAACCAATCCTTGATTGTGGGCCTGAAGCGTTTAACTTAAATTGAAGTACTGTAATGTTTGCCTCTTTTGCATCGTACTTGATGGTTTGTGGCACTATCAGACTTACTATTGCACTTACAACCTCAAAGTCAGGAAGTGAAAAAATAGCCCCCCCCCCAAAAAAAAAAGAAAAAAGAAAAAAAGTTGAAGCCTCCGACGGCAACCGACGGAGCCAAGACGAGTGTTGGAAAACAGCCCAAGTCAACTCATATCAATTAAATTCAACAGATTTTTTTTTCAAATCATGCTTCACCGTTTTTAAAAGATCAACAGAGCATTACAAAGACCAACAAAATATAAAAATATATCCATGTCATAGAAGACACAGAAAGCAAACAAACAAGAACAAAATTACACAAAACCAGAAAACAACCATGAGCTACGCATGCTATATGCACCTTCCCCCACACCGAATACTGAGAGTGACCCTCGCTGAAAATTAAATAATGAAATATTCGGCACTCCGATCAAAAGTTCTGGTGTGATAATTCTGCAGCAAGAAAAAAAAAACAAAGTTCAAAGCCAGAGTGTGAAATCAGACTGAAATCAGCCTGTTGGAGCGATTGATGAGTAGACACTATCAAATTATTGACTTATAACTAGGTTTCCTAAACTTAATCGTTGACATTAACGACAACTATTTGTTGACTGTTGGTTATCAGGTTTTAAAGTTTTGTTTTTCTCCCTAGGCCAAGCTGTATGCGTTCCACAAATTCCGACTTATCGGTGAGGCGTACGGTTTGCCAACTGCAGGTGCAGTAACTACGAGTTGTGCAATACTGCACAGTCATGTACATGAATCTAGCTGTGTTCTTTTTTTCTGAGCTGCTTTCCTAAATACCCGATGTGAATATTATTCATAACATTGCTATATAACAACCCCAAACCACAAAATAATGGCTGTTGATAAGCCCTGGTACTGTTCATGACCAGAGAGCCATCACCGGCGACAAGTGTGTGTGTGTTTTTTTTTTTGCACGAGAGGCACATGATACAAGGGTTGACATTTATCAATCATGCAGCAGGAGGGGCGAAGAGCAGGCAGCATTCCCAGTCCCCTTGAACATATTGGAAGTGTTCTAAACGCCATTGGCCAGAGGCCGTCAGCACGGAATTCTGCAGAGTTCCAATCCCCTCATAAATGACGCCGTGTGTTGCGTATCTCTTCATGAATCTGACGTAGTGCAGGCCGAGGGATCGAGAGGCGCGTATCTCCCCGTCGTTCACTACGAATTCCCCAACGTCGTCTTTGCCTCTGCCCGTGAATCCCTCGGGCGTCCGGAAGAGGCGCATGTCCATGCTGTGTCTACCCTGTATTGTTCGTACGTCGTGAAACCATGCATAGAACTCATCTTCCACCCCATCCATTGTCAGCGATAGGTATGACCTCAGCTGTATCAATAAGAAAAAGGAGAAATTTTTGAACAACCATTTTGCAAGTGAAGCCAGCATAATTTGCGGCTCCAACTTTTGCCCACCCAGTCCATCGTCTGCGCATCTGTGGTACGTACCCTCTGAGTATCAGACGGGCAGGACAGCTGTACGACCCCCCTCCTGAAGGGCACCACACGTCCTCGCTTGGCCCACGCTCTGGGCCTGCAGACCTACCCATCAGTAGCTCAGCTATATGGCTCCGAGTTCCAGCCATAAATCATTTCTCTAAACTGTATGCTTTATTATAGCCAACCACACAAACATTCAACATTATAAAAAGGCTTCAACGACATTCAAACAGGATCATGCAAATTAGACGAGCTATGATGCGCATTTTATTTACAGACGCTGCCAAAGGTGGCTCAGTTCATGATCAGTTCGAGTCCAAAGTACGGCCAGTCGTAACCCTAAAGGGTATATCTTAATTTCTCCATCTCCGTAGTAAACACCAATCTAATTATACTATAGTCCCACGGCACAACCTACCCAATCGAAATATGGCACACTAGAAGTCCGGATGATTTTGTACACTTTTCCTTATTGTCAGCTCACACTCTCGTTATGTATCGGTATTCATCACTGCATTTATACCCATGCCTCTATATCAGGATTACAAATAAACTGCCTGTGTTTGTACGAGAGTACAAATTCTGGAAGTGGATGATGATGTGGAAACCATGACGAGAACGCGGATGTGGTGTACGCTCGTCGTGGCCTCTACGCCCTTGACAAGATGTCAAATGTACGGCCAGCCGATGAGACAAAACATAACAACGATGAGACGAAGCTTCTTTATTATTATTATAACAGTACATAATTTATATTCAAACTAATGGTAAAATTGTCCACTAAATTTTCATTTTTGAGCTACCCTAAGACACAATTTCTTTTTACTTAAATCAACTGGCAATTTCACGCAAATGATTAATGCAGCTGCATGTATAGTACTGTACAAGTAGTTTGCACAAAAAACTTAATAGTTCCGTGAATTTGAATTTGAATTTTATTTTTGAATAAAAAAAAATCATGAAACAAATTATATAGGGATCAATATAGAAAAAATACTAATAATTTCCCTGAGTTCATGATTGGATTGACCATCTGCAAAATCTTCAAAACCAACCCCAATGACATCAAATTTGTTCCCAAATCTAGAGAATACATGTTTAGAATTACACTAATTATGTATCATTTAGTATTACAAATACATAAAGACTACTTCGTACTTTTCGAACATGGGGTGGCACACAAATAAAACTCCCCGGCGTTTTGTAACATTCGGCCTCCCATATTGATACGACGACGTCATACCTTATTTTGGACCATAACTAATCGGTCATCCCCGCAATGTGCAATAAATTTTGACACTCAGTACTCGCATGGCCAAAAATAACACTACATTGACCTGCGGCACCCGTTTCCTCTATGCATTGGCAGCGGCAGGGTAGTACACGATCAAGCCCCAATGCAGGAGCTTTGAGACCATTTGAGGGTTACACAGCTAGCTACTGAGATATGGAAACTGCAAATTTAAAAAAGTAAGTCTCGATGGATTTCTGTATTAAATGTATTCCGCAATGCAGGGCTATTCAGCTTGGAGTGCCGCATATCATGCTGCACGTACGCCGATTTTTACCAACGTCAAATATTATGATGCGATTTATTCTGAATTGCAATATAAGGCCTAGGTCTTGATGAATCTGAATATTATGAACTAGTCACTAATACTTTATGCACAGGCCCAATAGCCAGGATTCTTGTTTGCTTCTTGCCGAGAACAGTCGTACGTATAACGATACATGTACATAATTTTACTTCAATGGTTTCCGTATACGGTATACTTGACTTCCTTTCCTTTGGAAGGACATTAAAGATATTAGCGAAGAGCTCCCAAAGACCACGCCCCGTGAAGACAGACATAACACCTCCTGGGGCTAAGGAAGGGGAGAAGATAGCTTTCTATCTGGACGAAGTCTTCACAAAGGAGGTGATCGATCAAACCAAATATTTAATTTGTTTCAAAATAATTCGATATTTCAATTTTCAGCCGCTATGTTTTGAGTAAAATACGGAGTCCGTATAACCGAAACCGCAGGGAATTGAGTAAATTATAGAGTGTTGGAAAACGAATCAATGTATACGAGCTCGTGTCACTTTCTCTTTGAAATAAGCCGAAATCAACTGCGGTTTGCTAACGATGAGAAAAAAGTTCAAGTGTATATTTTCCCCAATGAAAGCTATGCATTTTTTGTTACTGATGTAAAAAAGTACAGTTTTAGCAAAGGATTTTGTTGCATTTCGTGATTTCAATACGTTTTGTCCTAGGAATGTAAGGAACTTATTCGATGTTCCGAAGAAAAGGGATATGTCCAAGCTTTGGTCAACATCGGCTTCGGGAGGTAGGTTAAGTTTGAAGACAAAAAAACTAAAAAAAAATTAAAACAAGCCTCTCCTAGATAAGATTTTCTTCAAATTTCAGGGCCTAATTACAATGATGCAGAGCGGAGTTGAACATAACCCCGTTCTTGTCCAAGGGCGGATTGAAAACCACCCCCCAAATTTGCCTTCGTGGCGCACTGAAAATATATACAGCCCTATCATCTTTCCTCCACCCCGTCTTTCGATCTGCAAGTGTGCGTGTCTCCACAATGGCATTCCTTTTATAGGATCAGGTTTCAAAAAAGTGAGAAAAAAACCCGCATGTTCAAATTTTATTCCAGGCTCACATAATGGCGTCTAGTGTACACAAAATAGTCAGTTCTTCACATCCAATGATTCCTGATGTATGGTGGTCTTGAAGGGACCTCAAAGACTCGATTTTTCCACGACATCGCACTGAAAGTGTTCCCTCTTGTCATTCTGCAAATTCCTTCACTCCATATGTATTGTTGCAAGCCAGTTATCTTGTAAACAGGTGCTCCGTATAATTAATGGTATGATTTAGGCAGAAGCTGATGACAGATTATCGCAACAACCAGCGCTGTTTGATCGACACCACCGAGCTAGCAAGCATCTTCTGGGAAAGACTAGCCGAGTTCATCCCACAGACAATTCGCGGATATCAAGCCCTCGGACTCAATGAACGGTGAGCATATCATCAGAACGTGTTGTCCAACTAGTTATTCTGAAGTTCAACTTGTCTCGACAAGTCTTGTAATGTTTTCTTAGTTCTCTGTAATTGATGTCACTGAAACTGAATTTTTCACTGTTCAGGTTGCGATTTCTGCGATATGACCCTGGGGAGTACTTCAAACCTCACTTTGATGGATGTTACGAACGCGAAAATGGAGAAATCTCTTTAGTCACTGTCCAGATTTACCTCAACGAGGTGAGGCTTGCTCCTTCCTTGAACTTCATTGACACGATTTTCTCAACTAGGATACCCTGATTCGGTTTTAAAATAAGCAGTGAGAATGTTTGTTGACAAATACGGCCATTCTGGAAACTCCTTTTTGAAAAATCAGACTTCTAGAATTACGCAACTGCACACCACAGCAAGACACGAGATGGAGAAGATTCCTCAATAGAACAAAAATGGTGTGCTCATTTTAGACTTGATTTCCAGTCGAGGTAATCTTTTTCCTCGGGCACCGAGCTACCCGTTCGCTTTGCCGGCCCGTTATGCACGGATGCTGCAGTCGTCAACTCTCAATTAAAATCAAACATATTAATACTTAAAAGTTCATCCCGTGAGATTAGATATTGATACTGACGTATATACAAAAACCACTGCTTCAATAATTTGATATCATGCCTACATGGATGACTGAGAAGCCACATCTCATACCAAATATTATTTTCAATATATAAATAATGTGCATGTCTGAATAATCAACTCCGTCTCCCAATTATTTGAACGTTTCATGCAGGGTTTCTCAGGTGGAAGTACCACGTTTCTTCCGTTCTCTGGGTTGGATTCAGGTTCGCCAGTGGAATGTGTCCCGAAAATAGGTGAGAGAAAGCGGGGCCGGGGACCTACAGATTTTTGTCTCGAAGCCTCTCGATGTTGACCTTGGGCCACTTTAAAAGAGAAAGAGTAAATTAAACATTCTGGTTATAAGACATTTCCAATTTTTTTCTATCCTTTTTTTCAGTTTCAGAGTTCACCTAAAAGTGAAACATACTTTTCAGTTATTCTTTTCACTCAAGACAATATTGGCGGGAAATAAAGTAATTTACAATTACAGTTTTTCGTAGATTTTTTTCCGTGATGAATTTCACTATTGTTTTCAGTAAACGTTTCAGTGCAACAGAATCCTTGTTTGTTCCATTCAGGACGGGTTCTGATCTTTGAACACCGTTTGCACCACGAAGGCTCTGTTTTGAAAGCAGGTCGGAAGTATGCCATCCGAAGCGATGTCATGTACTCCAAGGATAAGCAACAATAAATACAATATTGTCGAGAAAAGTGTTCGTGACCGGAAAAGTCGAAGAGCACTTCTGCTATGGACAGCAAGATGTGTAAGTGTGTAACTCTGGGATAAACTAGCTGTTGGGCAAACTAAGTCCTTGTTCAGCTGTTAGAAGAAGATTGTGATAGAAAATTATATTTTAACATATGTGAATAATTTTCAAGATGTACTTTGCGTTCGGGAGATGTAAATTTTAAATTTTGCCCTTACCCAGCGTATATATCTATAAATACTGTATACTCAGTGCTTGTCCGAGAGCTTGCGAAAAAAAAATTACAAACTTACAAGCTTGCTCATGTGAATAATATAAACTATATATTTTTTATATTTCGTCTTATTGAACCGCTTTATTTTCTTAAATCAGAGTTGCCTTGTATGCTTTCTTCGTAATACATTGGTTGTAGTTTTCAGTTTTGTGTGTGCGTCGATCACTGATTTGAAAACAGACTGTTTTGTTGGCATTACAAGTACTCCGCGCGCTTAATGCACTTATAGGTTACAGGTGCACGACAAGCCATGGGGCTCTGCATGTCAGCCATCTTTCCGGTAACTGCTTTTGTCGCGAAGGACTACAGCCTTCAAAAGGTCCACTCATGTGTATCCCTGTAGAATAAAAGCTCCGATGGGAAAAATGGCTGCCATGTAGAACTCCGATAGAGAAACCTTTGAAGAAAATTTAAAAACAAAACAAGTCGCCACAGCAACACAACACGATAAAGAAAAAAAAACCTTTTGAGTGCGACTGTATAAAAGGAAACTATTTTTTCGCGGTCATTATGTAATAAACAAACAATTTAATTTAATTCCAAACACGTACATGTAAGTTTATAATAAATACAAAAAATGAAGGGCAACTCAGCCCAGACTTTGCTGACAGCTGTTAACATGGTTAATGAGGCAGACAAAACAAAGGTGTCTGGTAGGCTTATGCGCAAGTTGAGCATCAATCAGAATAGGCAATTTTAGTAGCGAACATAGACCTAAGGCCTTCATGCTGTAGCCAGGATTTCTGTTGGCGTCCTCAAAAGGACAAGTTTTTGTGACCTCGTCATATTCAGTCTCCATATTTGTAAAAATAGTTCAACTAATGTGAGATCAATGCAATTACGAAAAATATTTTTCTGTGCCTGCGCTGGGGCAGGGGAGGGAGAGAATTTTTGTACTTAAAAATGTTTACAGCAGCTGGTAATTTTTTCTCGTATAAAATTCAAGTTTAAAGGTGCCCAGGAAAAGTGAGAAAAGAGCGTGTTCTTTGCAACACAGGCCGTTGTTACTTTGGTTATAAAAAGTCTCTTTGTTTGTGGAAATTGTTTCGACAGTCAAACTTTTTTATAGTGTTGATATTGTATTTGCTATCCACGCAAAACATGGAACCCCTACAGCTATTGTCCATGATATGTGTATATCTGTATATTTGTATACTACGATTTCTTGCAAAACATTTCTCTGTGTTTAATTTCGAATGTCAAAGTTTAAAATAAATGTGAAGTTGCACTTTCAATGATAAGAAATGTCTCTCTTTATTGTTTGTGGTCGCGTACAGCAAGTTGAATCCTGCACCTTTTTCAGTCAGGAGTGGTCCTTTACTTTGTAGTATTTTCTCAGAAACATCATTCAAGAATCTTTTACCGACTTAATTTTGCGCATTTGAGAATCTTATTTGTCAAACTGAACTTGTATGAGGGCGTTTGATTGAAGTTATCATAAGCGATTATGTAAATGTTGCACGGTTACCTTATGCATATGCATTGCGGGTCGACACCCCTGGCAACCATTGTTTACTTTCACAGTACACGCATGCAACACATATACCGTACCACACAGAATTCGTACAGTTCAGTCTATTTGAGTCCGGGCCATTTATATGATTTAGGTGTACGGTGTTGTCGTTTTGGTAGCTCTGGAAGTCTGCACTTAATTTATTGGGACAGAATTAATATTTGGCAACCAGATATGGCCCAGGCTGCAGGACAGAAGACAAAAGAGAAGGAACCAATCAACATCGTTCACCAAAATGCCATCCTCTGTGAGACGATTCAGAAAGAGAATAAAACTCAGAAGTTGTACACCAACTACAGTATTAACCCGTTCAAGAAAAGTAAGTCCCCTCCGTCTCTGGTTTTTTTTATCGAGGATTTAACTCCTCGCCTTCAGTTCTTGATTTAATCATGGAGGTAGGATGATTTAATCTTATTTAGTGCAAGTGTTTCATATATTTGAAGTGCGGCTTCATTTTCCTGGGTTTTGTTTGTTAAACATGTTTCAACAATATGCCAGCAACTACGTAGGCCTAGGCCATGTTTGACAAATGGAGAGAGGGAAGTTCTAGTTGCTAAGAACATAAGTAAGAGCAAGGCCCTTTTCACTTGTGTTGTTCCTTAACCTTAACTTCCAATTTACACTTCATGTACTGTGGTTCACCTTCACATTTTTTTATATATTTGCTTGGCGATGCTCTGAGTGTAGTGTAGCTTCGTTTGTGAAGTCTGATTCCATTTTTTGGACGGTTTTTACCGCGTAATATGGTTCCTTTTCCTCTATACAGTGTACACATTGACAGGGAAGCCCAACTCATTACACGATTCAGCTGATGGAGAGGAAGATGGTAAGATGAGAGACAAGTCTATTGGCTCTGCGTGCAAACTGGCTCTCTGTACAGTAACTAATTACAAAGCCCTCATGGCTGGCTGGCTGGCTGTGTCCAAACATTGTGGCTGCGGCTTGTATTAAGTTGTAGTACTTGTACCCTATATGGAAGACACTGCCTAGCAGCCACAGTCACTTTGAAGCTTTGGTTTGTTGCCTTCTGAGCCATAAGCAGTTGATATGACACGTCAAGATAAGCCAGTAAACTCCCTGAAATTTAGGCAGTCTATTAACAAGGAAGGTTCAGGCCCTTAAATTCAGGAACTGGATGACAATTAACAGCCAAGCGCAAGTAAACAAAGACCATTGGTTAACTTGGGTTATGTTCGATTAACCACTGCTCAATTTTACCCGTTACTCAAGGTTGATTTTGCCTGGTAACCTATGCTTAACAGGCAGATTCAACCTTGGTTAACAGATGATCGCTGATTTTATTATATTTTTGGTAACACTGACGTGCTTGTGCCTGGATGCTAATATTAGAGTGTGGGCACCCCCTGTTGAGTGATTGTATCGATTCACAGTTCTGGTTCCCTTCCGCACATTGTGCAATGTTTGGCTATAAATAATCAGCATTTAATGTGCAACCAACCCCATTTGACTTCAACTGAAGAGTTAACTTCACTAGTCCAGTTTTTGGCCACATTTTCCCCTGTGAAAATTCGAACAGCTCGGTTTGAATTCTGACCGTAAAAACCATTTAACTTAAAGGTGTGTGTGAAATCATATTAAAATTGGAGGATTTATGACTGTTAGGGATCTATAGAACGCTTCCAGTGACCTGCCATATGCATTCCTATTCCAGATCATTTTCTCCGAATCATCAAGCGTTCTTACCAAGAGCCGGTGAAGAAGTTTGAATTCCCACAAACAGAAGCTCAAGAAGTCGGATGGTACTACACACCTCTGGTAAACTGCCTTTCAAAACATAGTCAGATCTGAACATACCAAAGCTTTTTTGACCAATTTCCTTTTTATGAATTTTCTGTGTTTAAATGGTTCTTGTCTGGATGGTCCAACATTTCAGCCCCACTAGATCTTTCTTGAAGGCAATTTTCATGAGAAGGGATTGCGGCTCAAGTTACTCATTACCTTGCAAGCCTGGTACATCTTGGCCATTACCCAAGTGTGGCACCGGTGCTTAATTTGGGTTGGGTCACTCAGAATCCATTCATTCAGGACCTACTACTTTGAGCTTTGGACAGAGCTTGATGTTCAGATTGAAGGAGTTTTATTGAAGTGCACACTGCTATGATCTATTGCAAAGTGTAAGATTTTGTGTGAATTCTGTATTTGTCTTTTGTCTATCTCAGCTACCTCAGGATCGAGAGGATCGCAGGCTACACTTCCCAAGACAGAACTCTGAGATCACCAAATACATGGATGCAGCGTGGAGACAAAAGGAACAGCAGGAAAACCTGCAATAACTCTTTGGCCAATCAAATGCCTCCTTTGAAAACTTTGACTTTAAGAGTGCTGTTTTCCAAAGCTCCATCATCTCAACATCTGGAGCGTGTGACTTCATTTCATGTATGTGTACACGTGAATACACATGTAAAATGCATCATCTCCTACATAAGCACAGCACAATTGCTACACTGGAGCCAAGTTTTACTACAAACACGTGGGCGCCAGATAGCCTAGATTATGTAGCTACCATATTCTGTAAACTGCTGGACTGTGAAAACGATACGTCAGTGCCATTGGTTATAGTGATGGAGTCGTTAAACATCAGCAATCATGAGAAACCTCAGCTTAAGTCTTTGGATTTATTTGGGGGGAGTTGTGGAACCCCGAGCTCCGATTTCCAAATTTACATCCCTTGATCAACTGACAGCAGTGCTGAGAATTCTAAGATTTGGGATCCACGTTTGCTTTAGGAAACACCAATCTCTCCTTTGTTGTGATGTACAAGTAGGGGGAGTCTTTCAATCACAGAATAACATGACTGAATGCATTTCCGATCCAGTAATCCCCGCCCACTGCACACATGGGCACTTGTCACATGGCTTTCTCCAAAGGCACACAACATATTCCAGGTGCACACATCGTATTTGTGTGCCGGCATGTTAGACTTTTGTGCCACGTCAGACATACATCACCACTGTGATTGGTCAGAAAACAACGGGGTGGGGCTTAATGGATTGGCTTATTCTATTGTCGAGTCATGTTAAAGCTTTAGGGTACATGCATTAGTGCCTTCAATATAAGAGTGTTCAGTTAATGGTTTTAGTTGCCTATTTGTAAAGTTTTGTAAATAAAAGAAGTGAATTGGTTCCGCAATTGCTGTTTTTGGTCTCGGACTATAAAAAACCAAGTCAAGTTTGAGTTGGGGCGGGGAACAGTTATAAGGTAAAAGGAAGATGGCCCTACTGTGCCCAGGAAATATCAATTCAACATTGAATTTAACTTCTCCAAAAATGTTCAGTTACATGAATATGACCAAATAAGGAAATTTCAGAAAATTGATAATTAAGGAATTTTAATTGGCAACATATATTGAGAAATTAATTTAACATCAATCCTCTTACTTTCAGGGGTTATGATATATCTCCAAACCTGATGACCTGGGGGTCATACTCTGGACAAGTTGACGGCACAGGCTCATTCGGGGTACCAAAACGACTCCCTCTTCACTGAAATTGAGTTATACCCCCAAGCAAATTTTTCACAAAGAAAAAACAAACAGAACCATGAGACAAATTAGTACTTTAAAATCTAAAGGAATTTAAGAAGTCACTATTTAAACATCCTTTCTGCTCCAAACATGATGAAGAATCAGTCCACATCCCATACTGGCTGCCATAGCTATGGCTGTCCACAGTCAGCATGTGTCGGCATACTTAGAAACCGTGAAGGCCAAAACCTAGGCTTGCTGTAAACCGAGGATGTGACCCTCAGATTAAGAATTACTGGAGGGAAGTCCAGGTCAGAGTTCAACCTTTTGAGTTCATCACTCTTGAGGGCAGTCATCTTGGACACTCCTGGTCTATGGTTCGACAACCTCCTCACTTTTTCCTGCGTGACTTGGCCTGCCGCCTACGTGCCTTTCCGAGACGCTTCATCTGTTTCTTGCGCTGTACCTGATACTTTTTACCCGGCTGTAGAATTGATTTTAAAAAATATGAAAAAAGTTATCAGAATTTATAATTCCATTCCTTGTAACCAAGTCCAGACTTCCATGATTCTTGACTCTGGAGTGAAGTTCATATACAGTTTAACCTCATTAATAAAAGCACTGTTAATAATGACATTCTGCTTTTAACATGCAAATTTTTGGGTCCCAATCCTTAGTTTTGCAAGATCTAGATTAAATGTGCTTCAATTCACTTAATAATTGGGAACAGCTTATCTTGTTCACATTGGAAACATGATGTCAAAAAGATATGACAAGTAAAAGTGTGAATTTTGAGAACAGCCAAACTTGGACCCAAAATTTGGATTTCACACCAATGATGTTCTCAAAGCAACAGTAAAAATCCCAGTTACGAAACCAAATGACAAGATTTGAAGGAAATGCTTAAGCTAAGGCAAACACTTTTACCTTCCATGAAATTTGTGTGCAAAACGCAAAACCTTTCTTGCAAAAAACTAAACCCAACTGCAGTGTTAGATTACAAGCAGATTTCTGAATAAAACGGAGGTCAATAATGAAACTTTACTAGATAATCCACGTTGAGTAGAAGTACCCCCTCATTGGTTGAAAAGAGCCAGGTTGGTCGGGAACGTTCATTTGTTGATGGTGATGCGACTGTAATGCATGCATTTCATAGTCATTTGTGAACTAGCAAAGGAGCCTCCATTGCTAAGAAAACTGCGCACTCTCTTGGTCTAGCTCAAGGCTCACCAGGATACTGGCTTCAACTTGAGGTTAAATTGATTATTAAGAACACGTAACTGGTACCTTGAATAAGCTGGCTCCCTGATCTCTGATTCGCAATGATGTTTGTCCTCGGCTTTCGTCGTAAGCGCTTTCCTTTGTGTTTCTCTTGGATCCTCTCTTCTTCCCACCTTCTCCAAACTTCTCATCTCTGTATTGTCGCTTTTTTCCTTTTCTAAAATGCAAAAACAAGAAAGTGAGAATATGGAAAGGGGTACCTGCCAAATTATACTCATGAACCTGCATTACCATCCTGTGATTCTGGATTTCTGAAATGCAATTAAAAAACAAATTTTTTACAAGTTGTTTGCTCTTATAATACCGTTTTTGTCAACAGTTTTGTATCCAATCATTAATGATGCTTAAAATGCTTACCCAAAAACAAACCAAAGTGGGCAAAGCCTAGATTATGTATCCGTTTGAAAAAGTAAACAATCTAGATAACTCATAGAACAAAGAAGTCTTGTTATAAGCACTGAGATTGGCTTCTTTACCCGAATTTGTTGACAGTCTTTTCATCAGGAACTCCTCGTTTGCTGGTTTGTCTATTTCCCGGCTTTCGATCGAGATCTTCCAAGATGTCAAGGGCATCTTTCTTGCCTGTTTGGAAAGGGAGTTAAAAGTCAAGACAAATATATACAACTGAGGTACTGGCTTTGGAAGGTTCATCTGATGCCAGCTTTGATACATAATGACTTTGCCCCTTAGCAGAATACTTTGCTGTAATCTTTTGCACTGCACGCAATAACAAACCGAGTTTTGTGTCTTGGGTTTCGGCAAAACTTTTGCAAAATTTGGAGCCGATTCACTCAGCTTGGGAGTATTCAAGGCGGGTTCTGACAGAGGGATTCCTCTCAACCAGAAGAAAAAGAGGGATGAAGTATGCCTGAGCTATGAGTGCTCACTGCGCACTGGACATCGTTTAAGATTCCCCCAAAAATCCGCTTGCGTTCTAGTGAATTTAAATTAAACTCCTGATTCTAAGTTACCTCGTCTGAACTTCTTCACAGATTCCATCAATTCTTTCTTCTCTTTCTGTCTCTTCAGGAGCACCTCATGTTGGACCTTGATAAAAACAATGTCAAACCATCATCATGAGACATAAACAGTACCAAAACTTATTTACCTTTACCAGAATACTTATGTTACAAACATGTAAAATTCACCGGCCTATGTTGTCACTGCAGCATAGCCATCAACACCTTTACAAAAATGAAGGAAAAAGAACAAGAATCTATCCCTTTTCCAAAACCCTTTTCTCCAAGAAACACAAATAAATGCAGATTAAGCCTTGAAATATTTAAATACAGATTTCCTCACCTTTTTGCCAAACTTTTTGAGTTCTCGTAATTTCTTGGCCTTTTCAGATCTTTCTATGGACAGCTGCCTGCCTATGAGCCTCTTCCGAACCTGCAAACAAAGATTTTCCAATTAAAATTTTTAATGAGCATGAAGTCTCCAGCTTTTGAGGCAAAACAGCACTTGTAGAAGGCAAATTATCTCCAGGAATCCTAAACCTCAGAAAAATTGATAAATCAAATAGGATTCACTTTCGTAAAAATTAACTCAAAATAATTGAAAATCTCATACACTTGTAGTCAAAAATATTGAAATGTAAGCAGGAAGTCCACAATTACACCTACATAGTGCTGTCATTATGAAGTGAATATCATCACTTCATAATACGGTGTAGCTTGACGTGTTACATGTATACTGCTCAAAGCCTAATCCAAGTTAACAAGTTACCTTTCTCATGTGTTCATCTGACTTGGCCATCTCAGCAAAGTAATCCTCCGGTCTCTTTGTGCAAAAGCCAAGCTTTTGTAGTCGAGGAACAGCTTCCAAGACTGCCGCTTGGCCCTGTCGATAACTGACAAGACAGAAAACGTCCAGTAAGACGATGGTGACAGATCAGAAGGTTTGGATCTTGACAAAAAATCTTCAGGAACACCAGTCTTAACATGCTTGACCTTTCCAGTTTCAAGCCCAGCTTGAACTTACAATTTCATCTCTCGCTTGAAGTCATTGTGTACGTCATCGGCTGAAGTTGCTCTCTTCAACTCCTCTTGCTCCTCTTCCTCCTCATCTGCTGCTCTTTTCCCGACCTCCTCGTTAACGATGTCAAGCCTCTCAACCCATGGAAGATCCTGTTGGAGCTCTGCCAAGGCTTCTGTTATCCCCACCTGAGACCAAGGGAATATGGGAATGACAACTTCAAAATATTTATGGGTTACTATTTACATCCATTTCTAAAAGTTCTAAATGACTCAAGTTTATGAACTCCAAACTGGTTTTTAAATTAATTAGTTGTTTCTGGACAAATCCATTCTGCTTGCAATCTCCAATTTGACCTCCCTTGTTTGAAACAATCTTTCAAAACCATGAAGTAGAGAGATAAGGCGATTGGCAGGTGGCAGAATGATTGAAAAATTGAGAAGTAAGATTGTGCGGCTGCACAAAGATCGAGTGATTGCGTATATTGACTGACTGCAAACAACATTTATAGGCCTAAATTTTCCATCCTTACCACATCATTGATGCATTTTTTCGGTCCATGAGTTACAACATTTAGTCCAGGCTTCAGGTACCCTTTAGCGAATGCTTTCTGTAACTGAAAAGCGAAACACAAACACAAGGTCACATTGAATCCCACCACAGGTCTACATGTAACTGGCGATCCCTCCGCTGCTCGATGTGATAAATAAGTAAATAAATAAATGTTAACATGTATCTATGACAAGCGCAATCTTTATTTTTGCAAAAACTTATTATAGGCCTACTCCCTATCCTAGGAATGGAATTTATTCAAAGGTAAATCAACTCAGGATGGAGTGCAATAAATTTGTGCAAGTTTGGAGATTGCGCAGAATATCTATTTTTTGGAAAGGTTTTCGTCATCTTTTTAAGTTTACACATAGCCTCATAGGTCTAAATCAAATCCTTTCAAATCATATCACAATCAGTGAAAATCATGACAATAATGTCATTGAATGACATGTATTGTCTTGCAGTTGACACTTTAAGATTCAATGTAACACTCCAGAGTTACCTCCATCGGCATTATATTCAAACCTAGGGACTTTGATGAGAAAACAGCAGAACTTAGGCCATTAGAATGAAAGTTTTAGATTTGCAGCCACCACCGGCATACTCCAAAAACACTACGCCAAAAAAATTCAATATTTACCAAATTTTCATTATTTACACAAAAAGGCTATCAAAAACATTTCGAATCCTAAATCACAAAGCAGCAGTAAAAGGGTATAAAATGCACATACCCAGGTGCCTATGTATACTTACCCACTACACAAACGATTAAATTCTCTGATAGGCATGACGGCCTAGTTGACAATGATCGGTGTACATTATGTACATACTATGATAGACTCATACTTAGGCCCTTTACAAATACTGGACCTAGGCTCTGTCTCAGGCTTGAACTGTTTTTGTGGACTATTTTGTAAGCACAATTGTAAGTCTGATACTATAGTGCCACAAAACATGATTAAGTAAGATGCAAAAGAGCCAAACATTGCGGTTTTTCATTTTAGTTAACGCTTCAGGCCCACAATCAGGGATTTGATTTCCTATATGAAGCCTGAGACGGAGACGAAGTTGAGTATTGGCAAATGGCCTTAGTCAGATAGTACATGTAGGCCCTATCATGCCTATACGCACTGCTGTGGGCATGCGCCGTGCACAGCCACTACGCACACCATCTTGCAAAAAATAGATAATGAATAATGAAAAATGCCGGGACACATGTCTAAATCTTTCATTCTCATGGCCTGAAAAGAATCACGAATTTGACGAAATACCACGACTAGTTAAAGAATGATCCCGGCACGGTAGTAATGGCCAAATGCCTGAAATGGCATAGTTTACCATGTTGACGACGTCCCTCATAAGTTGAATACCAACTTGAAATTAAATCTTCAAATTAGCCGAATTTATATTGATAAATATTACCTCGGTGTCTGAATTTTCGCTTTCTTCTCCTGAACTGGAGTTATAGTCGTCTGAATCGGCTTCTCCCACGTGTTCGGTTGGCAATCTCGCCAGCATGGAAGCCGCCATCTTGCATATCTACGACTGTTTAATGAAAGCACAGAGCATGCAAGTTTAAGCGAAATTAACGACCGAAGAGGGCGCACTTCTAAAATCATAATGGAGCTCTACGAAAAGTCACAGACTTCGTCTGGATGAAGTTTGTGTAGTTACCTTCGACGGTGTCGCGTGACCATTTTCAAGGGGGGGGGTACCATCATCATTGAGTGTAATGGTAGTCTGATCCTCCTGAGCTGCACTTTTTTTAAACTGTCCCCTTCTTTGCCCCTCCTTTTCCATTTTCGCCGAGAGCAATTATGATTTTGCCGAAAAAACTCTGACCAATGGACTGGTGTCACAGTTAATGCCCTAAAGATTTTTTCACTGGAGGATGTGTTTGCATCAATATGTTTTTTACCAAAATGGCCCAAAGGTATAAATGGTGAGGTCGGCATAAATACCTGTGGTGCGGAACGTACCCTTGAAAGAAGAGAATCCAGTAAGCCAGGGATACCAAGAACCCCCCCCCCGGCCCGCCCACTGACATACCATCATTCACAAGAATTGTTCGAATTCTGCGAACAAAAGCTGCTCGGATATTCAAAGAAACCTCTGGATGCCAATGCAAATAAAGTGGGCGGTCGCACGCGAATTTCTTTTCTTCTGCCAAGTGACATGCATCTGTTTGTCCAATCAAATTAGCTAGTTTGACAGACCAAAGTCACTCGGACCCCGTCTGACCAATAAAACAAGTTATGTGACATCTCTTTTTCATAATTATTAATTCCTGGAAAATAGGGCCTTGTTATGACTAAAAAAAAAGGGAGTCCATCTCGAGAAAAAAGTAATGGCGTTTTTATTTTTGTTAAAGGAATAAATAAGAAAAATATTAAAGTGGCATAAGAATTACAGACAGAAGAGACTGTGAACAACGTCAGTGCGGAGAAATATTTCTTGGTACTCCGTCTGATATACGTAGTACAAAAAGACGACCGTTTCACTTCTTTTTTGTTACGCTGCTGGGTTCAACAGGAAAGGATCGAGATGCGTCATTCATTCAATGTGCCAAATTACCCTCGGAGGAGACTTCAAATGTACTGGCGGTCTGATTCACCTTTACCGCCGGACCTGAATTAACGTAAAATTTCCCGAACTTTCGTCGACGATACTGGGAAATAATGTCGCGACTCGCGAGATGAAATTCTTTGGATTGTGGTTTTTGGACTGTGCTTATTGTGGACAATGTCGAATGATCTGAATGATGATTTTGAACCAGTGGGACGTAAGGCACAAGCAAGCACTGTGGTAAGTTTGCTTTCATAGAAGAAACCGACGTACGTATGCGGAGTTACACACCTCTAACAGAAACGTTCAGTCGCACGGTAAAGATGGAAATCATTTTCTATAACGTTAGTCGTGTCTTCAGCCAATTAACAGCTTTATTTTCGGTCAAAAGGTATTGTAGCTCGAAACAAGTTGCTTGTTGAAGGGGGTGCGTTTTAGGGTTACGCTATAGACTGGCTGAAGAAAGGCGCGTTTTCTTTTCAGCCGTCCCCTTTAGTTCGAAAAAAACGCTGCCCAAATCGAAGTGAACGCCGCCACCCAAATACTGGCAATACTAACAACAAATTTCAACTTTGTTGGGTGCAAACGAGCAATGAAACAGATTTGTACGAATAGTGTAATTTGCTTATGAATGAAACTCGCACGCGCTTTATTCGCATGAGTGGGCGTGGCCCAGAGTCTGCCTTCACAAAACTTGAAAGGCGAGGAATGCATCCAGGTGCAACGTGCTGGTTCAACTCGTCAACAACTCGTGGAGGAACAAGATTTAATCTGCAGAGTTTTACAGATTCACTTGAGTGGGTTCCATTGAATCTTTAAAAGGTGATTTCACAAATAGAACTTGGATCCATTCTCGTTTCGATTTTCATTGGAGGAAAGAGACAGCGGCGGGACTGCTGTCCGGTTAAATTGATGTATAAATTTGCAAAGATGGAAGGACAATGGCGGGTCTGTTGTCTGATGGAAATAATGTATAAATCTCCAAAGATGGAAGGACGATGGCGGG